CCAGATCGCAGGCTAACGGCGCTCCACTAGAACTAACGCAGAATGGCCCATTGCTGAGGCCCATTTCTTGCCAGGATCTGGGGTCTTGCGCGTCAGTTCAAGTCAAGTTCACGTTCCCAGTCCCACCATCCGTTGCCTTTTTTTTTTTTTTTTTTTCATTTCCTTTTTTCCCTTTTGCCCAAGCAGCCCCGAGCGGAGCGGTTTGCAGCCTCAGTTTCCGTGTGACCACTCGGGGATTTTTGCTGAGGGCTTGGCAGTTTGTATGTATCCGCACAGGCACTTCTCCCGTACGTAGTGTTTGGTCCACCAGCCACCAGCCACCAGCAACACCCCCCCCTCCCCTCCAGTTGATCCTGTGGATCCCTTCCCATTTCCCGGTTCAAACAAGCAGGGACTTTTGTTCGTCTGAGTAGTTAGTACTACCTTAACTCCAACTGCGACTGTACATAACTATGTACCAATGGAAGGGAGTAGTACTCACTAATGTGACCACTCGTGCTTACCTAGGTCATGACTAGCTGAAGGCTATTCTCTAGCTACAAGCTATATAGTTAAGAACTATAGCTACTCGTACTAGTTCCCTAGCTTCCCAGCTAACCTCGCCAGAAAACTAAAGAAAACTAAAGCTGAAGAGCTGTATGCTGTAACAAGCTGTACACTGCAGCTCTGTACCCAGCCCTGTTCTCAACAAATCCGATCGCATCGAAAGGGCAGTTCTTCCAGAACTTCCCTTCCCCCTCCTCCCCCCTCATCCGACTCGCACCGTTCGCAGCAGCTCGCCCGGTGACACGGCGTCGCCATGAATTCATGGAGGGGCCAGACCCGCGCGAAATTAGAGCGGGAAAGGTCTAGAATCATAACCTGAGTGTCCATACTCAGTAGAGTACGAGTTACCCGTATAATCTAATCACAGGTAATAACAATAACCGTGGCCGCGTCGCCCCCACATCCACATCGAAAGAGAAAACGAGAGAGGCAAAAAGAAAAGAAAAAAAAAAGAGGAGTCGCGAAATTGCACAGAGATTACAAAGGGCCGAAGCCATCCCGAGGGAAATGAGATTTCGTCCCGATACTCGTAAATCGCAATCACAATCCAGGGACCAGTCCATCTTTCTACACGAGAACGAGGTGTAGCCCAGCCGAGGCTAAGGTCTCAGAATGTGGACTGTGGACGCAAAAGAAGGCACAGAAGAAGGAAATGCTACCGAACCGCACTTTACGAAGGGAACGACGGGGCTGCCCTTTTGGCGCGTTCCCACCAGATTAAGGGACCGGTGGGTCTCATCCGCCCTACACTGGCGAAATTGAAATTGCTTGAATTAAACTGGTTGGTACGATAGTCCGAGTACTCGTAAACTGGGAAGATGGGCAAGTATGATTCAATCCAATTTTATTCTCATCACTAACTGTGCTAACTACTCCAACTCCACAGGCAAGGTACGAGACTAGAGTAACGGCAGTATGTACCGCGCCCGCATACCACTACCCATACCCATACCATATGACGATAATACCATAATGCAGCCTCCCATTTATTCTCCGTGATTGGGTCGATGCATGCTGCACGCCTAGCACGAGCCCCAAGTGGCAAAGCCACCGATGCTCAATGCTCTTAGGCTCTCAGGCTCTCTCCTCTCTCGCTCGCTCTCACCTCAGAGATGCACACAAAGTGGCGGTGGAGAAAAAAAAAATTATAAATAAATTGGCAAAAAGCAAAATAGACAACACTTGCATCGGGACAAAGCACAGCGCCAACTCAGTCCTGCAGGTTCTTCACAAGTGCTCGAACACGAGTTCCTCGCCAACGCCAACGCCAACGCCATACGGCTCCCCGAGCAACGCCGATTCCTAGTACGATACTTCGTACATACATATTTACTGCTCTCCCGGTGTGCTCCGCTTTATTCGTACATACCTACTCGTAGACCTTTGTCTTTAACTTTACCTTTACCTACAGTACGCTTAGCTTACATGCCTACTGCTACTGCTGCTGTGCGTGGACGATCCGTTCAGTTGCCTGAAACATTCGGTTAGTCCATGCGAAGATCAGCGGCATATCAATTACATAGATCATACTGTACATCGGTCGAGAGGAGAAGATCATAATTATATGTAGACAATCATAATCATAATTACTGTATAATTCAATTATGGTGTTGGTGGTTGGTTCTCTCCTGAGTCCACCCCTATTCCTATTCCCACTCCCTCCATCCCTGCCCCAAGGGGGAGAGATATCGAAGCGGGAGAAAGCGTGCGATGATGCGGGTCGGAAGGACGGGTAATGGGTATGGATATGGATATGGGGGATATGAGGGGAGGGAAAGGGTAGGAGGGGTGGGAACAAAGAGAGAGGAGAGAGAGGGGGTTTGAGCCAATGCCGTCCGGCATCGACGGCGTCGTAGATTTCATGCTTGTACGGAGTACAGATGGGGCGCGTTAGGAAAAAAAAAATGGGGCAACGGCCGCGCCCAAAGCTCCAGTCTGGTCCGAAGCGAGGACGATCCGTGACGATCCCGTCTGTTCTGCTTGACTTGACTCAGGTGGACTTGAGTTGGCTTGGCTTGAATTCGGGTTTTGGATCGACTCGATTCGATTCGAGTGCTCAACTGCTTTCACGGGAGGAGGTTACCAAGACGGGAGGGATGAGGGGTGAACATGGGACATGGGACATAGGACATAAGACATCTAAATGGACAAGCTCTCATCTTGTGACGGTATGCAGGGGTTTCCAACAGGGAAAAGGGACAAAGAGCTCGTCCTTTTCACACGTGAAGCTTGCGGGATGGCACCTTGGAGCGTTACCATCACCAGTTAAAGTCAAGTCTAGGTCTAATTTGAGGTGTATCCATTCTCTCACCAGACACGCCAGGCTAGAGATACTCCCTACACGAGCCAAGGACGACCGAGTGGGGAGGGGAAACGTTGGATCATCGCGACTATGACACAAGTGGAAATGGCCGAAAGAGCTGGTGGCGGGTTTTCCACTTCTTCTATTTATTGCATAGAGTGATCGCCCTAAATGTCCGACACATCCACCGGGGACCCGGTTTTTCGCCTGACACTTCATTTCCTGGCTGTTTCATGGCTGGCACTTTACTTTTCTCTCTCTCAATCTATTTCGATCATCAATGCCGAGAGGACCCATCGATCTGGCGGTTCGACCCCATTCTTCCTACTATCCGTTACTTTATAGTAGTTTCCCGCCCTTGAAGAACCTGAAGGATTGTGGGAAATTTGACTTGTTAGAAAGAAGACCCCCCAAGACCCCCCCCCCCTCCCCATTTCACCCAGACCAGACCCGACGCGATTTCTCGGAAGGGCCGACAAGAACGGAGGGGGGTGAGGGTCCACTTAGATCATAGGCACCAGGTGGCAGAGCTGAAAAGTGGCGCCCAACCGTTTGACGGGGCAGTGTCCTCAGCGGTGGATCTTCGGTAGACGCGAAGAACGCTGCTGTCACTTTTGTGTACGAGTAAGGGGAAAAGGACTGCACGGATAGGGGGGGATGTAAAAAGGACGTATTTTAGTTTGTCTTGGGCGACCGTTTAATTTTGGACGTATCCAGCGATGATCCTGAGAGGATCCCAGGGGGGGTTGGTGGAGGAGGGGGGGGGGGGGGAAGCATACTCCGTCATGGAGGAGAGAAGAGAGGAGAGAGATGGGCTCTAGCAGGGAGCAGCAGAGACAAGATAGCTCGATGCAGCAGGATATGCAGCTCGGTCTAAAGACTCGGCCGGATCTCGCGACATACGATCGAACGACCAATCACCCCTGAGGCAGTCCTTTCGTCAGGCCTACTCTCTTCGCACTCCACTCAGGAGGGCCAACCTGAAACATCTGGCCTTGTGGGGAATCCTCGCTGGGAAATAAGTAGCTGCTGTGGCTAGGAACCGGTTCATGGCTGACGGTCGGGACCAGGGTTGCCTGGGTAAAGTCTTGGTACGGCTTGTTCTCACATTCCGTGGGTTGTGCTGATGGATTAGCCTTGGTCTAGCTTGTCTGTTGGCTTTTGGACAGGGTTGGTCCTGGCGGCGACGACCGTTGGGCCTGCCAGTTTGAGGAACTGAAGTCGTCGATCCCGTTGGTGACAGTCGATGCCTCACATTCGATGGGTCGAGACTTTCCTTCTCCATCAAAAACAGAAACATCCATAATTTAAGGAGTCGGGGGGGGAGGAGGGCGGTCGTCTTGGTTCTAGGCTCTCTCGTGCTCCTCGGGAGCTTCTGGACCATTGCGGAGTCTGTTGATCGTCATTCACGGGGCTCCCTCCAAACCAGGGTTCGGAGTGACAGCCCCCACTGAGAGGAGAATTTCAAGGCAAATTTGACAGGTTCGAACTGGGCTGGACCATTGGATGCTCGTGTGCCTGGTCCCTGGGTTGAGTGGCGTCCATGACAGGCGAGGTGAGAACTGTACGGAGTACATAGAGTATTGTTAGGTGGAGGGGGAGAGACAGAGACAGAGACAGAAAAAAATGAGTCTGTGGGGACTGTTGAGATATGGGTCTTGCGAAAGACACAATTTTGTGATAGAATACTAATTCTTTCAGTCAGTCTGCCCTTGAGTCCTTTCTTTCATTTGTACGGAGGATCTGTGTTAAGAAGAGAATTCTTTGTGCAGAGTATCATACTGCCAGTGGTCACACCTCACGCTCTACCCCAATAGGCATAAATCAGAACTATAGAACGATAACTCTCTTTGTATAATGACCCATTCCACCACCAAGACACTCGTAGAAACCCCGAATTCTTTCTACTGGCAGATTCTTCCATCCTTCTTTGACGATGAAAGAAACTGAGGAGACACCCCATTGGGTGGTCCTTGGATGGTCACATCGAGGCTTTGATGCCAACAAAGAAACCCGCCTTCGTTGAAAGTCATCGTTGGGAGTATTCAAAAGGCCAACATTTTCCCTTATGTGTCAAGAAACACAGGACTCTGGATTTCTCTTTTCTCTTTTCTCTTTCTCTTGAATCCGATCTAGAACCGCAACCTCTATCATGACTGATACACTTATCGGGGGTCGCGCGGCCTCTGCTCCGCTATTCGCAACTCCTCGCCCCGAGCCTATGGGACCACAACCTATACTGAATACCCCCGAAAAGATTGCGGCATCAGATAAAGAGCTTGCCAGGCTTCTTGCCGAGGTGAGAAAAGTTGGGGGTCGCACACGAAAGCAGAACAGGCGCTATACAGCTGTTTCAAGACGAGTGAGAAGACATCCATCAGCCTTAAAATCCATCTTACCAATCTAACAACCTTCTAGAGCCCCTTTGTCTCATTCTGGGATAGTTGGGTAGCCGAACAGACAAAAATCGGTATCCCGAACCCTGGAGACTTGTGCTATCGAAATGTGATTTTTCAACTATTCGCGCACTCCCCGGCCATAATTCATTGGGCGTGGTGGTACAGTAAGCATCACGTCCCAGAGGGGTATGTATGCGAGATGGGAGAGGAAGGAGCTGTGTGTAGACCCTGCCATCTGCATTCCTTCTTGAGCAGCTATTGGGATTCTCGGGAAGATGATGATCTTGACGCAAAGATTCAGACTCTGTGGGATTCAATTTTCAATAACTGGAAGGACGGAGATGGGAAGACGAAGGGTGGCCAGCAAGATCCCGCGGAATTCTTCATGGAAATGTACTACCAGATCTTGGAGGATGTCGCACCTGCATTGTAAGCTATCATCTTGGTGTCCTACTGGCTTGAAACAAAACAAAGCAAAACTAATCCGTGTCTTTTAGTCAAAATGATTATATGGAAATCTGTGACACTGACCTCGTCACCAGTCAACAGTGCAGGGGAGAGAAGTGCTGTACGGACACTACATATCAAAAGGAGTCCGGATGGCCTGTGTTGGCTATTCAGTTTGGCTCGAAGAGCAAGGTCAAGACCGTCGAGGAGGCTATTTTAGCACATCTAGACATGCAAACCCTCGCCGGGTCCTGCCACAAATGTAAATGCAAACAGATGCAGAAAGAATACATCTCCAAACCGTCTGAGATGTTCGTTGTCCAGCTCAACCGTACTGAAGAAGACGGAACGAAGATCGACAAAGCAATCGACTTTGAGGGCCACGTCAAAATCAAGGGAGAATATTTTGATCCCCGAATCGAGTCAGCGTCGAATCAGAATATCACTTATGAGCTGACCTCGGTAATCTTGCACTCTGGCTCCGACACCGACCACGGCCACTATACCATCATTGTCAAGGGTCGCACCAACAAATGGACCTTGATCGATGATGAAAAGGCAACTCCAATTGCGATTTCGACTTTCTGTAGATTGCCTCAAACTCAGAAGGATGCCTATCTCTTCGTATACACTCGATGCCCCAGGCAGCCGACTGAGGAGAGAATGATTCGACACCAGAAGATATACACCGTGGACAGAATTGAGAAGCGCCTACAGCGGAAAGTCGCCTCATTCCCGGATGAAAAGTTGGATTGGTCTGGTGTTTCTCGTCGACCTGAGAGCCCGCCCAAACACCAAGGTCGCTTTGGTACAATGGATATTACCTCTAGCCCGTCAGTCCAGTCAATTTCAATCAATACCACTTCGAACAGGTCGAGCTCAATTCAGACGACTCCAGCTGCGATGCGGGGAACAGTAGCAGCAACTGGGCAACCACCAGCAGCGCTTCCAGTAAGCTACGCAAGTCAGCCAACTCCAGCAAACTTGCCTGAGAAAGACCTCAAGGACCCTCCCATGGCCCATGAGAATTTCGAAATGCCTGCACACTGTGGAGCAGATTTCCCGGCACCCCAGAACAACAAGAAAGGTTTCCTTAGAGTTCAGTACATTGAGTACGAGGCTAGTAGTCAAAAGGATTCTGGTAGAATTTCATATGAGATTCCGCTGGACTTTGCTGTGCGAGGCTATCCAATTAACGTCAAGGAGAACCCAATGGAGACTCCCCTAAACTCGACACTAAATACGATTATTAAGGGCCAAAGGTCCAATGAGGATATTATGTCGGACTCGGATTAGATCTCTCTGGTCTGAAATTTCCAGTGCCAGGTTAAACCTACCACCTAGGCGTTGGATGGATTGCTCGAAAGTGGTCCACAAGATATATATATTGTCGAACATCGACTTCAAGATTCCGAATAACTTTTATTTCTCAAGTGCAACAATCTATTTTTTGATATTTTATCTCTAGCTATCTAGTATTATTAGTTTAATCGATTCAATATTTCTGTTTGCCAAATCAAATCCTCCATTTACTATATAGTACTGTAGCCGTGTCTCCCAAACGGGTTGCGCGTCCCGGACGTCTTCCGCCCTTCCACCACGACTCGAACACGCACACGCACGCCCAACGCGTGGAAACGGATACAAAAGAAGAAATAAAGCAAAAGCCATTCAACCAAACAGATGGACCTACCATCTAGCAGAAGCTTCATCGATCATTTGATCACAGAACTAGCTGGCTTCAAATCCCCAAGCGGGTCAGAACAGCTTCGAACCCAAGAAAGCTCTAACCCTCTGGCTAGTCTACCTGCAACACAACTAGCCAAAGTGAAACCAATCATTCTCACTCTACACTGCCTCTTCCCCAACGACTTCCTTCCAGCCCTTGACATCCTAGACCGGAAGCTTGTGCAGCGCCTTGTCCTTGTGCGCACAGAGGACCAAGACCAGGGCCAAAACCAAGACACGGCAGCAACCGTCCCTGACCAGGACCACGCCACAGTTGCAGATGGAAACACGACACAAACCACGGAAGATCCCCGAAACGGTCAAACTAGTACGGGCCCACCGGATGGCATTTTCCTAGTGACATCCGCATCAGCAGCCCCACGTCAAATAGCGGCAGCAGTAGCAGCAGCAACAGCAGCAGCAACAGCAATACCCGGAGGAGGAGGTTCAACGCCAACGCCAACAGCCACGCAAGACCCAGAAAAGGGCTACGAAGTACGTCTAAATGCGTGGAACTGCACATGCCCCACCTTCACCCTCTCGGCATTCAAAGATCTAGATTCTCGTCAGGGTTCTTCAACTACGACTAATATCGCCGAAACTCACCCGGAGATGGAGATCGAGGAGCTGCTGCATGCCAGTGACCGGGATGCGAATGCGAATGCACTGCCTGTTTATCCATTTGGTGGGACTCTCACCCGTGATACAGACAAGGAGTCTCCGCCGGCCTGCAAGCATATTCTCGCTTGTATACTGTTTGCTCGGTGTCCGGGTTTGTTTGGTCTGTCTGGGGATGGCAAACTGGTTTCTTTGGAGGAGATGGCTGGTTGGTGTGCTGGATGGGGTGGGTGAGGTGAGGTAAGGTGAGATTTTGACATGATAATCAAATCAAACCAACATCGAGACCCTCCCCCCCTCCCAATACAGTGTTGCCCTGCGTTTTGAGGCTGTTGCATGGAGTACTGATTTTTATCACGGCTGGGATATGCATAAGGCTTATGCGGGCGCGCCAAGTTGAGATGAGATGGCCAGACACGCTCAATCCTGCCAATCTCGCGATATACATCTGAGTGGTGTAGTCAAAGACAGACTCTAAAAGGTCTCGCTGAATGAGCTACGCGAGCCTTGATAAATGCCTTGGATGTGTTACATGTCCAAACTCATGTTTAATTTCAACATCACAATACTAGTATCCTGCCTAGGATCCAGGCCACTATGGAGGACATACCATGAAGGAGAAATGGGGAAATCTTTGAGCTACGCACTACTTTCGCCGCTCGCTCGCTATGGAGCATTCTTACGATGAATCCATTCAGGTTGCGGACGGAAGATGGATTGTCACCTGGTCATCATATCCTTGATTATCCGTACTATACACTGCAAAACCGCAGTTTCTGGTCATTTCATATTGACGGGCATCATTTCTCCGATAAAAAAAAGCACAAGTCTAAAAAAAAAGCCATTTTAGCTCTTCTTCTTGCTCTTCTCGGACGCATCTTGCTCCTCCTTCTGCTCGCCATTCACATCCCCACCAGTCTTCTTAGCATCCTTGTCACCCTTAGCGGCACTCGAATCCTGATCCCGCTTTGAGTCATTCTCCTCCTGCTGCTGTCTGTTTTGAATCTTGTTCTCGATCAGGTCGTGGAACGCTGTAATGGCACGGATCAGACTGCTGATATAAATGGCCATAAGCTGGTCATTTGTCTTGACGCTCATAGCACGCGCGAGCTCGCTGTTCTCGCCCTGAGACTCCTGCTGCTGCTGGCCGCTGATACTGGGTTGCTGGGCTGGGGTGCTCAGGTTGGGGAGGAGGTTGAAAACATCTTGGAGGTTTCCGAGAATTGCGTGGTTGATGGGGAGCTCGCCGTCGAGGACTTTCTGGAGGTATTGGCCGATATCGCGTAGTCGGAGGTGCAGCCCTTGCAAAGATTGTAGCTGTGAAGTGATACGAGTTGAAAGAGTGCCGACTGCGACGTCTCTGATATCTCGGAGTAGGTGCTCCACGCCAATCTCCTCGGCTTCCTCTGCCTCGATTATCGATGGGGTGTGTACGAATGTCTTCGAAGTAGTTGTGCCGTCCTGAATACGATTAAGAATATGGTTAGCTGTCAGATCTCCCAGAACTGGCGGCACCCAATTCCACCTCCACCTCCACGGAAACCACTCACATCCTTGATCTCATCCACAGCGAAGTATGCATCTGTCGGAACACCAACTTCCTTCGGCTGGACATCAACGATGACAAGCAAAGGGTTGGGGGTATATTTCTTAAAGAGCTCGTTGATCTCTAGATCCGAAGCGCGCAGCTTGGGGCCCGAGTGGTACCAACCAACCAGCTTCTCACGGGCATTGATCTTCTTGAACATGTCCCTCATCGACTCAACGAAGTTGTGATCGAGGAACCACACGGAAGGGTCCTTCTCATCCTCCTCAAACGGAACTAGATGGAACAAGGAGGGTCAGCTCTTAATTGCTTGCAACAGATGGCCGCAGCATCAACATCAACATCAACACCGAAGACTTACCTGCAAAGCTGTTGGATACGCGCACATTGCCACCCGAGTTTTCACCCAGCAGAACACCAACAACACGTTTCCGGGTGCCCTTGGCTGTCCGGCCGTAGTGATCGGCGACGGAGAGCAGGACTAACGGAGCAACCGTGACGGAACGGTTGACGAGGGATAGCGTGTCCGCCGTAGTGGCAGGCATGATGGAGAGATGTGGAACGAGATTTCAGAAAGGAGAAGAAGCTCGGGAGAAGGAGGGAGGAGGGGGTGATTGATTCAGGAGGGGGGTGTCTTTGAAACTGGATGGTTCGCAAAGCAGGACGATGACCGATGATGCTCCCAATGGTCGGAGAGCTTTGGGAGTGCGCCACACTGTATCAGCCACACCACTGCATCAGCCACACCACTGCATCAGCCACAAGCCACAATGGTGAGTTAGTCAGCGCTGCTGGTAGGCATTGTATTTTGCCGGGGAAATAAACTTGGGAGATTTAGAAATGATAAATTATAAGGGGAGTTACTAAGACATCTGGCATTAATTAACCAATTGCTACTGCTATATCAATTATTATAAACACTAGACTTTGTGCTGTTTATTAAATCCGGTTTGTTGTTGCGCATCGGCATACTACGTCGTTCACAGCCGCTCCGAACCTCGGGCGCTAAGATTCCTTTCCTTCCCTTCCGTTTCTCCATTTCTCCATTTACCCGTCTCTCTTCCTTTCCACCCGTACTCTTCGACTCCTCCTCTCCGCTCCTCTCCTCTCCCCCTTTCAATCACAATGGCTCCCATCACAGAAGAGGCCGTCGCCGGTCTGAAGGACACCATCAACAAGCTCGAGTCCCGGGTCGTCGACCTGGAGAGCCGCCTCGTCAATGGCGACAAGCCCAAGTCGGTCACCGAGCAGATGCGCATCATCCTGATGGGTCCCCCTGGTGCCGGTAAGCATTCGCGATAACTGAATTAACCCAATGGCTATTAACGTGTTGTCATAGGCAAGGGTACCCAGGCCCCCAACATCAAGGACAAGTACTGCGCGTGCCACCTGGTAAGTAGCCGATATCCGATGGTCTTCCGCCGTGCATATGCGAATTGTATTTGCTAATCGATGATTCTGTTTCTACTAGGCTACCGGAGACATGCTGCGTTCGCAGGTCGCTAAGAAGACCGACCTCGGCAAGGAGGCCAAGAAGATCATGGACCAGGGTGGTCTCGTTTCCGACGAGATCATGATTGGCATGATCAAGAGCGAGCTGGAGAACAACGCCGAGTGCAAGAACGGGTATGTGGACCCCAATTTGTTATTGTTTTCTTGCATAACACTGGCACTTGTTTTGCCCTTACATTTTACTTTACTTTTCCGACATTTCTGCGTCCATATCCGACAGACACAAGCAAGACAGAACTTAAACTAACGCGCATCCACAGTTTCATCCTGGACGGTTTCCCCCGAACTGTCGCCCAGGCCGAGCGTCTGGACGAGATGCTTCTCGCCCGCAAGCAGAAGCTCCAGCACGCCGTTGAGCTCCAGATCGACGACTCCCTCCTCGTCTCCCGTATCACTGGCCGTCTCGTCCACCCCGCCTCCGGCCGCTCTTACCACAAGATCTTCAACCCTCCCAAGAGCAACATGACCGACGATGTCACCGGCGAGCCCTTGATCCAGCGCTCCGACGACAACGCCGACACCCTGACCAAGCGTCTGGCTACCTACCACGCTCAAACCGCCCCCGTCTGCGAGTACTACAAGACCACCGGAATCTGGCGCGGTATTGACGCCAGCCAGGAGCCTGGCCAGGTCTGGAAGAGCCTTCTGGGTGTTTTCCAAAAGAACTAAATCTGAATCTAAATCTACTAAATGGGATTTGATTTGGTTTTGGGGAAAGACAAGCACAACGACAACAAAAGCTTTAACGAGTGAAGGTGCTAGGGACAAAAATACGGTGCCGACCTCATGTGCTGCGAGCCATTTTTCTTTTGTTTCGGTTTTGGTTGGTGAGCGCATATGGGGTTCGGACTGGTAGGATGTTCACATATAGACAGCTGAATAATAGTCCTTCGGGGCCATGTATAGTATGTGTACTTTTCTGTACTAACTACTGTACTGTTAACGGAAACAGCTTGATGTTGTTACATGCTTTGTAGGTGTAGTATTTCGCTGAGTAGGGTATCAGGTGCCGAATATGAACCATAAAGCATTCAATGGTTCATTTTCATTTTCATATTTCATTTCGTACTCGGTATGCCTCCGATGCATCTAGCTCAATCGATATAAGCTAGCTACTAGTTCAATCACAACTGCAACGGATACTCAACAGACTCAATCTTCTCCGGATAACTCAGACCACCCTGCCTCCTAACTTCATCCATAACCTCCATAATAGCAATACTCTCATCCCAAGACATCCCCTCACTCTCAAGCTTTCCATCCCTCAAACAACGAGCAACCTCATCAGCCTCCCAATACATCCCATGCCCACCAGCCGGAAACTCGCACACAACATCACGAACCTCACCCTTCCCAGAGCCCTTCTTAGGAATAACACGATACCGCACTGGTCGGAACGGATTTCCAAAAACCTGAATCTCGCCCAGAGTTCCCTGAATGCGAATATTCGCACCAGTGGTCCCCTCTTCATCGGGGTCACCCGCGACGCGAATATTGGTCATTGCGACGCCGTGCGATTGGTGCGGGTGGGCGCTGTTGGTGGGCGTGCTGGTTGGGAAGTTTAGTAGGATTGTTGTTGCTTCGTCTGCGCCTGTTAGGTGGTATGGTGTGATTTGGGAGAGGACGGTTGGTGGTTTGCGTTGTTCTTTCGGGAGGGTGTGGTAGAGGGTTTGGAAGACCCAGGTTAGGGAGTAGATGCCCACTGGAGGTCCGAGTTAGTTAGCCCGATATAACTTGCAATTGTAAAGACAAAAACGATTCCATAGCCTGTAGCCGGTAGTAATGGGATGGATATATTGCACTTACAATCCAAAAGAGCACCACCAGCCAAATCAGGATTAACCATACGATGTTCCGTACCCCATCTAGCCTCAACATCATCACTGAAACTGGTATCAGCGACAGTGCGAAGCACCTCACCAATCTCACCAGCCTTAATGCTCTCCCGAATCTGCACGCTGATCGGGAAATAGCGAGTCCAAACAGCCTCCATAAGGAAGAGATTCTTCTTTTGGGCAGTTTCGATCAAGATCTTTGTCTGGGCCGCGTTGACGGTAAATGCCTTCTCACAGAGGACGTTTTTGCCGGCGTTCAGGGCTAGCATGACGTTTTGATAATGGTGTGAGTGTGGGGTTGCGACGTAGACGACGTCGATGTTGGGGTCGGCGACCAGTTCCTCGTAGGAGGAGTATGCAGCGCATGGGGAAGGGATGTTGAGGTCTGAGATGAACTTTGTAGCTTTGTCTTTTGATGAGGATGAGGCTACTGCGAGGACTTTGTGGGAGACATCGGCGGCGTTGCGGGCTGCGGGGTCGAGGAGGAGGTCGCGGACGAATGCTGTGAAGTGTTAGATTGGACGGGATGAGGGCTTGGCTCTTAATTGTTGTATGGAGGGGAAATAGTACGTACTGCTCGCGATCCAGCCGGTAGCTGTTCAAATAAGAATTCATTAGCTGGTTGTTTTGTGCCGAAGATTGGGATGAGATGGACGTACCCAGGATACCCCATCGGACGGTGTGTGGTGCCATAGTGTTGATTGAATAGTTCAATGTTGATCTGCAGGGGAGAAGAAGGTGTTCAAGTTGCAACTAGGTACGGAGTATGAATTCCGGAGATATTTAAGGGTTGCAGGGTACGTGGGGGGAGGAGAAAGCGCGGAGATGCGCCGAGCGGGGCAAAGCAACGTCATGATACTACACGATTAAATTCTGTATGGACACGAATTGTTTTTATTATACAAATTATCTCATGCAGGCTCCATCTTAACCCGCACGTTGAGTCCCGGGGAGTCATTTCCCTCCGCCTTCCGCTTACCCAGGACCGAGTCCGGTGTGCCGCTTCGTCCTTGCGGTGTCGAGCTGCGCGGTGCCGGGCCATTTGCCGTAACTTCGGCATAACAACTGGCGTGATAGACCCTGCTAGCCACTTTGATGGCGTCCTGCCAAATCCAGTCCTGGACATCTTCCGACCAAGTCGATTCAAACATTTCCTGGCAGATGGGACAGGGTGTGTTGCGAAGTTTAGCATCGTTCGGTGCCCTAATCCATGCCTTGGGCGGTCCTTGTTTTGAGGGTTTGCCATCTGCTCCAACTTCTCCGTCGCCTGTGGCCTCATTGTCAGCCGGGCCTGAATCATCACTAGCCTCGCGGGATTTAATCCAGTCCTGTTGTGCCTAGTAAGTATGATATCCCACAAACAAAAGAAGGGACTGTGGATTGTGTGATTACGTACCCTTTCGTCGACATACCAGCTACGGTTCTGAGCTCGCTTAGAAGTATCAACCATACGCTGGTTAGTCTTGAAGTGCCAGTCCAAATGCCTTGCTTTCTTTTCTTTGCCTTCAGCTGTTGTAGGGAAACGACGCCCACAGGTGCCGCATCGGTTTGACTTTGCGTCGTAGAGAGAGACCACAAGGTTGAGCCGGGGACTAATTTGTTCAGTATGAGCATGGCTTCGTAAGACATGGGTGATCTGGAATTGACTTACAATTTCATGAATGCAGTTTTCATCGGAACTATGGATGAATTGCCTGCTTGGGGTGGTGTCGGGGCTGGCGGTGTAGAGTGTGATTGACCAGGAATAAAGAATGGCATAGACCCTCCTCCCATGGGCGGCGTGCCGCTTGAGGACATGACAGGTGGCGCCGAAGGAGAAGGAAGCAGGCCACGCGCACGAAGTTGCGCAATCAGGGGGTTTTCAGCAGGTTGCGGCGTACTGCTCACTGGAGGCATCTGGAGCATCTGGGGGAAAGCATTGGGGATCTGGGGAGGTGGAGTGGGTTGTTGTCGAGTTGCTGTTGCTTTGATGAGATCGGCGAGGGTGGACGAATTGAGAAGACCTTGAAGTGACTGCGACGAGGGCTGTGCTGGCGGTGTTGATACGGGTGCTGGAACTGGAACTGGAGGTGCTGCCACGGGCACGTTGGGTACTGGGTTCGGTGCTGCCATAGTCGAGACCTGGTCTCGGACGAGCTTTAGCTGATCTGGAGTGAGCTGCTGGTTCTGCAGAATGGCCTGGAGGTCAAGTAGTGCTTTCAAACGCGCCTGAGAAGCAGGGTCAAAGGGGCTGTTGGCGAAGTTGGTTCTCGCCGCAGCGATCAAGGCCTCAAGATCTCGATTCAGAGATTCCACGGGGTGATGTCCTTGAGGAGGTGTCTGCGAGATGACAGTTTGATAAGCATAAGCCGAAATCCAGAATTTGGCGATATCTCCTACCGGTGTATGCATGGGACGCCCATTATTGGCGTGTTGGGGTGGCGGACGAGGCATGCCTTGCGGTGGTGTGTTGTTGTTGGGCCGGCCTGTAGGTGTCCCACGACCGCGATTGACCTGGGTCTGGGGTCGCTCTCGTTCAATAGCAGCGGTGCGGGCTCGAATCAGAGCATTCTCGATGGTGCGAGTGATGTCGGAGGAAAAGACGGGACGAGTGTCGAGAGAGCCCGGCACAGGCTCCTTCCATGTCTTGAGCATTTCGTCGAGCTTGCGACGAGTAGCCTGGTCGACCGTCGCGTACGCATTCATAAAGGTTTGATACATGTGTTGTCCAGGAACAGAGTGTAGGGGGTTCCAACGTTCTTGACAATGGAGTCGACTACATAGAGAGCCGGCAATTTCTGCATCGGAGGCGTCTACAGTGGCCGTCAGGAACATGGCCTGTTGCCAAATGGGATATGGATATGATGAGGAGAGACCTACCTGCCCGATATGATTCTCTAACACCCTGGAGATGGCCATGGCGTGTTCGGTGTTCTCCCTAGCTATCACGGTGAGGTTGTTGATCTGGAATCGGTCATTGGTGGTGAGATCTTCTAAGGAGATCTTGTAATCCTCGACCAGGTCATCAGATGGTAGGCCGGACATGGTGGAGGACGGTGGAGGACGAAAGGGAAATATGAATCGAGAGAATGTATGCTGGTGCTGCAGAAAAGGAAAAAGTAAGATCAGTTGCGCAAGTGGAGATATTCACCACAGCCGAGACGTCTTCTATGCGGCCGATTACACGGCGATATCCTCAGTGATATCCTCAGGGCCTCGAACTGTTCCCTCAGTGTTCTTGTTTTTTTCTCTCTTTTTTTGCTCTTTTTGCTCTTTTTCTGTTCTCTGTTTTTTTCTTTGTTCTTCTTCTGTTGTGCAATGGACTGGGACTATCACCAAATGCTCGTTCTGCTTAGTGCTTGTTTGTCCGAGGCAAAAGCACGGGTAACCAACACGAGATGGAGGGAAAAGTCGAAACTTGGTAAATGCTTGCTAGCTATGTTCGTGAGACTTGAGAAAAGATGAAAACAATAACACGCTTGCCCCTCCGAACTCAAATCCTGAACCTGTCCAACTGCCTTCCTCCAAATGATCCGCCGAGGGGTGGAGAGGGTGTACGCCGGGTAGGAGGGAAGATTGGGAGATCGTGTTCGATATAATCCTAAATATAAAGGATCGAGGGGGTAGACATGCAACGCTTGAAGAAGGGGAAAGGGGAAGGGGGAAAAGGGGGTAAACAAGGTGAGGGTGGCCGTGCCGAGGGTTGAATGAAGATGAAGATGAAATCGGAAGTGAAAGAAGTGGACGATGATCGAGTCACGTGAGGCAGAGCACCGCATGACGCAGCCCAACTCTATTCACATTGCCTTACTTCAATCAATCACTCCACCTCATCTGGACTTTTACTTTGAATCAACTTGCTGCAGTCGCTGTAACCGAAATACTGATACAATATGAAGCTGCTCTTTGTACTTCTGGGACTCCTCTCGCTGGCCCTGGCCAAGTCGCTCAAGTCCGTCATCATTACTTTCCCCAAGGGCACGCCCTCCAACGTTATCGACGAGGCGAAGTCCTCAATCGTGGATTCTGTACGCCGCGCATATCCTCTAATCCTTAATCTCCCCAAAAACTAATCCATGATCTCCAGGGGGGCGTCATTACTCATGAGTACCGTAAGTCCCAGCCTACATATGCCCCACACTGGTCAAGGACCATGCAAGGACTATGCCCAAGACTAACACTTCTTTTTTTCGAAACAGATCTAATCAAGTACGATCCTGATTCCAAATTATCATCCGCCTATCCCATATAATATCATTCTAACCATGATTCTAGTGGATTTGCTGCCGAGGCACCAGTGAACTGTCTGGAGACTATATCGGCACAGTCCTCCCAGTATAATCCGACGATCGAAGAAGACCAGATCGTCTCTGCAAATGGAAAATAAGCAGACAGAGGAAACCACCATTCCAAAATATACTTGCATGGCAACTTCCGCGAGTATCTTACCACAGCAGGTTCTGGGAAACGTATGACGAATGAAGGCCGGCCGGAGAACGGCGATCCATGATCCATGACAATCTAATCCAATGGGAGGAGTGTTATTTTGCGCGGGGATTTTCAACACAATCGGATTCTCTTCTTTTTCATGCTTTGGCGTATACGGGGGAAATGGTTATCGGTTCTGGGACCAGGTCCAGTTATTGCCAGGCTAAACATTGCTTGGAATCCACTGGACTGGGAACATTTAGTGTACTGTAAAATCTATGAAATTATCTCCTGAATGGTTTCTTTTTTAATTTTTAATTTTACCAAATTCCCCGATGAGCACTCTACAATGAAATACTTTGAACCAACTACTACTAGTAGCTCGGCCTGACTCGGTGGAGGAAACTCGGGGGGACGATCATCCCCCGCTAGTCTCGCCCTGCTCGCACTTCTCGCCCCGAACGCGCCGCGCGTGGATCCCGCAACTTTCCCAAGGCCACCTCTTCAACCCCTACGCATTGCTAGGAATGTTGAACCCGCATCCATTCCTTTTAAATTACGCATATCCAATCATTCGTCATGGCGTCTGAACACGCCGTGACCCAGGCCTTATTGGAATGGATCAACAGCTTTTCCCTGGGGAAAACACTCCGAGAGACCGAGGACCTGACAGACGGGGTGATCCTTTGGGAGATCCTCCAAGATATTGACCCGCAGTACTTTCTTGACGAGATCCCCGAGCGCGAACCTGGCGACCACTGGGTGGCCAAGTGGCAGAACCTGAAGCACATCTACAAACTCCTATCCAACTACATTCGGCACCAGAACAACGATACCATACCCCCTGGCCTTGACCCGTCGCCCGACCTCGAAGCCATTGCCGAGAAAGCTTCAGCAAAGGAGACGAACAAACTTCTGAAAATCCTCTTGATCGCCGCCATTTACTCGCCCAATGCCGGTACCTACGTGCAGACGCTGCAGGAGCTGAGTACCCCACACAGGAGGGTCTCAAGGAGATCATCCAGGAGGCACAAGATGGCGAGCATGAACCTCTGGATGGGGCCGATGAGTTGAAGGAAGAATTGGCCAAAGCCGACCACACAGGAGAACTGGAGCTCAAGTTTGAGGAGCGCGTTGGGAAGGTCTTGGCGGAGAATGATCGCCTCACACAAGATAAAAAGGAGTTGCAGAAGGACCTCGGGGATATGCATAACCGCTTGGCGCGCTTGCAAGAGAACAATGATACCCTTCAGAACCGGTTAGCATCTACCGAAGACCGACTGGTGACATTGAAATCCGGAAAGGGGGATCTCGGGTTCAACGCCAAGGCATTGGAAAGCAAGACACGCCAGCAGGATGATTTGATTGCCTCTCAGGAGGCTAAGCTTTCTGCGGCGCAAGACGAAATCGATAGCCTTCTAATGACGGTGGAGTCATTAAAGGTCAAGAACCAGCGCTATCAAAAGCTACAGGATGATTATGATGAGCTCCGGACCGATCGAGACCAGCTAGCCCGCAAAGCAAATGCCGCCGAGAAATACCGACAGAAGTTACAGGCCAGCCAGGACTTTGAAAAAGAGAACTCCACTCTGAAAAACCAGCTCAAAGATATCCAGCAACAACTGAAAGAGTCGGACTCGCAGCAAAGGTGGACATCGGAGCGTGATGTGGAGTTGGAAGAATATCGCAAGTTGCTACCGCAGCTCGAGCAGGAATGCAATGAGATTCAAAATCTCAAGAAACAACTAGAATTCAACAACCATGCACTCACCGAGCGTTTAGAAAGTGCGGATGAGCAGCATGAAAGAGACGATGCGTTGATCAGTGAACTTCGTGACCGTCTCGGCGAGCTTGAGGGATTGCCTGGTACCTCGTCGCCGGGTTCCGACACACCGAAGATGCAGGGAACACTGCACAAAGATTTTGAGGCTATTGAGTCCCAACTGTATGTTCATATTCTTCACATGACGCTCGAAAGTGTGCTAATATTTTCCAGTAAATCCGAGAATGATGAGTTGAAACGGGATTTGGAAGCTTCGAAGCCACCATCGACTACTGTAGGTTCCCTATGCAAGACATGCCCCATAATTTCGAACATGCTAACATTAAATAGCTGGGGGCACAATCGGAAGGATTTTCTGAAAGCTTTAATGCGTCCGTGCAGCTTGCTCGTACCAACACTACACAGAGGTATGTCTGGTGGATGTGATATCTTTGTTCTTTTTGCTAATTCTAATTGCAGCGATGACTATTGGAAGTTATATGAGACTTATACCAGCAATCTGAAGAGGATTGCTGAGATTCAGGACTCTCTAGATACTACCAAGAAGGAACTGTCTGATGCACAAACCAATAGTAAGTCAATATGCTACACAATGACCGTGAAAGTAAAGAGGGAAAAACTAATGAAATTCCAGTTGGCCTTCTTGACTACGAAAGAAGCGACATGATCCGTGAACTGGAAGAGCACAACTCAGCCGAGCTGACGAAGCTTCGCGGCGAGTGGGGTTCTCTTTCTCAGAATGTGCACCACTTGGAAGCCGAGGTTGATGCAAGTCAGACCTTGGTGCGCGAAGTGTGCGCTGAGCGAGAGGACTTGCGCAAGATGCTTGAAGACAAGCAGAATGAGATCAGCGCCGAGGACCAGGAAGTCATGTCTGAAATGCAGATGCTCCTGGGAGAATTTGAAACTCACAATAGCGAGGGCGGCGATACGCCTCAGAAGTCAAGCTACGAACTTTTGAAGCAGTGTGCCAGCGTATTAGAGAAGAATGTTGAGCGACTGGCTCAACGCGCAGAGGTAAGCTGCCCCAACGTACTAGTGCTCATGAATATGAAACTGAACCATTTACTAACTTTGAAACCTCAAAACAGTATATCCAACAACAAAACGAACTCATCAAGTCTCTACGCGAGCGGATGAAGAAATACGAAGAAAACTTTGACGACGGCATCCCTAAAGAGCGTGAAGTAAGCCTCAAATCGCCCGTTATCCGTCAATAAACCCAGCACAGAATGCTAACCATTCTTCCAGATTGAACTCCAGAGAGTAATTGATGACCAGGCCCGTGAACTGAGCCTCGTGAGCTCGGCATGGTATCACCTCCAGAGCCGATGGCAAAATAACAACATGACCGTCTCTCGTTTCCGACACGGAGCGAATACGGCCGACCTTCGCGGTTGGCTGGCCAAGCAAAGAAGTGTGGTCGCTGGCCAGTAACCCTTGAGTCAAGTACTGCAGGCAGACCACTTGAGTCGAGTCACTCATTGCTCGTCGTTCCTTTTATAGTTATTCTCGATTATATCCCTGCTAGATCCCCGCATATACCTTTGAATTTTATTCTTTTGGGCGTATAGAATGCATGTTATTTGTTCGCTGTTCATACTACTCCCTTGGTGGCTTCTTATTTGTTTTATATCGGTCTTCGCGATGGACCAAATGTTGAGTTACACCGTGACTTAACTTCATACTGCACAATATAGAGATCAGCTTACTAGCATATTGTCTACCATCAACAATCTTCTCATCGGGAATAGCAGACTTAATAGGTTCATTGAATACCTGCAGCTTGCCCAGTACAATCAATGCGCTCAGTTTGATTGACCAATTGGTCTCTTGTCGAGAAGCGGTAAATCCCAACTAAAGACGGAGAACAATCTTGCCAATCTGTTTACCCTGCCAAACATACTCAACAGCATCCTCAGCCTGCTCAAATGGAAAGACCTTGTCAATCAAATCATGAAGACCAGTTTGTGCTGCTGAAAGAGCAGCACAAAAGTCTTCCATATCGTGCTTTGAGCCGGCATTGATACCCCGAAGATTAATCCTGCGATCGATGATAGTTGGAACCAGCTCTCGCAAATCGGCAGGATCCTGCTTCGACAGATATCCGACTTGACTGACCACACCACCACGTCGAGTGCACTTGAGACTTTTGACCAAGGATCCCGTTCCACCATTCTCTACAACGATGTCCACGCCCTCTCCGCCTGTAAGCTTCATGGCTTCTTGATCCCACTCCGGATTCGTGGAATAGTTGAGAGTCAAAATCCCTGGGTATTTGTCTGACATTTGCTTGAGTTTTGCGTCGCTTGAAGATGTTAAAATGATTCGCAGACCGGCCGCTTTCGCAAGTTTAAGTGCGAAAACGCTTACGCCTCCAGTGCCTACCCTGAAGTTAGCTTTTCTCTCTTTTATTGATGCTGATTTGGGTGTGAGCTTACCTTGAATCAAAACAGTTTGCCCAATACTCATCCCCTTCAAAGCTGACCAAGCAGTCACTCCAGCACAGGGAATAGTAGCAGCCTCAACCCAATCAAGATAAGTTGGGAGTTTACAGAGAACATTCTCGTCGAAAACAATATGATCTGCCATAACACCATCTTCATCCGCTGCTAGCCATGAACGGCTGATCTCCCGTCCCGATATATTCTCAGTATCAGTAATAGGTCCAGCCCTATCACCAACTTCTAGTGTCTTAACTTTGTCACCGATGGCGATGACTTCGCCCGCTGCGTCGTTACACAGTATCCCGTTTGGTATGACTGGCCACGGATTTCCCCCATTCGCAATATTCGCATCACGGTAGTTAAGAGCGACGGCATGGACTTTGATTAACACAGATGTAGGTCCAAGGGGAGGTAGAATCTCCTCCACAAGTTTCACTTTCGGCGTGCCGGGTGTATAGTCGTCTGTTCGGCGAAAGGCACGGCGTCGAATCGCATCTGAGTTGGGCATTTTATCGTATCCAGGTCGATCTTCCCTGATATTTTATTTTGATAGTAATAAATTGATTATATTCAAGTTTGTTGGAATTTGATCATTTATACCAAATTTACCAAGGTCATGTTCAGGGTTGCTTTGATTGCTAATACTCGGCTGCGTCGACGTCACTCATTGGCGCGGGAATCGGGCTTGATACCGACAGTGCTCCACCCCCGTCTGTGTTGGTTCTCATCGATCATGTCAAATTTGGCTTAGCTGCGGAGAGCCTGACACCGAATGAGGAGGTTCTATTTTCAAGTAGTGCACGACAAATCGCTTTTCCTTTCAATTTCAACCAATAGACACTCCCATCGGTACTCTTGGACCGATGAATATATTCGGCAAATCCGATATACTTAGCCCTGAGCAGCAATCCCCCAATCATCTAGGGTAATATAGTCACTTAGAGTGATTGATTAACTCGGCTGTGAGTCCGAATCTAGAGACAGAGCTGTTATCGCGGGGTAGCCGCGGTATTTCCGATCTTCTAATTGATCGATGCGACGTGTATTTATTCAGCTATGTTTATTTCACAGATTAAATAGCTTTGCTGCCAAAATAGATAAAGCAGCGGTTCCCCCAATCCCAGAAGAAATTTCAAAAGGCCTCAAATCTGACCAAGGACCATAACACTCTTTCTTATCATAAAGTTCTCATTGCCAAAAAGTAATGCCAGACCTCTTCATTACGCGAATCGACGTCTTTAAAAAAGACCTTCCATATTCTGGAGGAGTGTACCGACTTTCAGGCGGACGAGAATATCGCCAATTCGACGCAACCTTTGTCCGCATCACGACCCAAAATGGATTAGAAGGCTGGGGTGAAAGCACACCTTTCGGATCGACCTATGCCGCTGCCCACGCCCTAGGAGTCCGCGCCGGCATTGCAGAAGTTGCGCCAAAGATCATCGGTCTTGATCCAAGAAGGGTTGATCGTATCAACGACGCAATGGACGAGGCTCTTCTAAGGACACGAGCATGCGAAAACCGCCATTGATATCGCATGTTGGGATGTTTTCGGGAAATCGGTCGGAATGCCAGTTTGCGAGCTCCTGGGAGGCCGCACGGACGTAAAGTTGCCAATTATTTCTTCCATATACGTTGGAGAGCCGGAAGAAATGCGTGCTCGTGTTGCTGAGCATCGAAGCAAGGGCTATGTTGGTCATTCTGTTAAGATTGCTGGAGAGCCTGTCGCTGATGCGGCTCGGATCGCTGCCTCACTTGCGGATAGGCAGCCTGGGGAATTCTTTCTGGTTGATGCTAACTGTGGTCTTACTGTGGAAACAGCTCTGCGTATGTTAAGACTACTTCCCTCAGGGCTTGATTTTGTTCTGGAAGCGCCCTGTGCAACATGGAGAGAATGCGTCTCTCTTCGGCGCAGAACAAATATTCCTATACATTTTGATGAACTTGTGGTTTCAGACGCTTCGATTATTCAGGCAGTTGCAGATGACGCTGTTGAAGGAGTTGGCATGAAAATATCCAAAAGTGGCGGGCTCACACACTGCCGGCGCCAGCGAGATATTTGTATTGCGGCGGGATATACATTCAGCGTCCAGGATACTGTTGGATCTGATATTACTTTTGCTGCTATTGTTCACATGGGACAAACTGTTCCGGAGAAAAATCTACGATGCATCCTCGAGCCTCGTGATATGGTGACTATCAAGACGGCCGATGGCCCATTTGAAGTTTTTGAAGGAAGTGTCACTGCTCCCAGTCTGCCTGGGCTGGGAATTACGCCTCGCATGGATGTACTGGGAGAGCCTATAGCCAGCTATTCCTGAGCCCTGGTAAAGTGATACTTTCATATGCATCTGGAATTAGAAGCAGTCATTTGGAATTTTAAAATAGAAAAGATATTTTGTACGAGAGTACTGTTCTTTGAGTCGGATCGATTGAATTCCTACTGGATTATAGCAGCTAGCGCCAAAACATGTCCGTTTGCACGATCCTCTTGAATTTTTGGGGGATCTTTAATCGCTTATGGCACACAAAATTGGCGTAAACATCCGCCCGGATTGGATTAAAATCCTTTGACAAAAAACCGCCCAGAGCGCAGTTAACAGGAGGGAGGTCCGTTGAAGGCTGAGCTGAACCACTTTCCCGAGGGCTGCTAAATGGACCATGGGCCCTTCTGAATCCAGATTAGTATGTAATCACTATACAAATTAGATATACTCAATCTATATGTCTACAGTAGTACTAGCATTGCAAAAGTTTCTGACTCCCTGTTGTCTACCTCTAGTTACTGTCTTCTAATAGCAGACTAGTGCCTACCCAGGATAGAATAGATTAGCTACTCTACTCCATCTTAGGTAGGTACTACTCTACTATATGAAAGCGGAGACTAGAGAGGTCAACAAGGGACTAGAAACTTTCACGGCGCTATAGAGGTAGATTAAGTGTATCCAAAATTGTATGGAGATTACATACTAATCTGGATTCAGAACGGCATATGGTCCATTCAGCAGTCCTCTTCGTTAGAGGTCTCTTCTCCAATGGGAATTGGTGGTCTGCTAGATTCTATAAGATAAGAGAATATAAATCTAAACCTATGCAGTTTTCTTTTATTGCCGGCTTCGTTCTCCCTTTTTGGCTCGGGTTGAGATCCCGAGAAGCGCGGTGGGGGCTCGGCACTCCCGAAATACGTGGGGCATCAGGCCATGATGTGTGCTTGTAAATACCATTAATGACCCGCCTATCACAAAGGGCTAATTGAGAATGAATCGGGTTCCTTTAAGGGGTCTTCCAAGCATATTAAATGATGACGAAAGGGAAATTATGGAGATAATATTAGGTATTGATAAAACAAAGGAGGCTAGCTAATAGTTATAGACGAACCGGGACTGCCTGAGGTATCACAGCCTCAACAGTAAATAAATTTATTATAGACAAACGAACTAAAAAATCAAATTGACCTTTGCAACTAAACCGATATAATCCGATGCAATTATCGAATGAGTGGGAATGATGACCCGAACGGGAAGGAATTAGGATTTTGCCGGTGCGGGGGTTCTGGGTTCTCCAATTGATACTGAGATGCCCCTCAACTCGAATCTCTCTTGCTCACGACTGAAAAACTTCATGGATTCTTTATAATGCAGCCTGTGCAGCGATCAGAAGCGCCTAGCGCAATCCGGAAGCAAAGGAGAGCGGCCATCGCGTAAGAAAACACTCGACATTGCCAGAGGTGAAAAAAGATAAATCGCTAACAAGAGATTGGGGCCAGGTGTACGGCATGCCGCCAAAGCAAGATAAAATGCTCTGGGGATAATCCTTGTTTTAATTGTCGACGGAAGTCGCTTCAATGTCGCTTTGCCGAAGACAATAACAAGATTCTAGTCTCTGAACGGTTCGTACTATAGTTTTGTGCATATAGAAACTTCGACGATGAGACTGTGCTAACCATTTTGACAAAAGCTACCTTAGGAACTTGCAGAAGCAAGCCTATAATTGGCAGCGGGCAACCGGCGTCAAGCGCCCACATGAGCAATCGCCCCGCTCTGATGGGGATGATCTTAATAAGGGACAACCCATTGATGAAATCGGGTCTTCCGAGGAGTTCTTAGGCCATAGGCCCGGGATATCATCCGAAACGCCTGACACCGAGACCTCATGTAATATATGGACAAGCCCGTTCACAGTCCCATCAACAATCTTCAAGGGCACTCATCAGCAACAACGAAAGTGGAGTGAGTGGCCGAATCGACTTTATCAAATTCAACCAGTGGACAATTGAATCTAATGTTTGCAACAGTTTGGTTAGCACCAGCATCACCATGGTCCCTCACGAATCGACTCATCTTGATGATGACGAAAAGATTCGACCCCAATCCAGCTCAAACCCCCCGCGCAATTATACCTGGATGGAGATATATACCCTCTGGCATGGAATGATGATGCTTCAAAGTCCGAATTCATAGACAAGACTGACTTACCTTCACTTGAATATATCCTCTATCTTTTTCAAATTGTTCAGTTTCGCCTTGGTCGAGCATACAGGGTCCTCGAGGAGAAGTCATTCATAGAATATCTACATCGACTTTACGAGAAACGCCCCGAGACAACGACGTCCGACTCTCGATTTTGTCTTGCTCAATTCTTCATGGTCCTTGCGCTAGGAAATGCATTTATCTCAAGGAATCGAAACTTGAAGGATCCTCCCGGATCAAAATATTTTGTCCGAGCCATGAACATTATGCCTACCAATATAGCGACGGGAAAGGATAGCCTAATTGCGATAGAGGCTCTTGCACTCGTTGGATTGTACCTCTACGCCATTGATCATAGAGAGGCAGCTCACGTACATGTAAGTACAGTACATCTACAGCATTCAATTGCAGCCCATTTGACTCGAGGGTTTGAGCAATCTTGCTAAAATTCGCACCAAGGTCGGCCATGCTATACGCATAGCCCAACTAGAAGGAATGCACACCCAACTTCCCGAAGAGGACCTCGGAGCTTCAACCGTGTCTCGATGTCGGAATCTCTGGTGGTCCTTATACATGATGGATTCCCACTTCTCCCCTTCTCTGGGTCTTCCAATGACTCTTCAAGATAGCGACATTACTACCCTGATAAACTCGCCAACATCAAGTTCCCAAAACCTGGCCTTTAGTCTCCAGGTCAGGCTTACGCGCATGTGTTCATTCATAATTAGCAGTGAGTTTTACTCTCGTTCTAAACCTGGGACATTCTAACCCCACCCTCCCTTTATTGGCTCACATATCTGATACCGAAATATCTTTAAAAGCGATATATAAGACAGAGAAGACCCAACTTGCCACCTTTTTGGACATCACGCGCAGTATTCTAGAGGCTATGGCAAAATATGCAGAGGAGATTGAGGATATGTTCAACATAAAGTTCCATGGCTCTGGAGACAACGTTCCAGAAGAGACCCGTCATACGATTCTTCTGTACCACCAGGTTAGTCACTCGCCAGTAAGCTTATATTTATATTGTTCCGCTACTTACTCAATGCATCTAGTGTATTATAGTTGCAACAAGACCCCTTCTTCTCTCCGTACTCAAAGAAAGACTAGAGAAATTAGGCCGAGAAGAAGAAGATTGGCAAAAGTTCCTCACACTTCCAAAGTCCTTGATCTCAATTGGCATCAAATCCGCAGAGAAAACACTTCAAATCATAGGAAGTGAGAATAGCTTTCTTGGTACGTGCGATCCTACTAGTATTCTACCCCTCCCTGTTCTACTATTCCCCTTAATCTACTAGTAGCTACGAGAAATCCATTTCTAACTTCAAAACAATCACCAGAAACATTCCTACCATTCGATCACGAAATGACCTACTCCGCCGCAGTCCACCTGACAATGGCAAAAACACTTTTTCCATCAAGCACCCAAGACCGACTATACAGCGAGAACGCACATGCCATTCTAGACGAACTAATTCTCTGGGGTAATCGAGTGGCCACGGCCCGAAAGCAAGAATTGAGTCGCATTGAGGACTTATTCCAGAAACTTGCTGAACGGGTTGAGCAGGAAGGTCTACTTCTATTAACTCTATCCGATGCTGCATTCAATCCTGATGCCAGTGCGGGTCCGGGATCTTTCAGTACTATGGCACAGTCACAGTATATCCCAATAGGGAGAGTTTCTACAGCAGATACTGTCGGGCCCGGGGCTGTTGCCCTTCCCCCAGCAGCGTCATCAGCTGCTGCCGCTGCCCAGCAGGATAATCAGTCAGTCCCGGCTGATACACCAGCAACAGCAGCCAACCTCGACTTTCTTGCAAATATTGGGATTTCATCGTATGAGTTTCATTCTATTATTGATCAAATCAATAATCCCGAGATGTTATCTGGCGGCGACATGGATATGAGCCCGCATTGGTCGGCAGCGGTAGATACCTCGTATTCGAGCTCGTTGAATTGAATTGCTCGAGGGTGGCTGTCAAGAAAAAAGGAACCGAGAAATGAAGAGTATAGACCTGCGGTTTGATTGTGGATCAGGATATTTGTGAGATAAGTAATGTACATAGACAAAAACAAGAAGAAATCCTTCTAATAAGGTACAAGATGATACAATGTATTTAAATATTTTGGTACAAAACCGGATGTGTGAAAAATATTACGGCCTCAGCAGTAAATGGCACCGGCCAAATAAATTAAGCCCATTGCCGAGGGTGCTTCAACACATCCATTAGTTCCCTTTCGCTTTTCTTATCCTCTGCAAGCTCGTCCTCATCGGTTAACATGTTCTCGGTCCTGGTACCGGAGACGGGGTCCATGTAGGCCCAGCTTGCGGTTCGAGGAAGACTCATGAGGATACTCTCAACACGAGCGTTCGGCGTGCGCAAGCCAAAGCTAGTACCGCGATCGTAGACGAGGTTGAATTCCACGTAACGACCCCGGCGGAGTTGTTGCCACTGCTTCTGCTCTGGGGTATAGGACATATCCATTCTCCTCTCAATGATGGGTACATAGGATGGCAGGAACGAGGTTAGACCATCCGAGACGAAAGAGAAGAGCGTTTCTTGCGGGTTGGAGGAGGAACTGCTGGAAGCTTGGAGGAAACTGGCGTCAAGATCGTCGAAGAAAATGCCGCCGACACCTCGACACTCGCCGCGATGAGGGATGTAGAAGTACTTATCACACCAAGCCTTGAACTTGGGGTAATAAGTTGCGTCGTGTCGATCACAGGTATCCTTAATGGTCTTGTGGAAATGCTGGGCATCTTCGGGGAAAAGATAGGTAGGGGTCAGGTCGGTGCCACCGCCGAACCACCAGTTCTTATCACCGTTGATGGGATTCTTCGGGTCGGAAGTCTCGAAGTATCGGTAGTTCAAGTGCACCGTCGGCGCCATGGGGTTGTGTGGGTGGAGAACCAGCGAGAGACCGGCGGCAAAGAAAGTCAGCGAGTCTACGTCAGAACCAACGAAGGACTTGTGATCGGCGCGCATCTTCTCAATAGCCGGACGTGGAAGCTCGCCGTATACCACGGAGACATTAACACCGGCTTTCTCGAAGACATTTCCATCTTGCAGAACGCAGGAGATGCCACCGCCACCATTGGGACGCGACCAGGTATCCGTCTTGAACTCCTTGCCATCTATCCTGCCCAGCTCCTCAATAATCTTCTGTTGATTCTCCTTGATGAGCTTTTCCATTCGCAGGCGCATGGGCGAAGACTCATTGATGGGGGATGATTTCTTGATGGCTTCGTCTAGCTCGACAATCGAAGGCGAATCGAGTTCGGTAATTTCACCGGTTGCCTGTGAAGGTGTTAATAGCTGGATTACGACGCGTGAAAGAGTTCCTGCCTACCATGGAGTAGATGAGCGCGCCGATGAAGGGAACACCGATGGCAAGTCGCAAATAAGGTCGCCAAACGGTGAACTGTTGCTTCGGACGAGAGCCTTGCCCCTGCTCGGTGGCATACCTCCGTAGAGAATTGCCTGCATGGCGGCCGGTAATATGAGTGTTTCGCGCAGGCAGCTGGGCGAGGGACCTCCGGAGAGGCATGAAAGAGCGTGAGGCCATTTTCGCAACGGGGACCGAAGGTATTCGCGCGGCCGATTGCCGGGTTGAAAGCAGGAGATTGCAAGGAGGAAGTGATTCAAGGGTCGGCGTGCATGCAGTTGAGGTCAAGCCGGACTCTTATTAAGGGTACCCTAACTCGTGAAGATCATGAAATACTCGGGATCTCGTACGACATCAGGCAATGTCCGGACATCTCCAGAGTTCCAAAGTGGATTCGGACCCGCGCGCCTTCGAGTGGAGTTTGTCTTGTTTGTCTGGATGAGGTAAGCATCTCCGGAACTATTGCAAGCCTATGAGACTTTGACTGGGTACCTTGCTAAGTATAAATGTTTATTCGAATATTAAAAGAAGATGGTTCATAGTACATACCTGTACGGTATTCCGGTTATTGTTTTGATACATAAGTATCAGTTGGGAGGTGGTTCTGTTGCTGCTGGGAATATCAGATAGTGGAGACTGGGTGTGGTGGCTGAGTCTGTGACTCTGTCCTAGAGACCCGGGTCATGGTCTCTTTTCTTGAGCTTCTGCCTTGTAGCATTAAACCGTATAGTGAAAGAAAATACTGTAAAAATAAGATACTCATAATTTGCTTATGATTTATGAGGCTCCGACATACTCCGCCGGTGTATTTGTGGGGCATCCCGAGCATGGGATTCACCGGCACACTGTGATGATGGTAGTAAATTGGTAGACTAATAGACTCAGGAACAAACTGAACGGGTATTACTCAGGTAAATGCATAACTGACTACAGTACAAATGACTAGAAATGACTACTAGTCCAGTGATATCTGGTAGTCAAGTGATAGCAGCGCCTGACTCACCGCCTCCCCCTCTCATTTGATGGTAATACGGTAACGTCAGCGGGGGTTGTCCCTTTTGTCATCGATAGCAGGTAGGCCCCCCTCTCTTCTTCCAACTGCATCTATCCAACCTCTACTCCATCCATCCACCGCTGCGACTTACCATACACCTCCGTTCTCATCTCTTACCCATCTCCGGCTTTCCCAAGCTTCATCCCCACCAGACCCGCTTTTACTATCGCCTTATCAGCCATGCGATCCAAGTTTAAGGACGAGCACCCCTTCGAGAAGCGCAAGGCCGAGGCCGAGCGAATTCGCCAGAAGTACGCCGACCGCATCCCGGTAAGTTTTGACTCAAAATCTCTTACGACTTCATCTGAAACCAGATGCCCTGGCCTTTGCGAGATCCATCCCACTCCCTCATCTCCTCCCCTCACCGCTTGTTCGGTAGCTAACGGATCGCGATACAGGTCATCTGCGAGAAGGTCGAGAAGTCAGACATCGCCACCATCGACAAGAAGAAGTACCTGGTTCCCGCAGATCTCACCGTCGGCCAGTTCGTCTATGTGATTCGCAAGCGCATCAAGCTCTCCCCGAGAAGGCGATCTTCATCTTCGTCGATGAGGTTCTGCCACCCACTGCCGCGCTTATGAGCAGCATCTACGAAGAGCACAAGGACGAAGATGGTTTCTTGTACATCACGTATGTTCTATGTTGTCCTCGAAATTCCATATCTGAGACTTTTCCGCCTCGCTGGTCACACATGAAAAAACAAATACTAACTCGGTGGAAAACACAGGTATTCCGGAGAGAACACTTTCGGCGACCTATAAAGGTTGATCTTTTCTAACTTGTTCTCATTTACATCATGACACTACCACCGATAGCCCTTGCGTGGGGTCTTTCTGACGGGTGGTCCGATGCCCGCCGGCTGAAGTGATCATGGCAGATGAGACTCATGCAACCTTTCCAAACGGTCTCGGTTCCCACGGTCATGCGGCGTTTAATCGGAGTTGTGCACACATCTTGAATTTCTCTCTCTCTTCTGTTTGCTAGGTGACGAGGCCATATGCCTTTGCTCTAAGAAATGAAATGAGATCTGATCTCTGAAACTTTTCGGGCGTCTATGCTTCTTATGCGTGCGTTGGATTTTCAAACCTTGGGTTTGTAGCGTTCGGAGCTACTTTAATCAGCTCTCCAGTTGCTGAATGAATGAATTTGGCTTCTCTCTTACTAGAGAATTTGTGAAGACTCCACCCGAGAGAAGATCGTACGATCGCTTCGAGCGGGTAGTAGTAAATGAGATGCAGGCACAGTGCTGGATGTGGCCAACCCGGGGTAAGCACCGCGCAAGTTTAGCAGGCCATTATCATTGTAATGGAGATTAATTCTTATTTTTGCTTCTTCATACTTCCTAACTCCCCCTTAAATGCTAAATGGTGGTATACCATATACCGTATACTGTATACTGTAGTTGTACCTGGTCCGCCCTCCGACTCCGGCACCCAAACGGGACTAGTTCGACCCACTCGCGTTCTCAAAAAATCCAGGACGCGGACGATACTGCATTTCGGTTCATTACTCACCTCTCTCAACGTCAAGATGTCTCCCATTGCCCATGCCGGCGCCGGCGCCGCCTCTAAGGATGTCAAGAAGGAATCCGCCACTGCTCGTCTTCTCGGTTCCGGTATGATTCTTCTTGTCCGCAGAACTTCCCCGACGATGGCTAACCTGCTTGTTACTTAGGCTCTGCTGGTATCGCCGAGCTGCTGGTCTTCCACCCCGTACGATAATCCCAATTGAACGTCAACGCCATCTATTCATTTCTAATGCCCTCCTTTTAGGTCGACACCACCGCTAAGCGGCTGATGAGCAACCAGACCAAGGTGAGTTCGGACCAGAGTGCGGAAAGCATCATGCGCCGCAATTGTTGATGACCCCAATTCTTCTAGATCGTTGGATCTGCCGACTTCAAGAAGGTTGTCTTCAAGGAGTATGCCGATGCCCCGCTTGGCCGCAAGTTCACCTCCATGTTCCCCGGTTTGGGCTACGCCGCCGGCTACAAGGTTCGTTCAGTCCTCGACCACATATAGATACGCTCGGGTCAGACTCTCAGGGCAAATCGCTGATGTGTGGTGTTTTTTTTATACAGGTTCTCCAGCGTATCTACAAGTACGGTGGTCAGCCCTTCGCCCGTGACTACCTTGCTCAGCACCACGGTGCCGCTTTCGACAATGCCTTCGGAAAGGGTAACGGCAAGGCTATCATGCACGCGACTGCTGGCAGGTATGTGGCATATACAAACACTATTCCTGCGGAGGACACAACAAGGCTAACCTTCCTCCTAGTCTGATCGGTATTGGAGAGATCGTCCTGCTCCCCCTGGACGTCCTGAAGATCAAGCGCCAGACAAACCCCGAGGCCTTCCGCGGCCGTGGTCTGTTCAAGATTATCTCCGATGAGGGTATGGGTCTGTACCGTGGTGCCGGTTGGACTGCTGCCCGTAACGCTCCCGGTTCATTCGCTGTAAGTTGAACGACCCACCACCACCTGACATGTGAAATCTCGCGCTCCCGCTCACATTTTTGGTTTCTCCCTTTTATAGCTCTTCGGTGGATCTGCTTTCGCCAAGGAGTACATCTACGGTCTGCAGGACTACAACAAGGCCACCTGGGGCCAGAACTTCGTTGCCTCCGTTGCCGGTGCTTCTGCCTCCCTGATCGTGTCCGCCCCTCTTGACGTGATCAAGACCCGCATCCAGAACCGCAACTTCGAGCACCCCGAGTCCGGCCTGCGCATCATCTCCAACATGATGAAGAACGAGGGCGCTACCAGCTTTTTCAAGGGTCTGACTCCCAAGCTGCTGATGACCGGTCCCAAGCTGGTTTTCAGCTTCTGGTTGGCTCAGACTTTGATTCCTGCTTTCGGTCAGGTTGTATAAAGCAAAGCAAAGCAAGAGTTCGGTACATGAAAGATTCTTTATAGCCGCGGCGTTACTATTCGACAACACTCTCCCCACTTTTTCTTTCTCTCTTCATTTCGGGTCTTTTGGGCTTTTTTCCTGGCTCCGGGCTTCCCAGGGGACCCTTTTGTGTATTTTTTCCTCTTATAGACATGGTTTATTGTTGTTCCAACGGGAGTCTAGTCTACAGCCAAGAAATATAAATCTTCAGAACTTACCACCGGTCTCTCTCTCTCTCAAAACCTGCAGCAGTCGGCTCGCCGCCTGCCGCAATGCCTTAGGCACCACGCTCATCGGGAGTACTATTTAGGTGCTTGCTTGTTGTTCTGCTTCCTCCCCTCTGCATGTTTAGTATTGCGTTCAACTGCTTCTCCCTTTTTTAACTGGCCATTTCCATATATAACTGGGCTATTACAAAATTCATATAATTTCACATCATCCCATCACTTGAAGAGTTGCACTCCAACAAAAATATAATCACGTGACCCTCCGCATCCGCGATCCGCGGCGCCGCAACTGAACTTGGAAACCAGAATCAACCCCAAAATCAAGCTCGACATGGCCGCCTACCTCCTCTCTCGGTACGTCTACAACTGCTCAGTTGCCGCTCATGGCCCTTGGACCATTACACAATCACCAGCTGGAGCTTTCCCTACCCAATCACCTACCCCATCCACCACAATGCCCTCGCTTGCCTTCCGATTCAACGCTAACAGTGCTGCACCAACAGGATAGGAGATCCAATCTTCGCCCTAACGATGGGTGTAACAGCAGCCATAACACGCATCCGCCGTGACCAAATCGATAAGAGTCCCGAGAACACTCCAGAAATCGGATACGGAGCTGTCGTGCAGCTGGGTCAGAAGCGGTTACAACGCTGGTGGAATGGGGATTTCAAAGACGTTTGAAAGGATTGAAGAGGAAGAGTAGTTCTTGGACAAATCTTCTTGTATAAAGGAAAAGCATGCACATGGCGGCGAGGGAGAATATTCGGGTTTACCCTTCCTCCCTCCCTCCCTGCCATCCAATGCGTTTCGATTCGCGGCATTATACGATTTCATGGGGTTGGGAGTCTTGGTTGGAATGAATTTTTGTTGTTTTGGGTTATTACCCTTTTATTTTTGTCGATGATTTTTGTCGATGCATTGCTTTGATGGCTGTAGTAGCTTCAATTCAGGAATCTGCATTGCCTGCACCTAGTTATATTGTTCAAGTTCCCTTGTACTAGTTATGTCATGCAAACTGTAGCTCAAGACATACTATCAATCCATCACAGCATGAACTTGAATTCAGTACCAATCAAAAATCGAGCTAGGTATATAAATTATGCAAACCTTGAAATTTTCGATGGTCCTCTTGGAAATCCATGATGTTACTAGTAATTATGGGACTATGGCCGCCCAAGCGAACAACTAGAAATTAATGTGAATTTACTTGAGCGAGCAACTTCAACAGAAAGCTTGATCGAGTAGCACCGCAAGTGAAATTAATTGCTCAGAAACCTTACCGAAAACATGAATCATTTTTTGACCTGCGCCTAGTCTATTTTCGATATTTCGATAGGAACATGGCATTGCCAATACGGAAAACCTCAATTGCGACCCCATTAAATCACTTGATTTATATTCCAGCACCTCAAAAGCATACAAATTGCCCCTATCAGAGCCCCAGCCCCAGCCTCACACGATACTAGGTTCTTCAAGGGTACATAACTAGTTACAAATACTAGTAGTCAAGTCCATCTATTCCTCCAAACATCTCCTCAACAAAGAAACAGCCTCCCCATAAGCTTCATCCCTAGCCTTCACGAAAACATCCCCCGTAAATTTCTTATCAAAAGCGTGCCCACACCCCTCCATCCGACGAATTATAACCTCCCTCGACTTTCCCATTTTGCTTTCACCACTACCACCAGCACCAGAACTACTCTTAGCAATATCCCTCACCCTGAACGCCAACTCCTCCGCCTCAGCCGCAGAAGCATCCAACCCCCCCGGTAACGAAAAGCATATACGCCGGAAACCTTGCCACCTCTACATCCGTAACAAAAGCAGGCGAAATCCTCGGATCTCTAGAATCGTACGGGCCAATATACGCTTCCCTGAAAATCCTCGTCCAGAATGGTGAGCGTTCTTTACCGCCGATAGGTGTTTTTCGCTGGCTTGGGTCTTGGGCAAGATTTGTTGCTGGGTAGAATGTTATTAGGGATTTGAATGGGGAACTTTTGCGGGTTGTTGATGCTGCTGCTAGTGCTGCTGCTGCCGCCAACGCAAGAGTCCCACCAGACGAGAATCCCGAAATAGAGATTTTCTCGGAATCATACTGATCCGGATGATTTTCGACATAACTTAGAACATCCTCGACATCGTTTAGAGCGGTTGGGAATGGGAACTCTGGCGCCAGGCTGTATTCAACGTCTAGAACGACGTAGGTTGTGTTCTCTGAAACGAAGCGGCAGAATTGGTCGTCTAGGCCGTGGAGTGGGAATGTTAGGCCGGAGCCGTAGAGGTTTATGAGGACTGGGGCTGGAGGGGGAGGACTAGTAGGACTAGTAGGGCCCGGGGGTTTGTCACGGTCTTCAAGGTTATTCTCTGTCTCTGTCTCTGCCTCTGCCTCTGCCTCTGCGACTGCAGGTGATTTGTAGACATGGACTTTTATAGTTCGGTTTCTTTGTCGAGATGGGATTTGTAATATGTCATCCGGATTTGGTTTTGGCGATGTAGTGAGGAGTTTTATTAGGAGGCGGGAAAATGTGATGAGGAGTTTTAGGTAGAGATATCGTATTGAGGTGAAGATGCTGGCCATTGTTTTGATGACTGGTTTGGTTGGTTCCTCTCCGCGTCTCCTGCAGTGGCAAGCGAAGGGAGTTAGGGGATGAATGATCAAAGTCGGTAGGATTCCCTTCCGTGGCACTGCATATGATGACTCATTTGAGCTTGAATCGAAATGCGGGGTCTACGTGTGCTTTATATCCGAATCTGATTTTAGAAATGGTACGAGTACAAGGTTCAGTTATACGACGTTTGACATGGGGAAGTGGGGCCCGATACCGGTCCAGATTTCTCTAGGCAAATTTTTCAAGGGGATGAAGGGGGGGAATCAATGATTACAATGTAAAGTTTTGGCTACGATGCAAAAGACTACACTTCTTGTCTACGAGTGGAAAGATTGAATTAAGAAATTTTGAATTTCGCTTGGACTTTTGTGTCCAGCAAGAGATAACCTCGGATCTATGCAATCATCGCAAAAGGAAAACTTCGATATCCCATAAGTTCGTAAAACAAAACGTGAAAAAAAGAAGGGCTTACTGAGCCATCATCATAAAAAGAAAAGAGAAGAAAAAGGCTTTAGAAAAAAACTACTCGCAAAGGCGAGACATTTAGTCAAGCTCCTCCTCATCCTTCTTCTCCTCGGTCTCGCCGTCAGCGCGCTGCTGAGGGGAGCACCACCGGCAGCACCGTAAGCGGCCTGCATGATGGGGTTGGCAATGGCCTCGAGCTCCTTCTGCTGGGACTCGTACTCGTCCTTCTCGGCAGTCTGGTTGTTGTCCAACCAAGAGATGATCTCGGAGATCTTGTCCTCGATCTTCTTCTTGTCATCGTCAGACATCTGGAGCTTGCCCTCGGTGATGGTGTTCTTGAGGGAGTAAGCGTAGGACTCGAGACCGTTCTTGGCCTGGATACGGCCAGCCTCGGCCTCATCCTCAGCCTTGTACTTCTCAGCCTCGGCAAGCATGCGCTCGATCTCCTCCTTGGACAGGCGACCCTTGTCGTTGGTGATGGTGATCTTGTTGGACTTGCCGGTGCCCTTCTCGGAAGCAGAGACGTTCATGATTCCGTTGGCGTCAAGGTCGAAGGTGACCTCAATCTGGGGGACACCACGGGGGGCAGGGGGGATGCCAGTCAGCTCGAACTTGCCGAGCAGGTTGTTGTCCTTGGTGCGAGCACGCTCACCCTCGAAGACCTGGATCAGGACACCGGGCTGGTTGTCAGAGTAGGTGGAGAAGGTCTCGGACTTCTTGGTGGGGATGGTGGTGTTGCGCTTGATCAGAGGAGTCATGACACCACCGGCAGTCTCGATACCGAGGGACAGAGGGGCAACATCGAGCAGCAGGATCTCGTTGGTGGACTTGGAAGAGGTGTCACCGGACAGAATGGCGGCCTGGACGGCAGCACCGTAGGCGACGGCCTCATCGGGGTTGATGGACTTGTTGGCGTCCTTGTTGAAGAAGTCGGAGACGAGCTTCTGGATCTTGGGGATACGGGTAGAACCACCGACGAGGACGATCTCGTGAACGGAGGACTTGTCGATCTTGGCGTCACGGAGGACACGCTCAACGGGCTCCATGGTGCCACGGAAGAGGTCCTGGCAGAGCTCCTCGAAACGGGCACGGGTGATGGAGGTGTAGAAGTCAATACCCTCGAACAGAGAGTCGATCTCGATGGAGGTCTGAGCAGCGGAGAGGAGGGTACGCTTGGCACGCTCGCAAGCAGTGCGGAGACGACGGAGAGCACGAGCGTTGGAGGTCAAGTCCTTCTTGTGCTTGCGCTTGAACTCGTTGACGAAGTGGTTAACGAGACGGTTGTCGAAGTCCTCACCACCCAGGTGAGTGTCACCAGCAGTGGACTTGACCTCGAAGATACCCTCCTCAATGGTGAGCAGGGAGACATCGAAGGTACCACCACCCAGATCGAAGATCAGGACGTTGCGCTCACCCTCAGTCTTCTTGTCAAGACCGTAGGCAATGGCGGCAGCAGTGGGCTCGTTGATGATACGGAGGACGTTGAGACCGGCAATGAGACCGGCGTCCTTGGTAGCCTGACGCTGAGAGTCGTTGAAGTAGGCGGGGACAGTGATGACAGCGTTGTTGACGGTACCACCGAGGTAAGCCTCAGCGGTCTCGCGCATCTTAACGAGGATCATAGCAGAAACCTCCTCGGGGGTGAACTGCTTGGCCTCACCCTTGAACTCAATCTCAATGACGGGCTTGGTGGCCTTGTCAATGATCTTGAAGGGCCAGTGCTTCATATCAGACTGGACCTCAGCGTCGGCAAAACGACGACCGATCAGACGCTTAGCATCGAAGACGGTGTTGTGGGGGTTCATGGCGACTTGGTTCTTGGCGGCATCACCGATGAGACGCTCAGTGTCGGTGAAAGCAACGAACGAGGGGTAGTGCGGTTACCCTGGTCGTTGGCGATGATCTCAATGCGGTCATCACGGAAGACACCCACACAGGAGTAGGTGGTACCCAGATCGATACCGACAGCGGGAGCCATTGTGAATGTGTGAGAGGATGTGTGTAGGAGGAGAAGGTGTCGTTAACTTGGGAGAATGGGGGGAAAAGGAAATTCGTGAAGGTAGTGTACAAGAGGAAGTTAACAGGAAAAGTGAGAGAAAAAAAAAGAGAGGGGGAGTGTGGGCAGCGAAATCCTGCTATATAGGTGAGCGGTGAATTGTTCCGAAGCTTCTAGTCAAGACCAGCTTCCACAGGTATCCATCCGGTTCCACGACCTTCGATGGGCCAACAACACTGTCTCCTGCTTTCAGGAATCTACTGAATGGTTCCAGATCGGTCTAGTGGATTCATTGATTTCTTTTTTTTACCAGTTACAAGCATACACCAATGTCCTTCTAGGAATTATCAATTGCAGTCTCTTCTTTGTCTTCGATTCTATATTTTTTTTTGGTGGGGCAAAGGTAATGATGTAATCGCGGGATGACTCTTTGTTGCCCCTACTACCATACACAATACAATACGATACAGTCTGCCTAGCTCGGGCAGCACTACTGCTGTACAATGGGTAGCTACCACTGTATGGTATGGTCACAGCCATACCCCCCCACCCAATGACAGTGGTGACCTCACGATGAATGCATCCATTTCCACTCTGGTCACGTGGTCTCCATAAAATACAGTCTTTGATGGAGACATTTCTTTGATATGATGCGATGAGGTCCGGGTCCAGGTATCTGATTTGCCACTTTTGACGCAGGGAGGATAAGAACTCTTTCATTTTCTTTCTTTCTTTCTGACATCAAAAAGAGAACCGCTGCTTCCAGCAGCTTCAGTGCTTTTACTACCAGACATCCATCATTAATTCTCTTCTTCCACTGCCTTCCAAACAGCTCCTTGCATTGAAACTATTTTTATCGATGCCCTATTAGGTAGTATTGCTTAATCACACAGCCTAAACCTGAACCTGCAAGATTAAAAAAACTCAATCTTCCATGCCGAGCCTCACTGCCCATCCATGTTTCATAGCCCAAAGCCAGCCCAACAAGGTTTGACAGCACAGCACAGCAGAGCAGAGCCCAAGAACCCCTATATTTTATGCGCTTAGTACCTGCTAACTAGTACCTACCCTATAAGTTGAAACCCAATAGAGAAAATCTATTAAATGCTTCCCATAAAAAGACACTTAATTCTTTCTGCCTATAGCCCAAGGACCCAACAAAATATAGCAGTATACAGTTACATTACATTAGCTAGCACAAAGCCCAATCACTCCCTCCCAATATTAGCAATATCCCGTATGGCAGAATCAGCCCGTTCATCCTGACCCCGATCAAGCTCCACCTGCCAATGTTCGCAAATTTTCCTCGAATTCAGAAGCGCCTTCTCCGCCTCTGCCTCTGCCTCTGCCTCCTTCTCACCCTCACCGTCGCCGTCAGACCCGCCCAGCGCAGTATGAAAACTCTCATTAGTACAGTCTGATCTCGCCGTGTGGAAACTCTGATGTTCTGAACAAGCAGAGCCTTTGTTACTGTAACTTTCACAAATAGCCTCAATCGAGGACAAAATTGCCGGTACGGCAGGTGCCTTGGATACTGGGCCCGGGCCACGGCTAAGAGCAGGAATAGGAGCAGGAGTAGGAGTAGGGCCTGGCTTTGAAGCCTTCTTAACTATCGCCTTACCCTTACCCATATCATCCCCCTTCTTCGCACTCTCATCCATCAACTTCAAAGCCTCCAGTTCCTGCCACTCCTCATTCAGCAGCGTCAGCCCCTCTTGAAAGCGCTCCTTCTCAACAACTTCCAATCGCTTGGCCAGCTCAGTCTTATCAACCGGGGCCTGGGCCTGCTGGAACTGGAACTGGGGCTGGGGCTTCGCCTTCCTTATCAAAGTTGGACTGCGGATTGATTTCGGTGGTCTGTGGGAAGAAGACTGGTGAGTAGACATCGACGGAGCACGGGCAGAAGCAGAGGCAGGTGATGAAAGAGGGTAAGTAGAAGCTCGACTAGCAGGGCGTGTAGGTGGAGGTGGACGGGCAATAGAGAACGACGAAGAACGACGACTGTATTTTCGCTCAGGGCAGAGGGAGGTCGGGATGTTGAGGGGTGGAATGGTACAGACGGTGTGCGGAATGGAATTTTTGGAGTCGGGGTATTGGCTTGTCTGTTATTGGCTTGTATGTTGCCTGTGGTTCTGTAATTTGAATTGGAAGTCGAATTGGAATTCGATTGGGGTTGGGAAGTGGACTCGCGACGGGCTCGTGAGGAGGCTGTTGCGCGGGCGAAGCTGGGTACGTACCCTTCATGCGCGCTGGAATTGGTTCTCGGCATTATTGTGGTTGGAGGAAGTAAGTAAGTAAGTACTAACTAGTTAAGTCTTAGGTAGACTGGCCTGCTATGAAGGTTGTAAGAAATGGTAAGTGTAACCTGGACCAAGTCAGTTAGCAGAGTAGAGCAGGGCAGGGCAGAGATGTGTGGGTATGTGCGGATGAGATGGCTGATCTGTGCAAGGAACAGCCTTCTTTGTATACAGGACTGGACCAGACTAGACTATAAGTGCTGGATATCCCGATATCTTTGTACTAGATCTGGAACTGCCTTGGATATGAACGGAGATTCTCGCTGACTTTCGAGTCCTTTTATACAGCCGACTCGATGCCCTAGTAAATTAACAATGATATTCCGTCTTTGTACAATGGCTCTGCCTTGATATTGACAGACAATGCAAAAGTTCCCCTCCTTTGGGCATATAATGCGCTGCTCAGGTTGAAGGATCTCTTTATACTCAATCCTTGAAAAAAGGGGTTTTCATTCCCCTATATAGAATCCTATTGGAGCATATTCTCAAGCTATTGTTTTCTTTTTCTTGGAATCCTTTGAGCAATCTCAACTTAACAAAGAGAAGTATATAGCCGCACTAGTGACAAAGGGGTTTTATAGACTGGGTTCTTCCAGGTAGGGCTGTGGCTTGCTGTCACGTTTTCAAGAGAACTTGCACCAGCATAGAGGAGATGCATGTCTCGGGCGTCTGCCATAAAGATTTATAGTTAGTACTAGTTAGGTACTAATAGGAAGCAAGCAAAGAACTTGAATTCAAATAATTCAATTTGAAAATATATTGATCAAGAAACAAAAGTATAACAGAACAGCCTGAGGGAGTATATACATCAAAATGAAAATGAAAATGAAAAAGCCACACTGCAGAGCACTCTAAACACCTCCCCATAGAGAAACCCTGCTGGATAAAACCTTGCAAGAAAAAAAATATTCGCAGTAGACGCATGAAAAAAAAAGACTCAGGCTCAGTCTCAGTCTCAGTGAGTTAATGAGAATCAGAAAACAGAAACAGAACCAAATCAACCGCCCTCCGATCCGATCCGAAATGAACCCCCATCAGAATACCATTTTGTTCGGACTCGTTCCTTTTCCTTTTCCCACGTCAGAAAGAGAAATATGTAAATTTCATAAATCATAAACAGCAACCGCATCATACGCATAAAAACGCATACGCATCCATTCAACACAACACAACACGAGCAGATCAAGCAACGACCTGAGTCTCAGCATGTCTCGGAACAGAATCAATCGCCGGCCGACGAACAATACCACCCGTAACAGGAAGTTGAGAACTAATCCCACTTAGGAAAGCATCAACCTCACGAGCAGCCTGTCGACCCTCATTGATACCCCAGACAATCAACGACTGACCACGACGACAATCGCCAGCCGCAAAGACACCGGGGATATTCGTAGAATAGTGACCGGGGGGAGTCTTAACATTCTTTCTAGGATCGCGCTCAATCTCCTCACCCAGCAAACGGTCTTCAGGACCCAAGAATCCCATAGAAAGCAAGACCAAATCCGCGGGGAAGAATTGCTCACTACCCTCGACGGTCTTCATGTCCCAGCCACCGGTGGCACTCTTGGTCCACTCCACGCGAACGGTGTTGATTCCTTTGACCCGGCCGCTGCCGTCGTCGACGAACTCGGTTGACATGACGCAGTACTCGCGCGGATCGCGGCCCATGTGTGTCTTTACCTCTGAGTGGCCGTAGTCGATGCGGTAGATGCGTGGCCATTGGGGCCAGGGGTTATCACGGGCTCGCTCGGGGGGGAGGTTGAGGGAGGAGTTCGAAGTTTGTGACTGATTTAGCGCCGTGGCGGACGGATGTACCGATGCAATCGTTACCGGTGTCACCGCCGCCGATGACAACGACATGCTTGTCCTTTGCGGAGATGTATTCGCCATCAGCGAGCTCGGAGTCGAGAAGAGACTTTGTATTCTTGTGCAGGAATTGCATGGCGAAGTGAACGCCGTCGAGTTCGCGTCCAGTAACCTTGAGGTCACGGGCGACGGTAGCGCCAGTGGCGATGATCACGGCGTCGTTGGAGGAGCGGAGGGACTGGAGAGATACATCGCTGTCCGGGCCGACGGCAGTGCTGGTGACGAATTTGATGCCCTCGGCTGCCATGAGGTCGACACGGCGTTGGACAACCTTCTTGTCAAGCTTCATGTTGGGAATACCGTACATGAGAAGACCGCCAACGCGGTCGGCACGCTCGTAGACGGTCACAGAGTGTCCGGCACGATTGAGTTGATCGGCAGCAGCCATGCCGGCGGGACCGGATCCAATGACGGCAATGGTCTTGCCGGTGCGAATCTTGGAAGGTTGAGGGACCATCCATCCCATCTCGAAGCCTCGGTCAATGATAGCACACTCGATAGACTTGATACCGACGGGATCTTCATTGATGCCCAAAACACAAGCACCCTCGCAAGGAGCGGGACAGACACGGCCAGTGAACTCGGGGAAGTTGTTGGTCATTAACAGCCGGTTGAGAGCATCCTGCCATTGGTTCTGGAAGACCAGCTCGTTCCACTTGGGAATGATGTTAGAGATGGGGCAACCCGTGTCGGACTGGCAGAAGGGAACACCGCAGTCCATACAACGGGCTGATTGGTACTTGAGCTCATCCTCGCTGAGACGGTTGGACAATTCAGCCCAATCGCGAGTGCGAGTAGTCGGGTTGCGATACTTCTCCGAGCGACGGCTGTACTTCATGAAACCGCGAGTCTTGTCGAGAATCAGCGCAGAACGCTTCTTCTCAGCCTTGGAATCGCTGATACTATCCTCGATATCCAGCATTTCAGCCTTCTTCTCATCGGCATGAGGCTTGGGCTTCTCTGCAGGCTTGCTAGAATGTAGAGGAAGAGAGAATTCGGCCTTCTTCGCCGCAGCAGCCTTAGCAGCCTCCTCGTCCATAACACGCTTGTAGTCCACGGGCAGAACCTTGACAAAGCGAGGCAGGGCACGGTTGAAATCGAGAAGGATACGCGCAGCTCGCTCGGATCCAGTGTAATGGTGGTGGTCTTCAATCAGGCCACGGACAAAGGCAATCTCATTAGGATCCTCGATGCCAGAAACAGCAACCATCTCCAGGTTGACCTTTGAGTGGAAGTCTTGCTTCATATCCAGAATGTAAGCGATACCGCCGGACATACCGGCAGCAAAGTTACGACCAGTAGATCCGAGAATCAGTACACGACCGCCAGTCATGTACTCGCAACCGTGGTCACCAACACCCTCGACGACAGCTGTGGCTCCGGAGTTACGGACGGCGAAGCGCTCGGCAGCGACACCACGGAAGTAAACAGTTCCACGGGTAGCACCGTAGAGACAGGTGTTACCGACGATGACGTTCTCCTCAGCCTTGAAGGCAGCTCCGCGAGGTGGGTAGACGATCAGACGGCCACCAGATAGACCCTTACCAACGTAATCGTTGGCATCACCCTCAAGCTCGAGGGTTACACCGGGGGCAAGGTAAGCACCGAATGATTGACCAGCAGATCCCTTGATGTTGGCATGAATAGTATCCTGGGGCAGACCAGCCTCGCCATAGTGTTTGCTGATCTGGTATGACAGAGTAGCACCCATGGCACGATCAGTGTTGACAACATCACACTCAATTCGGCAAGGGAGGCCCTTCTCCAAGGCAAGCTCGGACTCAGCAATGAGCTTGTTGTCAAGACGAGTGTGCAGACGGTGGTCCTGCTTGCGAACATTGTATGTAGCCACACCCGGACGGAGAGAATGGGCGGGGGTGAGAATGAGAGAGAGATCAACGCGCTCCTGCTTGGCGTTGCGAATGTCATCGCGGACCTTGAGCAGCTCAGCACGTCCAACCATCTCATTGACGGTGCGAATACCAAGCTTGGCCATGATAGCACGCATCTCATTGGCGACGTAGTAGAAAAAGTTGATGACGTTTTCGGGTGTGCCGTTGAACTTCTTGCGTAGCTCAGGATCCTGAGTAGCGATACCGACAGGGCAAGTGTTGAGGTGGCACTTGGAAAAGTTAGCAAATACTCGAGCAATAAGAGGTAAATAAAGTATGAACATACCTTTCGCATCATGATACATCCCATAGCGATCAAGGGGGTAGTTGCGAAACCATATTCCTCAGCTCCAAGAAGACATGCCATCGCCAGGTCGCGTCCAGTTCGGATTTGACCGTCGGTCTGAACAACAACACGACCACGGAGATCATTCAGAACAAGGGTCTGATGGGTCTCAGCAAGACCCAACTCCCAAGGAAGACCAGCATACTTGATACCAGTCCAGCGAGAGGCACCAGTACCGCCATCGTGACCAGAGATGAGAATATGGTCAGCCTTGGCCTTGGCGACACCCGAGGCGACGATACCAACGCCAACCTCAGACACCAACTTAACAGAAACACGGGCTCGGGGGTTCGAACACTTGAGATCGTAAATAAGCTGCTTCAGATCCTCAATGGAGTAGATGTCGTGATGCGGAGGAGGAGAAATCAGACCCACTCCAGGCGTGGAGTGGCGAGTATGAGCGATGGGTCCAACAACCTTATGACCAGGCAGTTCACCACCCTCACCAGGCTTGGCACCCTGGGCCATCTTGATCTGCAGCTCATCGGCGTCAGCCAGGTAGTGCGATGTGACACCGAAACGGCCAGACGCGATCTGCTTGATAGCGGAACGCATAGTGTCGCCATTCTCCATTCTCTTGCTGCGCTCCGGGTCCTCACCACCCTCGCCAGTATTAGACTTGCCGCCAAGACGGTTCATGGCAATGGCTATGGTTGAGTGAGACTCCATTGAGATAGAACCATAGGACATAGCACCGGTCACGAAGCGGCGCACAATCTCGGTCCAAGGCTCAACCTGGTCGATGGGGATAGGCGTGCGCTGCTCAAAGTCAAACTCGAGCATACCGCGCAGTGTGCAGTTCTTGATTTGCTCGTGCTCGGCCTTCGCGTAGGCCTCGTAAGATTTGTCGTTCTTGCTGCGCACAGCATCTTGCATGTTGGCAATGCTAACGGGGTCGTTGATGTGGGCCTCGCCACCATCACGCCAGTGGTACTCGCCGGATTCGGGAAGACCAGGGATCTCGACGATGTCGCGCGAAGGGTATCCGCGCTCGTGGAAGGCAAACGCATCTTGGGCGATCAGGTCAAAGGTGATACCGCGGATACGGCTGGCAGTGCCGGCGAAGCAGCGGTCGATGACGCTGTCGTCAATACCGAGGGCTTCGAAAATCTGGGCACCCTTGTAGGATTGGAGAGTGGAGATACCCATCTTACTCATGACCTTGAGGATACCACCGTCGCAAGAGGCCTTGTAGTTCTCGATGACCTTCTCATCAGGGAGGTCCTTTCGGATCAAGTTCTCCCGGTTCATCTTCAGGATACACTCCAGAGCAAGGTAAGGGTTGATCGCATCGGCACCGTAACCCAAGAGTACACAGTGGTGGTGCACCTCACGAGCCTCAGCAGTCTCAACGACAAGAGCAGCCAGAGAACGCCACTTGTTGCGAACAAGATGATGGTGAACTAGACCAGTAGCCAGTAAAGCAGAGATAGGAACACGATCCGCAGAGGTAGCTCGGTCAGAGAGAACGATAACCTTGTCACCGTTCTCAATGGCTTCGGTAGTGGCATCACAGATGGCATCCAGTGCATCCAGGTAGCCAGGAGTGCCCTTCTTCTTATCGAATGTGATGTCAATGGTGCGAACGGTCCAATCGCTGTGAGCGCGATTAATATTCTTCAGGGCGTTGAACTCCGGGATAGTCAGAATGGGAGATGGCAACAGCAGACGGCGACATTGCGAGGGGTCCATCTCCAGAAGGTTGCCCTGGGGCCCGACGTAGCAATCCAAAGACATAACTACAGCTTCACGAATTGGGTCAATGGGTGGGTTGGTGACCTGAGCAAAGAGCTGGCGGAAATATTCGTAGAGCAGGCGAGGTTGCTGGGCAATACAAGCCAAGGGAGCATCGTTGCCCATGGAGCCAAGCGCCTCTTTGGAATCAGCACCCATAGGACCAAGGATCAGGCTGACCTGCTCGAAGGAGTAGCCGAAGGCCCGAAGACGGGGGTCATTCTGCACGGAGTTGTCATCAAGAGCAAAGGAGAGGTCGACATTGCTGTCCAGTAGCAGCTTGTTAATAGCAGGCAACTTCAGGAGCTCCTTATCCAGCCAGCTGGTAAAGTCATGACGGTTCGCGACGGTTTGCTTCAGCTCGGCGTCATCAATAATTCGCCCAGCCTGAGTGTCAACCAATAACATCTTTCCAGGCTGTAGACGGCCCTTCTGAACCACGCGCTCGGGGTCGATATCGATGGCGCCAACTTCCGAGGCGCAGACGATACGATCATCATCCATAACATAGAAACGGCAGGGACGCAGACCGTTACGATCAAGGTTAGCACCGCAGTAGCGGCCATCCGAGAAAGTGAATAGAGCCGGACCATCCCAGGGCTCCATTTGACAAGCTGCCCATTCGTAAAAGGCAGACTTGGACGGGTCCATGGCTGGATTATCCTGCCACGCCTCGGGAATCATAATCATGACCGCCTCGGGAGAGACAAAACACCGTTGATCATCAGTAGTTCGAGAACATTATCAAATGCGGCGGAATCCGAGCCACCTTCTTCAACAATGGGATAAAGCTGGTCAAGCTCATCACCGAAAACTTCAGACCGAAGGACACCCTCACGAGCGCGCATCCAATTTTTATTTCCTCGCAGCGTGTTAATTTCACCGTTGTGAGCGGCCCATCGCAGAGGTTGGGCGCGGTCCCACGAGGGGAAAGTGTTGGTGGAAAATCGAGAGTGAACCAAGGCGAAGTGGCCCTCGTAGTCCACATTGACCAGATCGTGGTAATATTGATAAACCTGTACTGGGGATAATTGGCCCTTATAGACGATGTTGCGGTTGCTCAGCGAGCAGAGATAAAACCAGTTACCCTGCCCAATAACATGAGTGGCACGCTTTCGCAGAACATAGAGCTGTAACTCGAAGGTGCGCTCGTCGAACTTATCGGTATCAGTAATTTCGGGCTTGCTGCCCTCGCCGTATGCAGACTTGAGTACAACAAATGGTTGCATAATAATTGGCTCGCGAGAAAGCGCAGCTGGGCCGAGAATGGTCGAATCGCTGGGAACCTCACGCCAGCCTAGCACACGCAGACCGAGCGAGGTCGCCAATTCCTCGAAGCTGGCAGTCGATTGCTTGAGAGCCTCCTCATCGGGCTTGAAGAACAAGTTGCCAACAGCATATTGGCCGAGTGGGGGAAGGTCCACGCCCACCTCACGAGCGAAGTTCTTGATGAAGAACTTGTGCGGGATACTGGTCATTACACCAGCACCATCACCGTCTCGCGCATCCGAGCCAACGGCTCCACGGTGGGTCATGTTGCACAGCAGGTTGCGCGCTAAAAAGAAGGTCAATGTCAGCAGGTCCGGTCGGGTTTCCATTTATCCCAGGCAAGTGAGGTTGCGGCTGCGGGTGCGATTGCGGCAACTTACCATCGCTAACAATTTTGTGGCTCGGCTTGCCCTTGATGTGACTAAATTTGGTAAAGAAGATTAGTTTCAATTGCTTGATTGATTGATTTGGCGCGCACTTACGCAGCGAAACCGACACCACAGGCATCTTTTTCATATTCGGGGTCATAGAGACCCTGCTTTTCGGGGAGAGCATTGGCCCAGCCAAACCCTTGTTTGGCCTGGTACTCCGAATACTCCTGTGGAGGCTGCTCTTCACTTAGATCTGGTCCATAGAGTTCCTCCAAGTTAAGACCCATTCTTCCGTCGGGGACCGACAGAGAGTGAGATCGAGGGGGACTGAAGTGGGGAGATTCGCTGGTGTTGCGGGAACAGGTTGCGATAGGAGCGGATGTCGTCACAGGCGCAGCGCGGGTGAGGGAATGCAATATGAGAGACCCTGCGTCTGCGAAAGTGAAAGATGAAGATTGAAGGAGAGGGGAAGAAGCAAGAGACCAAAATAAAATAAAGGAGGGGTGAAATTAAAAAAAAAAAAAGCCCGAGAGAAAGGACCAGGGCTGGGCTGCGATTACGGCACTGCAGGTCTGGGGGGATTGGAAGCAGTTCCGACGCAAGCAAGACGGGTAAAATACGACTGTGGGGATTCACGCTGTGGCAAATAGATGAGAGGATCAATATTGGACAGTTTAGGCCATTGGTATTACCTGGTTTCTGAGAGCTAGTGCGTCCTGGTGGTCGGGGAAAGTAGGCAGGGCGAATTGAGAGAGTTGCTTGCTACAGAAGAACAATCATTACAACTAATTACTACATAGGACCCATGATTGCCCACTATTTTCTTTTCTTTACGGATTAGATTCCCCTACGGACACGACAAAATCCTCGACGAAAGCGGGCAGTTGAGGAAGGGTGGCGGAGAGCGGAGAGCGGAGGCATTCCAGATATTCCTAAGGTTGGAGCTCTACCAGCGATGGGTCGAGTAATGATAATCATAATGATTACCAGTAAATCCGTTGAGATAAGGACGCCATAAGCCAATCAGAGCACTTGCTTTGCAACCGCTGAGCCAAAACGATTAGGTTTCCACTACGTCAAGATTGGGTGGGGTACCGTACGGTACGGGAAGATACATACACTATGAGTATATGGTAGACTGTATAACTAGAGTACAGGACATAACTACTGGGATATGGATATATGTAGACATTGAGCTGCATCTGCACCCTGCACCCTGCACTACTGCCTCTCTTCTACTTTCCATCCACCTCACCTCTCCCAAGAATGCCTACGAAAACGATTCCGGTGGCCTGGGCGCCGAGTGGGGCGGTGCAAGGATACAGTGCTTAATCAACTCCTCTGCCCACAGGCGCCACGGGGATCAATTTCGAGCTCCATTCTCCCGAGCCTCCAAACCAATACCCGACTGAAAAAGAAAAAAAGTACGGAGTACCCAACTCGGTTGTGAATGGCCAAACAGTTCATCCAATAATAAGACCATGGGGATCTGGTAAACCAAAGCATCACCGAAATCGGGGTTGCCCAGCCGCGCCCCGGTATGTCTTGCTCGGGGCTGTTTTCGGATTGGCCCCTTTCCTTATCCAATACATTCCCCGACTTCCTCCTCGCGGTGCAAATCATGGCAACATTGGAGACCACCGTGTAAAGAGGATCCATCCTCTTACCCCCCCCTCCCCTACCCCCCCTTCCCCGGACAGCCCCTCTTCCCCAGGGACCTACCGTCCACTTTACAACGGGACTGGCTTGTTCGTTTTCCCCGTCCAATGACGTCCACTTTTCCAATTCGGAGTTAAGTCTTCACCCGGAGGCCATCCCTCCGGAGATCCTCGTGTTACTTTGCTGACACGTGAAGCGGGAGTCTCTGATAAGCACAACTTGATAATAGGAATACATAACCCCAATGCCAACAGAGTACTCCTTGCTCTCTCCGCGACGAGTATTCCGATCCAGCGCGAGGATCATTTCTCCTGTTTTCGCCTAGCACCCGACTTGCCACTCTCCTAGTCTACATCTACAGTACTACTAGTACTAGTACATGCATTGATTCAAGGGTCCACTAGGGAAATTCGTACAGTATTGTACTATAACATCCATAGCACACTACATAGGACTAACAATACTCGCGTTTAACATACTAGTACAAAGCGCCCAGGACATCATTACTACCTACCACTGGCATATACATATACGAACAGCTCGGAGTTATACACATTTCCAATGGATGCACAAAGCTCTCCACCGACAGTGGATCTACACTGCACTGCACCTTAACATCACATGACTCCCATCCAATGGGACATCCGAACAAACATAAGACGTTCGTGGGGTATCGGCCGAGGTTGCTTTCTCTCTTCCTCCTGATCGACTCATCGACTTGTCGCCCGAGATCTCCCGATCCCTTCTTGCCCGCATTTGGCTCACCGGTGCATTAGCTGTTTGAGGAGTGGAATATCGAATATCGGAAGATCCCGGGTATCCCTGTAGCGTACATAGCGTAGCTAGCTAGCTCCGCGACACAGCACAGCACAGCACGCATACATATGTACCCCGTACATGTACAGCTTTGTACGGGGTACTGTACTACACCGTGCAACATTCAATTCAATACAGCCAAGTGCTCTACCGTACCCTGTGCCCGGGACCACCGCCGAGACTCCTCTCGCGATTGAAACCGGAATTCCGCGCCGTGTCTTGGCATGTTTTTCCTCCAACGGCGCGTCGAGTTCCCGCTACATTCGTGCGACATGAAGGGCTCGGCTTAGTATTGGCGAGAGTACATGCAGGTCTTGGCTGAATGAAATGATCGACACGGTGGATTCTTTCATGTTCAATTCAGTCAGCCTCGAATGTTGCCCATTGAATGAATAATGGAAACTTCACCGCTTGGTCTGGGCTTGGCTATTCTGTTTGTACTGTACTACATATTGGAGTTGGAACGCTAGGGTATATTGTTCTTTCTGTTTGTATTATTGATATTTTCAATTTTAGTCTTGGCGCTGGGTTCTTTGTTAAATGTTTAGGAGCCCTCGAGGTCAATTCGTAACTGAAACTAGCCTACGTCAGTGGAATCGGGTTAGGACTTTGGTCCAGGTTTTTTTTGTTGTTTTTAAGCGTCCATGATTTTCCTCTAGATATATAGATGCACCGAAACCCACTCAAGATTAGCTTGTGCCCAAATGTTATTATGGGGGAAATCCTGGGGTCTCTGTTGTCGTCTCTGCTGAGTAGGAACTGAGTCTACTGGTTTCTGCCCCATTATTTCTGTCCCGTTATCACCAGCCGACAACATATCTGGAAAGCTACACATTATCTGATTTGACTTTCCTGAACCTTGTGCAAAGCTTTGAATAGGTATTGAATAATGACAGCACAAGTATAGAACCCTACTTTAGACATAACATCATTGCTGTTCTCGCGTCATGAATTGCACCTCTTGATAAGCATAAATCCACAAAAGCTAAACCGAAATACCTTCTTCGTTGATAATAGAAAGAAGATCTCAAGTCTGAAAAAATTATCAAAATCAAGTACCTTCGGGTACGTACCACATCTATAAATCCTCAATCCCGAGTACGTTTGATAGTACCTTTGAAGCAAATGTAGAAAATACCGTGTGAAAATAAATCCAAAACAAAGAATACACTTCGACTCAATAGTCAAATGTTAACCAAAATATTCATCTCTACCCTTACACTATGACAGCATCCTGATATGTTCAAGTTCAAGGTTAAGCACGATCCCCACCCCGCAGCGCGCCAATGTTATTTGGCGGTGGAGCCCCCGCGACATTTTTATCCGCCCTAGCTCCGCCGCGGCCATCGAGCTTGACGGCAACAACTCAATCGAACTTGAACTACCCCACTACGCTACCCTTAACACGACTGGCATTTGCCTACATCACTGTCAAGAAGTAATCCAAACAACGCCTCCACATACAACCTACCAAAAATGAGCCTTTAAGCCCCCGCCTGGCCTAGCCTTCACACGCAGATCGCGGTTGCTACTGTCGAAGCACCTCTCATCTCTACGTCAATTGCACCGCAACGCCTGAAATCAGAGACACAAACAAACCTCGCAACTCAAATCAGACCCAAGCCAACAACATCAGCGCAAAAATGTTCTCTTTACCATTCATCACACCCCGCGACGTGAGATTCCACCCTCACCCTCTCCCTCTCCCTCTCCCTCTCCCCCAAACCCCAACCTCAAACAGACACTCTAACACAATCCAGTCCCACGAGCTCTGGTTCGGCTCCTCCAACCCATACCGATCCTCATCACCCCATCAATCCACCACCGACCCCTCAAATCAAACCCGCCGCAATGCCACAACAACCTCCAGCCACCGCTCCTTCCTCCCCTCCCGCTCCCCAGCAACCAGCCTCTCAGCCCTCCAAGTCGAAGAGCGCGCCCTACGCCTCCGCAAACAAAACATCGCCTCCTTCGGCTACTCCTGGATCCGGCCCGCGGGCTGCGCAAAGACAATGCTCGGCATGAAAGAAGAAGAAGCCGAACGCGAAGAAGCTCTCGTCGCAGCGCAAACGGAAATAGGTGCCATTGACGGCGAGGGAATTATGGAAGATGATTTGGGACTAACGCAAGGCGAGGAAGACGAGGAAGGACAAGGGATGGAGCGGGATTTAGACGATGAGATTCCCGACGCTGATGAGACGGAAGAGCAGGGGGGGCCTTATTGAGGAAGGGGAGGATCTTTCTGGTGAGGATATTGGCGATGAGGAGGGGTATATGGAGAGGGATTTGGATGATGATATTCCAGAGGGATATCCCGAGGATGTCGATGACTATGATGATTCGGGACTCTATGAGGAGGAGGTTGATGAGGATTTTGATAACCAGCCTGATCTAGATGCTGATGTTCCTTCTGCGGATGAAGGGTTTCAAAGTATTTTGACGGGCAGTGAGGGGCCTAGTCGGGATTTAGATGATGATATTCCCGACGCAGCGGAGAATGGGTCTGAACAAGAGGGCGAGTGGCAACATACTGATACAGAAGATGAGGAAGACGATGAAGACGAGGACGGGGAAGGGGACGAAAATGCAGGGCAATCCAACTCACTACGGCCTCGAATGAATGGCAACTTTCGCACCAGTACGCCAAATAGTCGGAGTGGACTACCCCCTCCGCCGCCGCGTCGGGAGCGTGAAACGGATGCTCAACGCCGATTTATCAATCGATGGAGTGGGGGTGGTGATGCCTTGGATTCGAGCAGCATTCTGTTTGAGGAAGATGATCTCCGCGCTTCGGTTACTAGCCAGAGCAGTCGTCGCAGTGGCTTTGGGCGGAGATTTCCTCGTCATGTTGGTGGGCCTCGTGATAGTCTTAACTGAGTGAGAGTGCAGCTTTCATGCGGTTTTATGAGTCCGAGTTTGCATCTTTGTACATTGGAGTTTGGTCTAACGGGGCTACTGTGAGCGTTTAGAATTTTGAATTGTATGATAGTACTTATGGTGGCAAGCTTTTACTGCATCCAAATGAAAGACCCAACTTTCCAAAGACAAACCCAGAGATCAACAGTAATATGTAGTATTGATAAGAATCAAAGGATGTAAAGATACACCTGGTGGAACTGAAAGAAAATAAAAGAAAACGCCTAACACCAGAGCCAAAAGTACATGTGCGCAAGTAAGAACTGTATGTATGCACCACCACCACCGGGGAACAGAAGAGCCAGCAGAAAGTCAGCCAGGCCCATTTCAAACGAGGTAGAAGAATTAGGTATGGCGAAGAAAGAAATCGGGATCATATAAAACAACACCTGCAACCCCTTTCCCTTTCCTCAGAAGATCCACACATAGAAGAACAAGAGAAAGACGGCGCAGATGAAGCCAAGCCAAACCCTCCATCCCACGCCAGTCTTTTCAGCCATGCGGAGCATGCGTTTCATATTCCCACGTAGTCGAACTCGGGTTCCCTCGAATGAGTTCTCTAGGTCTGTCATGTGTGCGGTATCTCGGATTTCGTCGCCGATGGCAATTGTGAGCTGTGAATTCCTGTTAGCTGTGGTATCAAAGACAAAGGGCTCCCCTCTCTCCCTCTCTCCCTCCCTCCCTCCCTCTTGGAGTTCAGTTGGAAAGAAGCGAGGCGAAGATCAGATATGTCGCTTACATCCTTCAGCATCTTAACCTTCGAGCTTATACCTTCTACCTCAGCGTCATTTTGTGATTCTAGCGACGAGAGCACAGCATCCGAGTAATGGCCCCTATCCCCGCATAACGTTAGACTTGCCTCAAAGCTCGCCAGGGAATGTGTCCTACTCACTTCTTATCAGGTGTTGCGCCCCGGTATAATGTAGGTCCTGAAGCGTCTCCGTTGCCATAGGCACTTCCTGCGGGGCTGGAGTAGCCTCCGTATCCATATCCTCCGGACGGCGCGGGTGACCTGCTGGCCGGACGGGACTCGCCGCCGTATGAGTCGAAAAGACCGTTCGAGGGACGTTGGCGGGGGAATCTAGCGCGCCGTATTAGGTTGATTCTGAGGGCAAAGCTCCAGGACGGTAGAGTCTCGCAGACAAAAGACAGGGTGGCAGGGTGGCCATACTACACATACCGTGAAGCCATCGCGGTCGTTGATGGGAGTTCGGCGCTGAACCGAGCTTCGTGTTATAAATCCCAGTCGTCGGTTCGTGGGTTGTTGTTTCAATCAGTAGTGGGTCGGAAACATTGCGCGGTTCGTGACACCGGTGATTTTATTTGGTCATTTGGGTTGTTGGGTTTCTTCGATGCTTGCGGACAAAAACAGGTGGCCAAAGCTTGTTGGTCTCGCCTCAAGCGTATCTGCACGTGATGACGCAAATATTGTTTACAATGGGATTCGGAGGCGAAACAAAACAATTAATTGTTTGTTGATTTGGAGATTGGCTCTGACTTGATCTTTGATCTTGTCGCGAGAATTGAATTTCTTGGTCCGGTTCGTGGAGGTCGTCTTTCCGGGCCACTTGATATGGGATTATGAATGGGATGGTGTATGAGACGCCGGCCTAGCATGGCCCAGCCCGGTCCAACCCAACCCAACCAACTACGCGCATTTGTTCTTACATATTACAGACCAGCGGTCACACTATAGTCCTGGCGAGGATCCACTCAAATTGAATGATGGCGGTATAGGTGAGAGTAGGGGTAGAAGCGAACTTCATTTCATTGAATTCATAGTCATGACCATCGATGAACAATAGCCATGACGTTTCGTGGTTGAGATGCTAGCCTGCAAGGCACACAAGAGAGCCTCCCTCGGAATCCGTAGCGCCAATCCTCCAAACCAAGACTCGTGTCATTTGAGATTTGTCGTCAGGACCAGGCGCTTAGTCGCGCATCTGATCGTCGTCGTCGTTGTTGGCGCCCTGGTAGTCCTCGTCATCCTCGGAGTCCTCCATCTCATCCTTGTTCTTCTCAGCCTCGGCGGCGTAGTCGATGACCTTGCCGCGTGTGCGGCGGCCACCCGAGATGATGTTCTCTGAGGAGATGGGCTCGAGGTTGTTGTCGTCGTCGTCCTCATCTGTGTTTGCGCTTGCGTTAGTACATGTCATGAATCGGTAGATGAATTGGAGTAAGCTCCAGAGGTTGATGGTTCAGGGTTCTTGAAGAAGGGGATTGAACTAGGCAGGGGCAATGAAAGTGGCAAATGCGCTTGGAAGAGGGCCGAGGTGGAGGGGGTGGAGGGGTTGTCGCGTACCGGCCTAGATGGTTGACAAGTTAGCAAGATACTCTGCATTTGCAAGGACTTCCTATTCGAAAGAATTGGATCAGAACTCACCATCTCGGGCTCCTGGTCACTCTCCTCGTCGCTGGAGTCCTCAGCGATCTGGTCCTGGACGTCCTTGCCCTTGCCCTTCTGCTCGAAGGTGGCGTTGGAGGGGTCGTTGGTAGTAGCGTGGTCACCCATTGTGTAGATATGTGACGATGATATGAAGATATGTGGAGTGTTGGGGAGTTGCAAGGGAGGTAGGTGACAGGGAGGGGATTTAAAGAGACGGTCTGCAAAGTAAGGTGTAGCTTGATCAAAACAACCCGCAACAGTAAGGGAGGCCCCTCGCGGTGTGATTCGTTTGTGACCGATCCAAGTGGGGTCCCCGTGACGGTGTCAGCCCTGAGTTCCAAAATATCCCCCCTTTTGCGCTTTGGACCTCGGACAGTCGAGGTCTATTGAAGATTTGTGGTGCAGGAAATCTCGGAAGCATTTGAGAGATGTTACAGGTTATAGCTATTTAAGAACCAAAAGAGAGCATAAAAGATGAGTCCAGTGCGGCTATTGTACATAGGTTCATTTCTTTCCCCACTGGGTGTTTATGAGGTCACCGGCTATGTATTTCCTTGTAATAATTGTTTACTAATAAACATAGCAGACGTTGTCATGTAGCGTCTTCTGTAGTCCACTCCTCTTAGAAGTCCGGAGGAATCTGATCACGATGCTGTCTGAGTAGCATAGTTGGTTTTCTGTTTGGAAAGAATCGGTCAGTGACCTATTAACCAGAAAGATATTAGCATATTGCTTGTAAAATAAGTATCTCTGTGTGCTGTAACGGGATATAAAGAAAGCATACCGAGGAAAGAGTATCCAAGGTGCACCAAATAGGATACTCATATCAGTATTCCGTAGTACACACTCTCCATCTTTCCAGGGCCTGAACACATGATTGAACTTTGAAGTATTGATGTAGTATCCAAGTTGCAAAGAACTCAAGACGACTTCAAGTTGAACCAAAGCAACGTATACTAGCAGTATTGGCCACTCACATGTAGCAATGCTACTAAACTATTCCCAGAAATTTAGTAATTAATCGTTATTAAAACCTGAAAGTCTTCGGGGACGTATTTGAACTCGATTCATGTCAGAGTTTCCAAAGTAGAGAGTGTCATTGACTCTTTCAAACTAATATACAGATCCACGCCAGTAACAGAATATACCTACATTTCATGATATGACCAGTAAAAAAGGAGGCCAGCGCCTCGCTCAAACCTCCAAGAAGACAAACGCTCTCAAGCCTTTGCCTTTTGTGCCGCTTCCTCTTCCGCCTTGATCTCCCGCTCCAGCGCAGCAAAGTCTCCTTGGAAAGCGTTTTGAGCCGGCTCAAGACGAACATCCCAGATATCCTCACTGCTAGGGCCAGTCTTATATTTGATAGCCTTCTTGCGATTGTGGTCCCGGATAGTTTTCCTTCGTATCTCATCTCCCCATCCTCTGGTCTTCATACAGAGCCAAAAGTTATCCCAGTGCTCACTGCACGATCGCATTTCTCCGTATCGATAAACGTTGACGAATTGGCCTCCGAAGGACTGGCAGAAAAAGGCATAGTCGAAGGCTTGACGACAGGACATGGAATCTTGGTAGAGGGAGTCGGGTGCAATGGCTGATGAGGGTTGATCGGGACTATTGGGGTCCGATTTCTGTTGTTGTTGTAGTTTCTGCTGGAATGTATTCTCCTCCGCGCGCAGATCGGCCAGGATCTGGCTGAATTCCAGCTCGGCTTGTTGATCGGGGGTCAACTGCTTTGGAGGCGGAGCTTGTGGCGGGACCTCGGGTGGGTTTGCGGGTTGTGTTTCATTATTGGTGTCCTTTTGAGGACTCGATCGAGACCACCAGCCCATCTTTGCGGAGAATATTGTGATAATTTGATTCAATTCGCGACCCAGAAAGCGTCGACGCGGTTTTCCGGCGATAATGGCTACGGTCACGTGCTGGTGGACCCCCAGAGCCCGATAGCGCACGATAAGCCGAACCACGACGTCATTCAACTTGGAAATGCATGGCTGGTTTCGACTTGCATTGAATCTCTTTCCTCTTCCAAGCTGTCCCCAGCAACCTCATTATGCACAAATGCTAAGATGAGGCCAGTGGTGTTTGCAAGAATTACTCCAGCTGTGCGAGCTCCGCTCTTTCGGCCCAGAGCTGGCTTTCAGCCATCTGGCCGGGGGTGGGGACCAACTCCACGCTTGTCTAACAGCATACGCTCTTCCTCCTCGATTCAGTCAGGGCACATCAAACTTGCTGAAGATGAAGGCATAATTTATGTAAACAGTGAGTGCTTCAGCTATCAGCAGCTTCATTGATGCAGTCTTCCTAATCCTATCCAGACATCTTCCCGCATAGGGTCCAATGGCTACTGCGGGGGCCCCTCAGCCATATCCAACCACTCGAAGGGATTCTGAAACGGATTAACCACCCCGATCTGGCCGCCGCAGATCCTACCCAGATAGTGAAACGTGCAATTCCGCAGTCCCTGGATTTGGAAATCAAGGAAGTCATCACACGATACAAAGAAGGGGGCGCTTTCGTCAAGTATGCGCGCAAGCCTGGCGTCAAAGATGAGGAAATACAAGAAGCAATCAAAGAGCACCTTGTCAAATCTCCCATACGTCCCTGGTTCAATCCATTTCAAAGGGCAGATGCGGACTTGGTTCAAGGACGACCATGGATTGAGGATCTATACCGAGTTCCCAGCGCATCCTTGACAGTCGAATTTCTCCCGAGCGCAAGTGAAGCACCAGCAACGGAGCTCACACAGGAAGCTCTATACAGCCTGTTCCGTCCGTATGGAAAGTTGTTGGATATTCACCCGCAGCCGTCAGACTCGAAACTTGAGCCCCGGTATGCTACATTACGCTTCAGTCGACCGAGGTTCGCCGTAATGGCAAGGAATTGCTTGCATGGCTATATCGTCTCGGAGGAAGAGGGTGGGGGAAAGTCCAGTACCAAGTTCAAGATCAACTACGAGCGCAGGATCAAGCTATCTATGATCAAGGACTGGATCTACAACCACCCCCGAATTGTGATTCCTGCTCTAGCAGCTTTGATTGCGGCCATCACGGTCATCGTCTTTGACCCTGTCCGGACCTTTTTTATCAAAATGAAAATTAAAGCTTCGGCTCACGCTGAGGAAAATGCTGTTCTACTGTGGATTCGCCGACAAGCCAGCAAAGCCAACATCACCTACTTCGGACAGCGCAAGACGGACCCGCGGGGCCTCACGGCCATTTGGGAAGACCGACAGAAAGACATCACTCAACTAGAAGCCTGGTTGACTGATACAGCGGAAACTTTCATTGTTGTCCATGGACCACGAGGTTCGGGAAAACGAGAGCTAGTTCTGGATCAGGCCTTGAAGAATCATAAATACAAGGTTGTCATTGACTGCAAACAAATCCAAGACGCTCGAGGGGATACTGCCAAGATTTCTCGTGCCGCGTCTCAAGTTGGCTATCGGCCTATATTTTCCTGGATGAACAGCATTAGTAGCTTCATCGACCTGGCTGCACAAGGAATGATCGGTACCAAGGCTGGCTTCTCGGAGACATTGGATGCCCAGTTGAGCAAGATCTGGCAGAACACAGCAGTGGCCATGAAGCAAGTCGCTCTCGAGGGTCGGCGAAAGGATGACAAGGATGCTACTATGGGTGAGGATGAGTATCTTGAAACTCATCCAGAGAAACGGCCTGTTGTTGTCATTGACAACTTCCTCTATGATTCAGAGGACAGTGTTGTTCTTGACAAGCTTACCGAGTGGGCAGCTGGATTAACCACTGCGAACATTGCTCATGTCATCTTCTTGACTACGGATTCTTCGTTTGCGAAGCCTCTGAGCAAGGCACTTCCTAACCAGGTCTACCGTACCGTTAGTTTAGGTGACTGCTCACCTGAAGTGGGCCGTCGCTTTGTGTTGAGCCACCTCAATACTGAGGGTTCAGATGACAAGAACGAGGCAAAGACGGAGCAAGTGAAGAACCTTGCCGGTCTGGATGACTGTATTAGAGTTCTAGGTGGCCGTGTGACTGATCTCGAATTCATGGCACATCGCATCGAGGTTGGAGAATCTCCCCAAGGTTTGTCTCTAATACGAATTATTTTTACGAGTCATCGCTAATTTTTCATAGCCGCTGTGGATCGCATCATCGAACAGTCAGCCTCTGAAATCTTGAAGATCTTCATTCTTGGTACAGATACGTCTACAGTCGCGCCCCAATGGAGCCGTGAACAAGCATGGCACATTATCAAATCTCTAGCGCAGTCCAATGATGGCTCCCTGCTCTATAATAAGGTTCTCCTCTCAGATCTGTTCAAGGACAATGGCGAAGCGACTCTTCGAGCTTTGGAACAGGCAGAACTCATTTCTGTTGGATCTGTCAAGGGATTCCCACGATGGATCAAGCCTGGAAAGCCTGTTTACCATGCCGCATTCCAGCGTCTTATCGAGAACAAGACTTTGGAAGGCCGTCTTGACCTACTGATTCTTGGTCAACTCATCGGCAGCGAGAACAAGAGCATTAGCAAATACGAGGAAGAGCTGCAATTGCTTGGGTCGCTGCCAAAACATCCCTGGGAGCTCACCTCGCGTATACAGTGGCTGCTGGAAAAGATTCAGGGCTCGCAGGCGAAGGTACTCAAGTACGAGCGGGATAGTTCTATCTTGCAGAAGATGTTACAGAGCGAGAAGTAGTCGGTGTTTGATAGGTGTGGGTGGATGTATATATGCTGTGGGTCTGTGATTATTTTGTATAACATGATGAGTTCATAGTCAAATCTCCTTTCAATAAAAGATCGGTTTTCAATTCACAATTCCATTTAGATATTTTTATTCGAGTCATGCTCTATTGAAGCCCTGGAGTGTTCGTCGATTTTTATGTAGTTCAAGTTCTTGGCAGGGCTGGTCTATACTTAGAATGTCTCAGTTGTGAGGCTGTCCTGTCCGTCTTGATGAATAAGCAGTCGGATTCCACCTGGCCAAATTCCCCTGCTGCGCCTTCTCAGACACAAATCTCTCCATGGAGATCCGACGATGATTCAAATTTTCCTATTTTAATTAACTTCTCGGTCGATTGCATTCTTACGAACCGTGTGCGGGTGCTGTTAAAATTGGCGTCGTGCCATAACTCGGCACTGTTTGTTCATTTCCTCTCTCAGTGTGCCCCATCGCAACCATGGAGGAAGACTGGAGGTACGAATGGCCATCCAACACTGGCAGTCTCATCCAGACCGTGAAGTACAGCTTGCCCAAGGTGACATGGATCAACTTTTTCGCGATCTTGGCGTTTTCTTGCATCGCGACTCGCATCATCAGTGGGTTTCGGAGCCGACAGCGTGTCCAAGATCCCGCGGAACCTCGAACTTCGCGATTAGCGCCATATTGGTTCCCCTGGTTTGGTCATAGCCCTTTCTTCGCATGGAACCATGCCAGTTTATTCGAGTCATTAAGGTTGGTCACCAATCTCAGCCACGATGCTGCCTCATTTCGGTTTTCTAATAAGCTATTAGGGACTCGATGAATGAGTCTGTATTTGGCGTCTATCTGCGTGGCGAGACTCATAATACCGTCATTTCACCATCAATGATCAAATCTATCTTGTCTTCGCCTAATGCAGAGAGTACTCTCGCGCTTGACCAGGCTTTGAAAAACGTCTTTGGCAATCGCAGTCTAATTCAGACCCTGCAAGAGACTTCCAACCGGGAGATCAGTGACGATGTTCCTGGTATGATTAAGAAAGAATCGTTTGTGAACGATTCCTCAACCGCCATCACCGGTTTAATTAAACACAACATTCCAAACCTGGTCACCTTCAGCAAAAGCCTTGTCGACCAAACTCCATGGGAGCGTGACAGTCTAGTATCGCTAGCCGAAGAGAACCAGTCTCTGTGCGAGGCGAACTTATTCGCCCTGGTACGAAACTTTGTCGGCCACAACTTGTCCACATTTTTAATGGGCGAGGCCTTTTTGGAAAACTTCCCCATGGTAATCGAGGATTTGTGGAAACTTGATACTAGCTTCGTCACGTTGTTCGTTGGAACATCCCGCGCTTTTCCTTCTCCGCGTGTTTCTGGGGGATATTCTACACGTGACAAACTCATTCACATCACCTCTGTTTTCCACCGCGCGTTTTGCGCATTCGATGATGGAATCGATCCCGGGCTTGAGCTTCGTGACCTCGACGATGTTTCAGAACTCGTAAAGCAGAGGATGCGAACATTCCGCAAACTCAACCTGACCGCGAATGCGAGCGCCGCCGGCCACTTATCTTTATACTGGGACATCATTGAGCACATAAGCAAGATCACCTACTGGACTGTCCTTCACATATTCGCAGACAGTGCACTTCTAGACGAGATTCGAAAGGAGTTTGCCCCTTGTGTGAAATCATCTCGGCCGAGCCGCGAAGAGACAGGATTCCCATTTGACGAACCACCGCGTCTCAGCCTTGATCTCGAAAAAGTCCTCGAGTCATGCCCATTATTCAAGGCATGCTACTATGAAACCATCCGCCTCCACTCTGCTGGCGTCTCTTTCAGGAAGCTAGAATCGGATTTGATCTTGACTGAATCGGCGAATGATGCGACTGAGCCTCGCAGCTACAAAATGCGCAAGGGCGAGAAGGTTATCATGCCGCATGTGGCTTACCAGACTGACCCACGACGCTTTTCGAATCCAGACCAATATGATCCGCTTCGATTCATTGTGACAGATCCTGCATCCGGGGGAAAGAAGGTCGACGCAAATAATCTTGGCCCCATTGCGGAGGGGCTGTATGGATCCAAGGACAACAAATTCTACGAGGGGTCCATTCTGGCTTTCACTGCGGGTATCGTATCAATGTGGGATATTACATCGACGGATGGGAAGGATCTCAAAATTCCAAAGAACTGGCCGACTTGGGGTTCTTCTCAGCCGGCGAGAGAAATCAGGGTAAACTTGAAACCGACTGTTTAGGCCATTTCACGGATCCAGATCTATCTCGATACAAAAATGCATATCTCAATAGAAAGCGATTCATTCTGTCTTTTTTATCACCTTGTTAATTCGTAAGCCATAGAACTACCCGCTCTTTATAGAGCTCTGGGGCATAACTAGTGAGTAGATTCTATCTTCCACCGAGTGGTCTTCGGCGATCTGTTGCGTCGCCGAGCCCGAGAGGACCGAAGAAACATCACTTGACGAATCAAATATGTCAAATTCAACCAAGAAAAAGGGATCAACCGTTTACTCCGCATTTTGACAGCTCTACACCAGATCGAAAGTGGAACTCGGGGCAAATGGCCACAGGCGGGAGCAACCCGCACGGAATAATATCCGTCGGAGTTGTCCCGAATGACACCATCCACTCAGCGAATGGGCATATATAAGCCCCACTGGCACCAGCTCCTTTACAGTTACGGAGGCGCGGATTGGATATCGGAACTTGAACATACCTACATGAGAATCTCCTCTTGAAAGTTCTCTCCTCATCATGGACAATGAAAATGAACCAGAGCCCAATGGCGATTACGATCTCACCAAGCCAATAACCTCAACCTCAGGTCTGCGCCAAGGCCTAACCTCCTACGGCGATGCGCATTTCTCATTATTTTCTTCGCAAAGTGTTCATCAAAGCACTCGGATATTCCGAAGATGCGCTCTCGCGCCCGATAATTGGCATCATTAATACATTTTCGGGATTCAATCCTTGCCATGCTAATGTGCCGCAGCTTATTGAGGCGGCTAAGCGTGGCGTGCAGCTTAATGGCGGATTGGCGATAGAGTTTCCGACCATAAGTGTTCATGAATCGTTTTCGTCTCCGACGAGTATGTTTTTGCGGAATCTTATGAGTATGGATACGGAGGAAATGATCAAGGCGCAGCCATTGGACGCTTGTATTATGATTGGAGGTCAGTCACTACATGCAACATTCATGTGTATCGAGATGGATACTAATTTAACTTCTTCAGGCTGCGATAAAACGGTTCCCGCACAGCTGATGGGTGGAATATCTGCCAATAAACCTATTCTTCCTCTGATTACCGGCCCTATGATGCCGGGTAGTCACCGTGGCAAGCGAATTGGCGCATGCACCGACTGCCGCAATAACTGGGCCGCATTCCGAGCGGGCGAGATTGATGTCGAGGAAATCTCGGAAGTTAATGAAGAACTTGCTCCAACGGTAAGTGTTGTATTGAGATTCGGGATTGTTGTATGCTTCACGACTAATGCAAATGTATTAGATTGGCACATGCGGCGTTATGGGCACTGCTAGTACTATGGCCTGTGTGACTGCAGCTCTGGGAATGATGCCCCTTCGCGGTGCATCCGCGCCAGCAGTGTCATCTGCAAGACTACGCATCGCTGAAGAGACCGGTGCGAATGCGGTAGCAGTGGCGAAATCATCCACAAAGCCACAGGAAATTCTGACAAAGGAGTCATTTTTGAATGCTATCACTGTACTCCAGGCTATCGGTGGATCTACGAATGCCGTCGTTCATATTCTCGCCATTGCGAACAGACACCCCCAGCTCCAAGGCGTGATCACCTTGGATACATTCGAGGAAATAGGAAAGAAGACACCGCTGTTGATTGACTTGAAGCCAAGCGGTGACAATTATATGAACGACTTCCATAATGCAGGGGGCATGATGGCGTTACTGCAGGTCCTACGACCATTACTTCATCTATCTGCGATGACGATCACTGGAAAAACACTCGGCGAAGTCCTGGACTCAGTACCAACCAAGAAGTTCGCATTTGAACAGGATATTATCAGGCCATTGTCAAATCCTCTCTTCCCCTCGTCATCTCTGGCCGTTCTACACGGCAATCTCGCTCCCAACGGAGCAGTTCTCAAAGCATCCGCCTCTAAAGACCGAAACCTACTCACACACACCGGGTCCGCCGTTGTCTTTGAGAATTCAGCAGACTTGGCCCTGCGCATCGATGATCCCGATCTTGAGGTCACGAAGGACAGCGTCCTGGTACTCAAAGGTATTGGGCCAATTGGGAACCCCGGCATGCCCGAAGCTGGACTCATCCCGATTCCAAAGAAACTCGCATCTACAGGCGTGAAGGATATGCTGCGGTTATCAGATGGGCGGATGTCAGGAACTGCAGGAGGAACTATCATCCTCCATATCTCCCCTGAAGCCGCGGTGCCAGATTCCCCATTCGGGATCGTCGAAACAGGGGACTTGATTACTTGCGATATTGAGAGTCGTCGACTCCACCTGCATATTTCCGATGAGCTGTTGAAATCTCGTATCTTGCAGCGTAAACAGATCCTTGAAGCTGACACTGGGCCGGTACAGGCGAGAAAGCAGAAGCGAGGCTATCGTGGGTTGTATGAGCGGTCGGTGAACCAGGCTCACGAGGGGACTGATTTTGATTTTCTTACAGCGAATGGTCCTGTAGAGTAGAAATTTACAAACAAGGAAATAATTGAATTCATTTGAATATTCTGAATGATCAAATAATAATGTCTGTTGTATACTTCCTTGCCCTGAACCCTACTTTCCCAATCGGGTTAAATCCCTTGGGGGCGCGTCGCGCTGCGCGTCTCCCGGCGATCACCTCCGGACACCGCCAGAGGGGGTCTTCGATTGAGTTGCGATTGAATCCCCGCCATTGTTGATCCTGCGATATCCTACCCCGAGAAGTCACTCGCAGGCTTCCTTACAATGAGCTCGGATGCTGTTCGCCCTCGAGGGCGCCCTGCCCGTAAGTTGGCGCTGCAATTGCAGCCGACGCGAGATGTCTTCCTACTAACCATCCTACCTCTTGTCTGAGCACCCCAGGGACGACAGTCCTAACATACACTCCCGATGGAAAACGAATCATCACCGGTGGCTCGAACTCGGCTATTCGCATTTACACAGTTGATGAAGATGGAGAACCGCAGACCGTTGATGATGGCATGGACGGGCATGTGGGTGTTGCCGCGACGGTATGACAGAACGAACACAGCCCAATCCAAGTGATATAACAAATTTCTAACAATGTGAAAAGAACAAATACTTCGTTATGGGTAGCGAGGACGGCAATGTCTGGCAGTATGATGCAGCTACAGGCAAGTCGGGGCCTATCCTGACAAGATGCGCCCTGCCAATCCGTGATCTTGCTCTGTCTAGAGATGGAGAGTGGGTGGCAGTGGCAAGCGAGTGAGTTGAATCAATTAGCCATGATGTGAAGACAAAAACTGACACTACTGGCTAGTGATCTCACCGTGAAGATCGTCAAGGTCGAAGACATGTCGCAAATCAAGTACCTCCGCGAACAACAAAAATCCGCAAAGCACGTCACTTTCGATCCCAACGGCCGCTTCATTGCCGTATCCAGCACAAACGGTCTTCTCTATATCTATTCCCTGGCTGAGGAGGAGCCTGCGCTGGTCCACAAACTTGATGGGGTGATTCGCCAACTCGAACCGGAGTCCGAGGCAACATCGAGAGCTGTATGGCACCCCGATGGCACAGCCTTTGCCGTTGCAGAGGCAACCAGAGATGTTGCTATCTACTCTATTTCTTCATGGAAGAAGGAAAAGACGTTCGCCAACGGACACACTGGTGAAATTACCGCGATTAGCTGGTCCCCCAATGGAGCTCTTTTGGTCTCGGCTGGAGCTGACAAACAAATCGTGCTCTGGGAGACCAAGACTCAGAAGATCGTGCAGCGATATGACTTTGGAAATGTCATCAACATCGCCTGGCACCCTACCAAGAATTCTCTGTCCTTCACAACCTCCGACGGTGAACTCTTCATTCACGACAATTTCGTCCCAAAGAGCCATGAAGCTCAACTCCAGAAAGCCCTACAGGCGGCTCCTATATTCCCCGGGCCATTGACTGAAATCTCCAACAATCTACCTCACACATTGGCAGATAGGTCTAGGGAAACAGTCAAGAAGCCGACCCGAGCTGGAACGCCCGATTCATTGGATGATATTCTTGGCGGGGATGAGGACATGGAAGATTTTGTCGAGGATGATGATGGAGCTGGCTATGCTGAGGATTTGAACTTGCATGGAAAGCGGTCAAATGGCCATCTTGATGACCTTGATGGTCCTGGCAGCAAGCGTTTGCAATCGGGGGCTGTTCAGCCCAAATGCCACCCGCCGCTTCAGCCTGGTAGTACGCCATGGGCTGGCAACAGGCGGTATCTCTGTATGACATTCCAATCTGGGAACTTTGAGCTCTGCTAACATCCCTCTAGGCTTGAACTTGACTGGTGCTGTCTGGACCGTTGACCAGGAAACACACCACACGGTTACTGTGGAGTTTTATGACCGGGAGCTTCATCGGGACTTCCACTTTACCGACCCTTATCAATACGACAAAGCATGCCTGAGTAAGTCAAGATTATGATGGTCAAAGAACAAGTCTAACGACCGCAGATGATAACGGTACGCTTTTCTCTAATAATCCGTCTGACGGTAGTCCTGCGACAATTTTCTATCGGCCGCATGAGACTTGGACAACTCGAGCAGACTGGCGTACTCAATTGCCCGAGGGAGAGATGGTCCGAGGTATGTGGTTTTCAACTTTCTCATTTAGTATTGTTCTAACGGATATTCAGCTCTTGCGCTCAGCGAGTCCTATATTGTTGCTGTCACGACCAAGGGCTACGTACGAGTGTACACCCTCTTTGGCACGCCCTTCAGGGTGTATCGCCAGAAGAGCCAGGCCGTGACATGCGCCGCTTGGCGGGACTACATCATGACCATTGGTAATGGATCCGTATCAGCCGATGGTCGGTATGCAACATTGCACTACACCATTGAGAACGTCAAGCGGGATGAGATCTGTCAAAATGAAGACGTGGTTGCTCTACCCCCTGGAGCTCAACTACAAAGTGTATTTTTCACCGACACTGGTGTATGTCCCCAGCTACTCTACTCATACTGGTCGTTTCAAACTGCGAACCACTTAACTAACAAATATTAGGATCCCTGTGTCTACGATTCAACCGGTGTACTGGTCGTCCTTCAACATTGGCGCACGCCCGGACAAGCCCGATGGGTTCCCCTTCTAGATACGAAACAGATGTCCCGTCTCGCAGGTGGGCGAAAGGAAGAAACCTACTGGCCTGTCGCCGTTGCCCAAGGAAAATTCCACTGTATCATTCTCAAGGGTGGCGACAGAAACCCATACTTCCCCCGTCCGCTACTTAGCGAGTTTGATTTCCAACTGCCCATTTCCAGCAACCCGCCCAAGGATCCCGAAGAAGGAGCCGACGGCGACCAAGGCAGCCGTTTCGAGGAAGGCTTTGTTCGGGGAAGCCTGCTTCTGTCACTATTTCGCGACCTTCTGGCATCAACCAATGCCACCTCTGGCCAACGTGCGGAGTTGGCGCGCAAGGAATTGGATCTTGACAAGACTCTGCTGCAGATGCTGGCCATTGAATGCAGAGAAGGAGAAGAACGTGGTATGAAGGCACTGGAACTTGTAAATCTCATGACCGATCGCAATGGCAAGATGGTTGAGGCCGCGGCCAAGGTTGCTGAGCGCTTTGGACGCGGTGTGTTGGAGGATAAGATTCGCGACTTGGCTGAGCGACGAGTGAGTGGGATGGAAGATGATGATGATGAATTGGCGTGAGGAATAGAATACCACGGAGCATGAATTATATGTCAATTTAACTATCGAACTTGAACCTTTATCACGGAATCCTTGGAGACTACTCTGTTTTTAATAACTACTCCATACCCCATTAGTATCCAATGGTCACCCTTGATTAACTTCATTGTATACCCGCGCACTGCGATTGGCCCGCAAAACCGGAAAACGATCGAACTAGTAAACCTCTCCGCATTTCAACTTTCAACTTTCCAACTCCTCTCTCCAACTCTCCCACCTCATGGCATGACCTTCGCCGCCCCGAATCTGTGTTCCGGCGGAATGCCTAATCTGGCCTCACCCTCACGCAGTCTTTCTCTCCGGCTGCAGGCGCAGTCGCAGTCGCAGCGTCCATCCAGATGCAGCGCTGGCCGCTCATTCACATTCACGCCGCGCCAACCTCTCGCCCACCCACGTCATGGTATTCTCCATGAACCCTGGCTATCTCCATCTCCAGCTCCAGCCTCGGCGACACCTCTCCCGGTAGCATACTTTTCCCCAACATGGGTGCGCACCGGGATCGACGGACTAGACGGGCCGCAAAATAACAACCACAAACCGCCAGACAAGCGGGTATTGAAGCTCGGCAAAAGTGAGTACATAGAAATACACCCAAAAGGTCAGGTCCTAGAGAGAGAGAAAAAAAAAAACTAATTGATCCCTCTAGCTCTCCGAACACTCTCACCTCTCCTTCCTACAATCTTGTACAATACCCTCCCACCCGAAATCATCGCCCCCAACGTCAACCTCCACCTATTCCCCTCAACACACCCACACCTCCCCACCGTCAAGGGCCGCACATTATACCGCGCAGCACTGTGGACAGTACCAGTCGCCTGGAGCAGCGTCCCACTCGTCGGCAATGTAAAGCTACAAATCCTCAGCGAGCGAATAGTCCGTGCGGGGACCCTTCTTGATCCAGAGCACGGCGATAAGCACGACTGCGGCGATGAACGATTAGTCGTGCGATGGAAAACAGAGCCTCGAACTGATAGTAGGCCATTCCATGAATCACATACTACACCCAGCACGGCCAATACCAATACCAATGGTGTCTCCACTCCTACCTCCACCTCTGCCTCGGGCGCATCGCAAAGTCAAAGTCACCTCTCATCTTCAGCAAACGGAACAAACAGAGGTCTAAGCAAACTCCTCGGCGGCGATGAACCAATCTTCAAATTATCCAAAGAGCAACAGTTCAGCGGACTCTTTGTTTCTCCTTCGATGATGAAGGCCGTGTCTTGACGCATACGATTGAACATGCCGATGATGCAACGGATGGTGAGGACCGGACTGCCAAGTTCGTGACTTTGACTGACTGGCTCATTGGTAAGGCGCGGGGGTCGCTTGAGCCAGCGCCCAGGCCGGGATTATGTATTGAGTCTTGTCATGGTTATGGACTGGGTCCGGGTCGTTCACGGCATCATCGTGGCCGGTCATGAAATGTTGACCTGAACTGAACTGAACCTCTCCCATCCGATTCCATTCAGGCAGGACTCAAACTCAGGCCCTGCACTGTTGCATTACACGTCTCCTCTCTTGAAAAAGGCTAATACCAAGTCTTTGAATACTGAAAGCCTATTTGACGAGCATTCTCCAATCTTTGTCGCGATATGTAAATAGCATATAATTCGTTCTAGGGCTTCAATCTCGAAGCCAGCTTCTAAAAAAACCCCCTGAACTATGACAATAAACTGAAAAAAAAACACCCTATAAATGTAGTACACATAACCCCAACCTCACCACGCAGAAATGCTTTCAATATGTTTCACCACTTGGGCCTACCATATCATATCATACCATATCAATCCACCTTACCACGAACAACAGGTGCCTTCAACAACAAAAAAACAGCCCCAGCAACAACCACCATTGCGACCCCACCAACACTATAAGCAACCTCCCTACCAGCCCACCAAAAAAGCGAACAAAACAAAACCGGCCCCGTAGCCCTTCCAGCCTGCCCCCACCCCCTCAACCTCCCCATAACAGCACCACGATCTAAATCCCTCGCTTCAAAACTGCCCAAACTCTTAAGTCCCGTAACAACAGTCGCGGACGTAACAGCCAATAACCCACCAGCAGCGTACAGTCCCGCCACAGTCTCCACGCGCGCCAGGAGGAAGAATGAGATAGCGCATGCTATGACGCCGATTCGAATCGTTGTTAGGGGCGGCAGACGGCGGACGACTGTACCTTGGAGTAAAGAGGCTATTAGACCCATTAGTGAGAGGAGGCGGCCGTTTAGTGCGGCGGGACTGCTGGAGCTGGAACTGGTGGTGTCGGCATATAGTGTCGCGGTGAAGAATGGGAGGGAGAATTCCAGTCCTGCGAATGGGAGGAGGAATAGGAAGTGAAGGGCGTTCAGGATGGCGGGATTATTCGTGTGGATATGAGTTGGTTCTTTCGAGTTCTTTTGCTTCTGCTTCTGCTTCTTGACCTCTCCCTTCTTTTCCCCAGCAGAGGGTCGAGACTCCTCCTTCTCAAGCAAAGTAAACCTCGGATGCGTCTCCGGCAAGAAAGCCCAAATAAACCCCGTCTCAACAACGACAAACCCCAAAGAAACCCCCGCCGCCACAAAAAACGGATTATCCTTAACAACATCCACACTCCCCAAAGCCGCACCAAGCACAGGTCCAACTGTAAACGCAACACTAAAACAAGCCCCAATAAGCGCCATACACCCACTCCTCCCTGCCTCATCCGTAACATCGCCGACAATCGCGTCCGCAAGTTGAACATTCGCCTCGGAAAGACCACCCACAACGCGCGACGCGAGGAATGTACGGAAATCCTTCGCGCTGACCCATAACGCGACACTGGCGATATTGCCAATCATTGAAATCAGCAGCGCGCGACGACGGCCGTGGCGGTCGGATAGATGGCCGATTATGGGGGCGGCGATTGCTTGGAGGAGGGAGAATAGGGAACCGAGAGCTCCGCCGAGGAGGACGATGTCATAGCGGGAATCGATGGGGAGGGCGAAGGCGTTTTTGTAGGCGTTTAGGTAGTGCAGGATTTTTGTTAGGAGGGAGGTTTTGGAGGTTGAGGATGTGTCTTGGATTCGGTAGAATGTTAGGAGGGAGGGGAAGAGGGGGAGGATGAATGTGAATGATATCTGTGATGTGGGTATGAAGGTTAATTGTTTGTTCATATTGGGATTTGAGGGGATTATGTGATGCGATGCGATGCGATGCGGAGCAGTTTCATACCAGGTCCAAGAGTAGGGAGATCATTAAGACCTTTAGGACTTGTTTGCGTTGGGCGCCAGCGATTGCCATTGTGGTATGCGCGAGCGCTGAGCTGGCGCCGGAATTGAGGAAAGGGAGTATGGGAGGGTGTTGTGTTGTGTTGTGTTAGGTGGGTGGTGGATGGGGAGATTACAAGAATAAGATTGTCCAGGGCACCAAAGTAAGATCAGATCAGATTACCCTAAGGAATACTCGTAAATAGCAAGGTGGCCGAAGTAAATAGTGGAGCCCGTCGTCATCCCTGCGGGTTGCATTTCATTGCCTATCGGAGTTTAGCTGATCACCTCATTTGCCATAACATAGAATACATTGGGGTAGAAAATATGCAACGCTCGAGAGGAAATAGAGAAATGGGCGCCACTTTAGGGAGAAAATAATCACTCCGGAAAAGAAAATTCGTGGCTTTCGTGGATCCGTGACACCAGACCAAAAAAGGAGGAGATTAACAGCACAACATGTCCAGTCGCAGAGCGCAGAGTAGAGCAGAGTAGAGTAGAGACAAACGCTCAGCATCTCATCTCATCTCATCTACATTCTTATTGCTCGCCAGTAGGCGATCCGTTCGCTCCACCGCGTCCACGACCTCCACGACCACCACCGCCGCCACGTCCGCGGCCGCGGAAGTCTCCACGGCTACGACCTCCTCGGCTGCCCTCACCCCGACCACGTCCGCCCTGGCGGTTGTTGTTGTTATTGTTGCGGTTGCGTCCACCGGATTGGCCCTTAGCCTCGGCCTCCGTGTTCTCGGTATTTGCAGGGGTCGCCTGGAGGCCAGTATCGGTCTCGGCTGGATCACGAGGGATATTCACCCATCCGTCCGTGGTGGCTGACGAAGTCATGGAATTGCCATTGTAGGATGTTTCCGCCACCGCGTTACCCGCATCGGAGACCAAGGTCTGAGATGGGGGTGCAATTTGGTCGGATGTCGGGAGGTTCTCCTGCGCAGCGGCCTCGGCGCGGACAGAGGTATCCTGGAGCTCGGTCAAACCAGCATTGGCGAGGGTAGGGTCCGATGCGGGGGTGGTCTCTGTCGCAAGTTCGGCGGGCTCGCCGGGAGAGAATTTGCTAGATGCCTGCTTCACGTCGCCGACTTGGGGAGAACAGTCAGTACAAGGGCAATACAAGAGCTCGGGCTCAGCTCAGCTCAAGAAGCGAGCAATGATACACCAGTCAGTAACACTTACAGCTCATATCCAGCAAATCGCCCTCAACACCCTGAATCTTCTCATCCGCCCCATCAATCAACTTAATCATAGACGAAACGGCATCCTGGTTCCCACCATAAACCTGGTATAGAACGCCCTCAAAGGCGCGACTCTCCAGAGCCTCCGCATCACCGTCCCGTCGGCTGTTAGCCGCAGCGCAAAGGAACTTGCTAACAGTGAGCAATTGCTGGCGCAGGACTTTGGCAGTTGTCTCTGTGGCATCGGCGATCGCATTGGCGCGCACCGCCTCCAGCTCCTCCTGGTGTGTCTTCTCCAGGGCAGCCTTCTGGCTCACCAGTCGCTCCTCGTACTGGTCAGCGATCAGCTTATAATGTCCGATTTGTTCTTCGATTTGTGCAATGCTAGCTTGAAGGGCGGGTTTCTTCAAGGCTTGAGCTTTTTGATCGTTATTAATCTTCTTCGCCTCGACGAGCTCGTCGAGCGATTTGCCCTTGTTCTCGGCGAGGATGGCGTCGACTTTGGCGGTAGCGTTCTAGAGAGTAGCCGGAAAGGAAAGAGGTTAGTGATATGAGATGTAACAAAGCATAGGAAGCTTTGGTTTAATGTGGAGGTGAGATGGATCGATCGGTATGGGTATGGCTATCACATACCAGCTTCTTCACGGCATTGCGAAGGCTCCTAGAAGCGCGCATTCAGTCAGCCTCATAGCGCAGCATAGCATTCAAAGATAAGTCGCGGCGCTAACTTTTGCAGTTCTTTCAGGTAAGCGGGTTCCGAGCCTGGCAGGTCCGAAGCGGAAACGGAAATGGGGCTCTCGATCTCAGGGTCGGGCTTGGAGGTACTGGAAGCTCGGGAGGAGTGCTTCTTGAGCTTGTCGGTGGCGGAGGCGGGAGCCATAATGGAATGTGGGTAACACAGGTTTGTGAAAGTTAAAAGGAGGAGAGGAAAGAATGGTTCTGTACAAAGAGTGTACAGATGAGAGTTGAATCGAATCAGCTAGAGAGGAGGATGGGAGGGAAGTGAGGAGTGAAGTGAGTCGCAGAATCGATGCGGGTGGAAGTCGCCCGAACCCTTTCCTGAATTGGTGGTGGGCCACACACTCTCACACTTACTGCATGTCTATCACGCGACGAGTCCTACAGATGGGAAAGGACTTGTGACAGCTGGACAGCTAACATGATCACTTGAAAATAATAGAAATGTATTGGGAAATATTTAAAATTCGCATTCCCTGGGTATCATACTTTGCGCCATTACGCCAAATCAAAATCCATCAAAGAGTCACTCCCCCGCGTCAAGAGATCCCCGTCTAGTAGGTACTCCAGGAGGTACTCCAGTAAATACTCCCTCCCCCAAACATCTGCATGATTGCTTCACCTCCAGCTCACAAAAGCAGGGTGACAGCATATCTCCAGCTATATCCTCCAGCATCATTATCCCTGAAATTTGCGCAGTGTTTTCTAAAGTGAAAGATCCTGGCATTAGCTTCACCCTGTGGTACGGGGCACACCAGGTCCAGCTCCAGCTCCACAACGTACCTCAGTGACCTTGCGAACCGCATTCGCAGAGATATTCTTCTCGCCAGACTTTCGCGATCGGATCGAAGCTTCGCGCATTAACCTGATAAAGCCAGGAATTAGCATCGTCGTAGCAACGGGGGCTTGTAGTTGTAGTGCAAGTTGTAGTCATGTATCGTGAAGTCAAGGTGCTGCGATCGGACGGAAACAACTCGGAGAAAGGAAGGTAAGGCCATACTCTTGCATGAATAGCATATAGTCGAGAAAGATCTATTAAGTGTCTCAAGATTAGCAGTGAGCAACCGGCGACCAGCGACCACGCGTTTGGGGGCAGAGCGATAGTCGCGAACGAACGAACGTACCAGGATATCGGCATTCTTGCTCACGCTCCGGTTGGAGTGTGCTTTGACGATGCGCTTGACGGTTCCCCGAGGGTACAGCTTTTGAGTTGCTGCCATTGTGCTGAGCGAATTGTTGGTAGGCGATGGAACGGGGCGGATTGTTTACTTTGAACTTTGGAGATGTGGGGGAAGTCGATCTTGATTAGTAATAGTACTAGTAAATGCTCTAGTTATTCAATCCACCACCATTATGTATGAGTACGAGTATATCCAAAAATAGACCCAACCAACCCCCGAAAAACCAAATGTACATCCATATGTGCATGTGCATGAGCATATTAAGAATTATCGAAGTCTCCGCCGAATCACTCGCCACGCCACAATGGCCGCCGCCGATCCCAACGCCATACGCCAGGCAAGGAATACATAGATCGCAACTCGCAACCGCTGATAATATCCACGCAACATAATCCCAACAGCATACGAGGTCCCATCCGAAGCACGATCAGCTGGACCATAGTATCTTCCCACTCCAAGCCCACCAATCCCAACCTCATTATCATCGTGCTTCGACATATTCTCCCCCCGGGTAACCGACAAAGCGGCACTCTCCGCGTCCAGCGCCGTATCACTCGTAGGTCTCGCACCAGACTTAACCATCCGCGCATTCCGTTTCCGCAAATTGTACGTCAAAATACTAACAATGAACCTCAAATCCGGCGCTGTAAATGTCGGATATTTCCATTGTTGGACAGAAGTATGCGGAGGCAACATGTCCAAGAAATCCGCTAAGATTCCAAGCGTAAGACCCCATAGCAACAGGGGACGATTGAGATCTCCCGAATCAGCCTGGTTACTCAGGCACCATGATTTGAAGCGCGAAATTAGCGTCGATTCTTTGCTGTTCTGTTCATCTGGCACGAATCCCGGGATCGAAGTACACTGCACCGTCTCGGCGGGAAGTAACCGCACGGCTGAGAACTGCATCCAGCCTAGCATAGATCGGACAGCTAATCTGGATAGAAATCCACCTTGTCTTGCGAATCGCTGCGATATATCCACATGTTCGACCGTGCGGAGGGATGAGGAGAGTAGTGCGCGTAATGGGATCCAATGTGTCGAAGCGACCTCCGTCGGTTGTAGTCGCAGCATTGGGGGAGTCGCTCCGCGTTGTGATAAAGACGAAAGGGCAAAGAACCATCAACCTAGACAACCAAAAAGAAAGCAATTAGCAATCGAACATTCAGAGAGAAAGAGAGAGAGAAGGCAAAGCCCGCCAACGATCTGAAACATACGGCACTGATCCCCAACTAGTAGTAACCACCCTCTCCGGCAAATTCCCCACACAAATACAATCATCCGTTGTCAAATCCAATCCAATCTCCTCAGAAGCTTCCCGAATAGCAGCAGCCTTGTCATCCTCATCCTCAGGATCGCGCTTCCCACCCGGCAAAGCAACATGTCCAGTCCAGCGATCGCCCGGACGCGAAGCGCGCTTGATGAAAAGGACCTCCGGATCCCCATATTTCACCCACGGCTGGGCGAAAAAGTCATCCAGTCTGTCTTCGACGGATAAGTCTGGATCACCGAGACCGATATCGAGATCTGTCGGGTTTGGCCAGTGGTTGTATGTTGGGCGGACGCGGAGGATTAAGGCGACGGAGGCGCGTTTCTTGCATAGGGGTGGATTGGGGACGTGTGGGTATGGACGTCGGTGGAGGTCGGTTAGGACATTGTGAAGGTGTGGCGATAGGCCTGGTGTGTGTTGGTGAGGGTGAGGGCCTTGTGAGGAGTCCATTTTAAGGACTGAAGTTGGATCTTTATGTACTCCGTACTCGTAGGGAGAGGAATCTTGGATGGGTGTGGTCTGGCCGGTGACATCCTCGGCCCCTGCGTTTGCCCCACCGGGATTGCTCCGCTCCCACTGGTTTGGTTATAGGCTGGGGATTAAAGGGCCTACGATCTACTGTACGAGTACGCCTCAAGCCAAGGGTTAAATGAATTCTGGGCATATTACTCGTACGGATACAGTCTGCATTAAAGCAGCCCTGGAAAGCTTCTTTTGCCGCTTAGCCTTGCCGGTAGTAGTATGTACGATGTACTAACTATTGGCTGCTAGGGAGTACTACTAGTATACTGGAATAACTAGGTCTATGTGAAGACGAGATAAGGTCTTATTTCCTGGTCTGCATTTATCTCTAGAGTACGGAGTAAATCTTTCAATTTTCAATTTAAAATATGTAATTGAGTTGCCCATCAACTATCCGTAGTATTCTCGGCAAATATCGCCTCCGCGGAGGACAAGCCGATTCCCGTGTGGAGCGAGGCAAATTCTCGGTGGAGCCCTCGTTCTGAGAGACAGTTTGCCGTCTATTTAATTTATATTATACTACATAGTACGTAGTACGTAGTACTGTCTCATCATCTATAGAATTATCAGGTTGAAGGGTAGAAGAGAGACAACGACATACTTACTGCTATGGTCGAGTATATACGAATACGCAGCCATACAGTAACGGGAAAAGCTAATTGCAATTGCATACCCTCAGGCTAAATAATATACTAAATAATATACTAACTCGATCCAGCCTACAGTCAAGTGTCTAAAAGTGCCCAAGTGGGTCGCTGATTGGCTGGTTGCGGATAACGCAACCTCAGCCAGCGATGGACGCACGTGCTGCTGCTAGCTTCGAAGCTATCACCAAAAGGTGTGAACGACCTCACTTCGTCGTTTTAAGTCTAATTCTACCGTACCTGCAGGCTGCATCTGCCGTTAACATCTCGGAAGCAATTTTAATAAGACTTGGGTCCCTTGCCTTGTCTTCCACACCTTCCACACCTTTCTCACCTTCTTCTCTCCCGCCACCCCACCCTCTCGGTACTTCCAAGTGACACAAGGTTGCCAATCCGTCCGCTTTCCTCTGTACACACCCTCTTCCCCTCACCCCTCGGTTCGACGCACCATGCGGTTCGGAAAGACCCTGAGGAAGGCCGTGTACCCCCCGTGGAAGGGCAATTATATCGACTATGCGAAGCTGAAGTCCCTACTGCGGGAGCATGATGTCAATGACGAGGGCGATGATGGCAGCGACTCCGACAGCTCTCTTTGGACCGAACAAGACGAGGAGGCTTTCGTCCAGGAACTGATCAACGTGCAACTGGACAAGGTCAATGCCTTCCAGTCGCAGACCTCGCAGCAGCTCCGAGAACGCACCTCCGCTTGTGAGGCTAAGCTGCGACCGCTCGCCCCGGTCGCCGATCAGGATTCTTCCAACGATGATCCCGAGAAACGCAGAATCGCCTCCGAGGTCCTGCAGGAGCTCGACAGCATTACAAAGGAGGTTAGTGAATTGGAAAAATACAGTCGCATCAACTTTACCGGCTTCCTCAAGGCCGCCAAGAAACATGACCGCAAGCGCGGCGCTCGATACCGCGTCAAGCCCCTGCTGCAGGTGCGCCTATCTGAATTACCCTTCAATTCGGAGGACTACTCGCCATTGGTCCACCGTCTGTCGGTGATGTACTCCTTTGTGCGTGAAACCCTCAGCCAGGATGTCCTCCCGTCAAAGGAGCCGGAACGCGGCTTTGGTCGAGATGTCTATTCGTCCTACAAGTTCTGGGTGCACGCCGACAACGTCCTCGAGACCAAGACCCACATCCTGCGCCGCCTCCCAGTCCTCATCTACAACCCCGGTACCTCCAAGGACGTGCGCACCCTGCCGGATGACCCCACGATCACCTCTCTTTACTTCGATAACCCCCAGTTCGAACTGTACAACCAAAAAGTCGCTCGTGCCTCGGAGGCTGGATCTCTACGCCTGCGTTGGACTGGTCAGCTGCAAGATAAACCACCCATCTTCCTCGAGAAGAAGATTGTCGCCGAAGATGATAGCAGCCGGGAGATCAAGGTGCAGCTCAAGGAAAAGCACATCAAGGAGTTCTTGGACAGCGAGTATCACTTGGACAAAAAGGTCCACCGGATGGAAGATATGAACAATGGCGAATCGGCCGAGGCCGAGTCTCTCAAGCAGAATGTGGAGGAATTGCAGTCCTTTATCAAGGAGCACAATCTTCAACCTATGCTCCGGGCCAACTACACCCGCACTGCATTCCAGATTCCAGGTGATAACCGTATTCGCATCTCCCTCGACACTAATCTCGCCTTGATCCGGGAAGATTCCCTGGACCAAGAGCGCCCTTTGCCGAGATCCCGCTGAATGGCACCGAACCGATCTGGACGATGCCGCCGCATCTTACCCGTTCAATGCCGTGAGAACCGGCGAAATTGTCCGATTCCCCCACGCTCTTTTGGAAATCAAGTTGCGTGGTAAAGCCCATGACTCCGAATGGATCAATGAGCTCATGTCCTCCCACCTTGTCAAAGAAGCACCTCGCTTTTCCAAGTTCGTCCACGGTGTCGCCCAGCTATTCGAGGACAACGTCAACAGCTTCCCATTCTGGCTCGGCGAACTGGAGAAAGATATTCGTCGGGACCCGGAAACCGCTTTCCACGAGGAACAAGAACGGCTGGCCAAGCGAGCAGAGGAAGATATGGCGGTCGGTAGTTTCCGTGTTGGTGCCGGTAGCCCAAGCACACATGCGCTCTCAGGATCCCCCTCCTACCGATGGACCGAGCCATCTCGTCGTCGACCTTCTGGGATGAGTGAGGGCGTCCCTCCAACCAAGCCTCGCCTCTCCGTCATTGAACCCGAACCTCGCGAGCAACCAGAAGAACCCGCCGAAGAACCCGCCGAGGACTCTCCGATATCCGCTCAAAACTTTTCCACACTCCTGCAGTCCTTGACCCACAGGTTCCAGAACTGGTCAGGACAGCAGCAGAGCGAGGTCTTGCCCCCAGGCGTCCGCCACCCGGGCGTCTGGATCAAGGACGCAGGACCCATCCGCGTAGAAAGTAAAGTGTGGCTCGCCAACCAGCGAACATTCATCAAGTGGCTTCATGTCAGTATTCTGCTCTCGACACTGTCTTTGGGTCTGTACAACGCTGCCGGAAAGCACAACCGGATTGCGCAGGCCTTGGCTATTGTCTACACATTCTTTGCCATTTTTGCCGCTGCTTGGGGCTGGTATATGTATGAGAAGCGCGCTCGACTCATCCGCCAGCGCAGCGGAAAGGACTTGGATAACGTGTTTGGACCTCTCGTTGTTTGTGTTGGTCTGGCGATTGCTCTGGTCTTGAACTTTGCCTTCAAGGTATGTATAGCTTCCCTTCCCTTCCTTTTTTTCTTGTGTCGGATTCTAACTCTCCATTACAGTATCAAGCATTGATGAACCAAGCCAACCAAGGCCAGCCCCCCGTTTCAGCCCCTGTCACCAACTCTTCTGCTTTTGGTGGTGCTGGTGGTTCGGCAGCCTCATGGAAGCCGAGCTACAACGCACAGCAGGTCCTGTAAACTCCCTCTGTCTCTCTTCTCGCCAGAAAAAAAAAACTGTAAAATGGGCAGGGGCAGGTTCCCTTCCGAAAGTCTTTGGAGACACTGTACTTCACTCAGCGCTGAACTGTAAATTGACTGTCGATTTGAACTCTCGGACAATTGACATTGACGTTTGTCGGGACTGTTGGATTGGATTAAATTTGTGGACTTGTTTTGGACTTTGACTTTGCATATATGGAGCCAATAGGTGTACTTATGAATTGAATACTACAGTAGTAGCTTGCATGAATGAAATTTTGGGACAAATCAATATAAACCTGAAGTGAGACTGGTAATAACTAAAGGTAACATCAACGTAAGGCCGAATTTTTAATTTTGGTTGCCTGCTAACTACGGCATCGGTTGCCTGTATGCTCATACCCATGGAAACGTACTTATAAAACGGCAGTGGAGACGCTGACAAATTAAGCTTAGGAAGCTTCGGAATTAGAATCAAGCAGAAAGAAAGTACGAAAAGACTCGGACCACCGAGGTAATTAGTACTAGTAATTAGGTAGGATAGCCAAAAGCACCAATTTTACCCAAAACCCAAACTTAAGCCCCTCTCCCCTCTTTCTCACCCGTCTTTCATTTCATCTCTCTACAACCTTGCAAACTCCCCCAAACTCGCCCCCCCTACAAATCAACCACCCGTCAACGTCCAAAATGACAAACTTCAAGATCCAAATCATCTCCGACTCCGTCTGCCCGGTATGTAATGATGCATTGCCCCACTCCGATGCATAACAACCATAACCATACCCGTGGGATATGTACACCTTAACTACTATCTATCCATCTACCCTCACCCCATGAAACTGGACTAGCTCTACTACTATCTACCCTCCTCTCCTCCCAAAACCACCCCCAACCCCAACCCCCAACCCCCAACTTAAACCAAACAACATGAAAACTAACCCCACAACAGTGGTGCTATATCGGCTTCAAACGCCTCTCAAGGGCAATAACATCCCATAAAAGCCAACATCCAACCGACAAATTCACCATAACTTGGAAAGCATTCTACCTAAACGCCTCATCACCGACCTATCCCGGAACCGACAAGCAAGAAATGTATAAAGCGAAATTCGGCGCCGAGCGCGTCGCGGCTATGTTCGCTCGTTTAGCTCCTATCGGTGAGAGTGAGGGTATTCATTTCTCTTTTGGTGGGAATACGGGGGCTACGCGGGATTCGCATCGGTTGATTTGGTTTGCTGGGGAAATTGAGAAGCAACAACAGCGGGAAGCTTCTGCTACCACCTCTGGCGCTGGCGAGGCCATTGGCGGCATACAAACCCGCGTCGTGGAAAACTTATTCCGCGCTTACTTCGAAGAAGAGAAAAACATCACCGACAGAGCCGTCCTAAGTGAGGCGGGTATTAGTGCTGGATTAGATGGCGGTGCTGTTCGGGCTCTGCTTGATGATGAGGATGGGATTGATGAAGGTGGTGAGGAGGTTGATGATGAGGCGGCGGCTGCGTCGAGACAGTTGGTTTCTGGAGTTCCGTACTTTGAAGTTCAGGGGAAGTATGCTATTGAGGGGGCTGATGAGCCGGAGACGTTTTTGGAGATTTTTCAGAGGGTTAAGGATGATGAGTGAATTATCTGGAAGGGAACTGGTTGGTTTTATGGGGGGGGGGGGAAGGTTAGGTAGTTAGAATTTGTTAGGAATGGGATTTGGTGGAATGGGATTGGTTTGGCGTTGATATTTTATGGATTTGATTGTCTATTCAAGTTCTTTTCTATCTTTGTTTTTATCTGCGGTAGTACTCTATACGTGAAGCACCAAGTATCATATAGTCTGAATGCTCATTTGAATACTAATGCTAACTAATCCTTGCCATATCGGTACCTTGAAGCATCTCACGTATGCGAATTGCATCTTCGGCATTCACATCAGCACTTTGATCCAGAAGCATTTGGACTATCTCGCCATGACCCTCCCTCAATGCTGCTTGAATGGCATTATCGTAAACTCTACCCTCGGCATTCACGTCAGCACCATGATTTAGTAATGTTCTAACCACCTCCTTGTGGCCCTGCCTTGACGCTGCATGAAGTGCATGGCCATATCTCCCCTGAGCATTCACATCAGCACCATGATCCAGTAGTATCTGTACAACTTGGTCATGGCCCTCACTCGAAGCCGCATGAAGAGCATAGCTATCAAATTTCCCCTGGGTATTCACATCCGCCCCATGAGCTAGTAGTATTCGAACCACTTGGTCATGGCCCTCACTCGACGCTGCATGAAGAGCATAGCTATTAAACTTCCCCTGTGCATTCACATCGGCACCATGATCTAGCAGTATCTGAACAACCTCTTTGTGGCCCTTGATTGAAGCTGCTTCAAGCGCACTGTTAAATACTCCGCCTTGGGCATTGACGTCGGCACCATGTTGAAGAAGTATTTGGACAACTCTTCTATGACCTTGCACCGATGCTGCTTGAAGTGCATTGACATAGTGTCCGAACCGGGAATTTATAATGTCTGGCAGACTGAATATCTCTCCCTGAATGGCTAGAAGAGTTCTAAGGATGTCTTCTAGTCCCAAAAACGATGCGTAGTATATGGGAGATATAACGCCATCCACGGGTCTTTCATCGAAGTCGAAAAATATCCACCATGGACGGTCTATCTCGTATAGCCTGACCCAGTTCACGAATGAGTTGTTATCATTTTGGAAGAGCCTCAGTAGCAATTTTTCTGATTTGGCGTTCCACGGAGAAGAAGATTGATAATAGTGAAACCAATGCTCGGCAGCAAAGCTCGCAAGAGCGAAGTCTTTTAGCGTTGCTTCATCCGAAATTCCATCTGATAATGATAAAGTTGGGTTTAAAAGATAGACGAGGCAGATTTGGCTTAGTTCGGCATTTGCAGATCCGGTATCAATAGCGAATCTTCCTGCTTTCTGCTGTCGGATACGGTCTGATTGAAGATACTCTTTGACGGAAAAATGAGCAATGCGAGCAAGCGACATCATTTGTTCGGGGTCATTTTCATTTTCAACTTCCACAATCTCTATAAGTCCAAGACAAATATCGACGAGATCATCTTGCTCATAGGATCGGCCCTCACGATCGAGGAATGGTGGTTCTTCGCTAAGCTCTACGGCATGAGCTTCGGTTAACTCTCTGACGGTGAGCAGTTGTATAGAGAGACAAAGTACTGTCAAAATACGCCGTACGTCCTCGACATATGTTTCATCGATGTCGCAAAGGATTCGTTCGTAGGTCTCATCTAGGTCGCGAGGTAAAGAGTCTAGACATTTGTCAAGTTGGTTTCGGTTTCGTGCCTGTCGACAGGACCTCAGCTGGCATTCCGCGTATCTGAAACTGTATATAAATGGGCATTAGCACCATGATACTATACTATAGCTACGAGGATGACTGTAGCAGTAGCAGTCGCAGTTTGAGTACTTACACTCCCTGCGCACCCTCTGTTATCTTGTCTTGGATCTCGCCATGCCGCATCTTCCATCTCTGAAGCTTGGTGTCATTTTTCAGCTGGTAAGAGACGAAATTCGAGATATCCTCAGCAATTCCCGGATTCTCCATCAAGACATCGCACTCAGAGGAAGGGTCTAGTGATCGTCGTATATCAAGGTGATCCCGACTGGTCACTAAAAGATGAACATTTGGCAAGCGCCAGCCACGCATCTCCTGTATCACTCTCAAAACATCTTCTCTCTTTCCTCTATGATCTTGAGGACATTCATCCAATGCGTCGATAAGGATATACCCATCCTGGAACCGTTCCAGGAATTTTCGAAGGGTTTCAAGTAGGACTTTCTCAGGGGGCGCGGATGACTTGGACAGTAAACGCAGTTTGTCCAGCTCATCTTCGCCGTCTTCGAGTTGCACCGATAGCTGTAGCAGCAAAGCACACAATAAGCCCTGAGAACCTTGTTTTGACTCATCACTAAAAGCAAAATAGAAATATGCGATTCCCACTCTTCCACGGTTCAGATTCAGACTCTTCTCCCAAAACTTGAATGTGTGGTGTATTATAACCGAGCAAAGAACCGATTTACCACACCCCGCGAATCCGTTAAGCCAAAGAAATGAATTTCGCTCAACAAGCCAATTTGTGAATTTGGGACTTTTGATAAACCATAGCCCAGTTTCTGGATGATGTTTTGCATAGAATGTGTTCTGGTTTAGAGATGGATCCGGTGCCTGAAGCCAGGCACGAATTGCGAAAGATACTTGACTTGTATTAGTTCGCTCGAGGAGAGATTTGACTGTTGATATTTCATCTTCAATCCGATTATGACCTTGAAGTTGTAATACACTCAATGCGAACGTCAAACTCTCACGTATTTCGCTAATATCTTCTTCGATTTTCTGAAGTGTGCTTTTTCGGAACGGATAAGTTGCGCGACGTCCAGCAACTTGAAAACGATCTTTGAATCTGGCCCCCGAATCCAAGTCCGATCTAGCATAAAGTTTCTGACACTCTGCTTGAAGCTCATGGATTATTTCATGGCAATTCTGTGTCGCCTTTTCGACGTCTTGAAGTAGTAGGTCCTCTGCACTGGCATTAGGTTGAGATTGTCGTTGTTGAACTGCAGTTTCCAAGGATCGAAGGGTATTTTGAAGGGTCTTTATGTTTTGAATGATCTTCGCAATATCCGCGTCTTGGCTTTTGTAGTCTGTGTAGAAATCTACCAAGGTTTGCGTGACTCGGATCCCAAATGAGAGGAATCCAGCGACGCCAGCCGCGATTGAGAGTGGATCGCTCATGGCGATATATGGCGATGGCCGCCTTGTTTCTGTTTACTTCAATTGGAATAAGCAGTGCGTGTAGAAAGTGAAGTTGAGAGTGATTGGGCGAAATTGAGGAAGAACACTAGCAGTAGTATTGTGATGGTCTTGATTCAGCCCAATTCCCCTCGTATTTAGGGCACGTGACCCAATGGGTAGCTTGAGGGAGCGATGGCTACGAAGTTGGTTACAAGAGATCTTAAAGATATCAATTCATAATGTAAATGGTGCATTGTAATCTTAAACGAACTAGCAAACCATCCGCAAAATAGAAGAGAAGAGAGATGGCATAGCAATATCTCCACCGTTCACTGAATGTCTATGTGTGCAGTGCTGTGCTCATGTCAGGGGTGCAAGGGTGGGGACAGTGTTAGAGCAGTGTTGGGCTGGGCTTGGACTTGAAGTTATGGAGATCCAGAATGTCTCGACCTCGTTGATGGTCAAAACCGCTGAACGCCAACCACATGCAAAGACAACGAGCGTCGGAGAGGGCAAAGAAAAAAAGAAGCAGGATAAAATAGAACGCCCATAATGCACGGTGAATCATAAGCCACGAGGAAAGAGACGTGATCGCAAATAAGAGAAGAAGAAAAGGAAGAAAAGAGCAGGTGGCGGGAAATGGAGTAAAGTACAAAAATGGATCGGACCGGGCGAAAAAGATACAGAGCCCAAAGAACCAGCACAAAGTGGGAGAAGCAAAAGGAGGAGTGGCGTGGTGGAGGTATCGACCAGTAACTACCTCGACATCAGATCAGGTCATCTGATGAAGTTGAAGTGAAGTTGAGTGTAGATTGGTCAAGACGGTTCAATTCATAGCAAGTCATAAAATCGGACAGGACTGGTGAGGCCGCTTAAGCCTTCTGCGTCGAGCCGACCTGGTGCAGTTCATACTTCGGCACAAAGTCGAACCAGTCGGTTTCCGGGTTATACTGATACGCCTTAAAGTCCACGCCGTATGGCTTGGGCTCCAGCATATACAGCATACCCATGGGCACATCAAGGTCAGCAACCTCGTCACGCTTCAGACCGCGGAAATAGGACAGGAGAACGCGCGCGGTGGAGCGGTGGCTGACGAGGAGGACGTGGTCAGTCGTGCGCTCGACTTCGACAATGACGGTGCGAAGACGGTTGATGATATCCAGATAGCCTTCTCCGCCGGGACCAGGATAGCGGTAGAAAAGCTTGTCCTTCTTACGGTGCGAATACTCCTCGGGATACTGCTCCTGAATCTCCTTGTAGGTCATGCCCTCCATCTTTCCGGAGTGGAGTTCGTCCAACATGCGCATTTGCTTCACGTCGTACTCCTCTTCATTGAAGTTCTCGACGGTCTGGACGGATCGCTGCATCATCGAGGACCAGACGCAGAAATTGCGCGGACGGTCACGGGGGATCCAGGATGGGTTGGGGGGCGTGCTGTCACCGGGTCGAGGTGGGAAGTGCGCCACCAGGTCCTTTTGGCGCTGGTAGATCTCCCACTGCTGGCGCTGGTGATCGATGAAGCGAGTCATCGCACTGGCAAAGCGCTTGCCGTTCTCGCTGAGACCGGAGTCTCCGCCGATGCGGCCGGCCGCGTCGTCAACGCTCTCGCCATGTCTTGTGATCCAGATCTGGCGGGGAGATAGATTGAAGTTGAGCAAGTAGTAAACAACCTGCGAGGAGAGGAAGCCATGGGTTTGGTGCGAGACGACCTTGCGGCCAACATCAATCATTTGAATGTAGGCCATATCGTGCTTCTCCTCATATTCACCCAGTGGCACGTACGACCTCTCGTAGAGGGCAACTCGCTTCTTGAAATCCTCCAGGGCTTTGGCGGGGTCTTGACCCTTGTAGTCCGGTCCGGAGAGCTTCAGGCGCATATTTGCCTCTAGCAAATCCTTGTCCACGCAGCTGCTCTCCAGGAACAAGATGCCAAGCTCAGGACCAGCGCGCTTGCGAATGTGGTCGACGACAGCCTTTCGGCGTTCCATGGTGCTGTTGGTTGCGTCGAGGATACCGACAGCTCCGCCATCTTCCAGAATGTATTCAAGCAGCTCATCAAGGGTATCCAGGGCGACCTGCTCGCGAAGCTTGACAGCACGTTGGTTCTGAGGGTCGAAGAAGTTGGCAGTCTGTTCCATAGGCTCTGGGGAAGCTTCCTTGGTTGCCTCTTCATCTTGGATCGACTCGGCTGGGCCAGCGTCGATAGAAGGAATCACGGTGCCACCATTTTGTGAGATGGACTGAGGCTCTTCGCCGTTGACAAGGATCTTAGCCGGGACAACTGGCGGCGGCAGTGCCGCTTCATTCTCACTCTCAGGTGGCGAGGATTCATTCTGGTTCATAGTTCCAACGCTGACGCTCAGCCGACGCACTGAGTCGAGAAGGTCCTTGTGGAGATTGGGGCTGGCTTTCTTCTCCTGGTCTGCGCCGGGTTTGGCTGGTGAAGGTGACCTTCCTGCGGCCACACGACGACGTTCACCAACGTTGAAGATCTGGGTATCATGTTGCAACCAGTTCAGGTATCGAGCCAGCTTTTTGGTGATGTAACTTTTGCCGCGGGCCGGGAGGCCGACCATGACGATGACCAGTTTCGCGCCGACATCACGTTGAGCAATGCGGCCATCGGGAGAGACCTTTGATTTGGTCAAACCGGGGATATCAAGTGTAGTTGCTCGGACTCGGCTGCTGGGAGTACTGAGATTGCTTAAACCCTTACTATAAGAGGAAGTGAGTCAGCGAGGTCTGGGCCAACAAAAAAGAAAAGAATAAAGCTTGTTTTCGAAAAAGGAAAGGTTGCAAGAGCATGAGCATGAGCATGAGCATGAGCATCAAACGAGTCGATCACCCGACTGGACACCACGGCTCATACCTCGGGCAAGCCCCATCTGGCTTTGTCCGGAGCAGGCAGCGTGGCTCCGCAGGGAGACAGTCTCAGCCTCGGGACTCGAGATAAGAGGCGCACAAGCGCCGATCAAGTGTAACACATCTCATAGGCCCGAGGAAAGGGATATTCAGGCACCAGGTACCCTTCGGGAACAAATGGACGACTAGGAAACGAGAAAGACTTACATCTGTGGAGACGGGGGTGCGGTAGAAATCGGAGTGTCAGTCAGAGCGGTTCCGACTCCGCCCTTGGGCGCCTGCGATGTTTTATCGGAATGCAGGTCATTACCTAGCGCTCTACCGACCACAGTCTTCGGAGGAGGCATTAATGATCCTTCTTTGCCCGACCCGGTGACGCTAGTGGTCGAACTGAAGCCGTTGGGCGGCTGGTTCATATTCCTCTGATCGCCCAGCTCTGCAGGATCGGGCGACGAGGCAGAAGTCATAATGGCCGACCGCGCGATGGTGGAATGTTGCGCCATCCCCTGCTGGGGGAAGCTGAGAACTGTTTCTGTGGATCTTGATCTCTCGATAATAACCCTCGAGATAAGGCTTGGGCTTTATAGCGATGAACCTCAAGAATCTGATGAAAGGGCCTCGAGTTGGGGGGGGAACAAAGTGGGGAGAGAAAAAAGAGGGCGGCCGGATGACTCAACTCCGGCAACGTCACTTCACTTCAACACAACACAACACGACTATAACACAATGCTGAATGCTGACAGGAGACACCAGACAGCAAATAGCAGATGGCCAAACCACCACAGGTTGGTAGCGGGCAATGGAACTGGTTCGTTTGTCTGTGCTGTGCTGTGTTGTGGTGTGCTCTGGTGTGCTGTGGCGTGTTTCACTGAATCAGAAGATAGAGGAACGCCCAGAAACACGATCAAACAACAAAGAATCTCGAGGTCTTCTTCAATTTGGTGGCGCCTTTTCGACTGTAGTGGTGAAAGGGAAGGTTGAATGCAACAATATAATATATTCCAGAAGCGAGAGAGCCACCCCCACTATACAAACGCTCAATGAAGTCACTATTCAAAGGCCGTGGGCGATCGTCGAGTCCACTCTTCAAAAGTGTGGCTTGCTTTGGTGGATCACTGGGGCACGGGGGCCATCTTCAGAAAAATGATGTCAATGCAATAGGAACTACTGGTGAGTACTCCGTACTGTACTTTGTATTTGTAGATGGGGGAAATGGAGTCGGAGAAGATTCTATATACCCCCTTTCGATCTAGACAAAAAAAAGGAGAAGACTAGCAAGGAAGGCCTGGCGAGACTATCGATGCAATCTTCAGCCTAGAATGCTTGGCTTGAGACCCTCCTAGCCCAAATCGACATGGCGGAGGAGGTCGCCGAGCCTCCATCCCTGTGTCCATCAATATGGAGTAGTACATATTTTGGTGATGCTGAGGAACGCCTGCTTATCCACCGAGATCCACTGCATAAGTACACTCATCCCCGGCTTGGCTTGGCTGTGTTTATCCCATGTGTACTCCGTATATGTGTGAATGGATAGGAGTATATGCCATCACCCCTTTTACAGGGGGGTGGCCCTGGGGCTGAGACCACCACTTCTCGTATCTACCGATTCCAATCAGACTGATCAAACTATGTTTGTTGAAAAAGACCAGTCCATTCTCGGGACGCCTTGTCCAACATGCAATTCACCGCTCGGGCCATGGACCTCCTCTTTCCGCGGGACATACTCGGCTTCCTTGGCGGCTTCACGGCTTGTCAGCACTGCAGCTCGGGCTCTAACTGTAAGCTACCGCGGAGTCACAATCACGACGATCTTCCGCCGCTGCCAACAGGTGGTTGATATCCAATGGTGTGGTACGAAATAGCTTGGCACTTGGCGATCACGCAGGGGGGGTGAGTGGATGGGTGGTGGAAAGAGGGAGGGAAAAGGTCACACATTATCCAACCAGATAATCCCGTGTCAATCCAATAATAGCAGGATCCCCCATACAGTGTAGATAAGATCCCGTTGACCCCCAGATCCAGATCCAGATCCAAGGGCGACGCGACGCGATGCGATCCCCACACCCACCCCTTTCAGTGCTGCATATTCAAAGTTAAGATGATCAGGCACACGTATGCTGCAATACTCAGCGCGGTCAGGATCACGACCGCATTCCCACTAGTCCGGAATTTTTGTCGGTGGATGCCATCTTCCCCTATTTCAAAGTAAAATTGGCGATTGCGTTGAGATCGACGATACATCCCAATCATCAGGGTTCCCGCCCCGTAGACAGCGAATAGTGCGCCAATGCTATAAAACTCGGCGGTGAAGATCTTAATCACTGCCAGCGAAAAGGTAAATAGAGAGAGGGCGGTGCGGACATAAGCCCCTTCAAAGGTCCGTTGCGCTGCTCGTGCTTCGACCAGTTCATCGGTAGTCAGCACGGCCGATCGGGCTCGGTGCATGCGAAGATGATATCGATCGGCGGCTCGTCGCTACGGCTGTCAGTTAGATACTGTGGGGGGGGAAGGTAGGTCTAGTTCCCACCTCGAACATGGTGGTGGTGCTCGTCCAAAGTCAGATGTTTGAGATGGAGGGGCAGGGTGAAGTTGAGGTTGAGGTTGAGGATAACGGAAAATTGAGGTGGTCATGGGAGTGAGGGGGGATGATGTTCCACTCACGTGGACTTGTCCCTCGCTTCGTAAAGTGATTGCTTTTTTTCCTCGTTTAATTTTGTTAGGTGAGGTTTTTGGCTTGGGCTAAGAGTCTAGGCAGAATGGCTATGCCTATTCTAGACGAACCCCGATTCGTGGCGGATTGAATGATTGTTTATCCACTTATATAGTGCTAGCATATATATATTTGGTGGACATAATATTCACTGTATACTAGTACGAGAGACGCTTTTTTACGATTCTAGCCATTAAATGTAGGAATATTCGATCATAGAAAAGCTGTATATGTGCGTTTCAAAATACCAGGTTTTATATCGATGATGTGAGCGAAGGAGAGCATGGCGTGAGTGCGAAAAGATAAGATGACGATGAAATAGTGCTGTCTATGCTGAGTACATGTATGCAAAAAGTGCGTTTTTGGTCTTTAACAATGGGATGGCACAGTGGTTAAGTTCACCGAATTCCTTCGGGTGCCCAGGTTCGAATCCTGGCTCCGACGTTGGTCGGAGTGGCGCAGTGGTTACCGCGTTCGGCTGCTATTTCCCCGTCTCCTATTGTTTTTGTCTTTTTGCATTATTTATTTTTTTTTTTTTTTACACTCCAATTGGTTTTATTCTTTATTAACCTTTCATGCTGAAGCTAGTGTTGTGCGTGATCTTGGACCAAAACCAGGCATCTATATCAAGTTCGGCCCCCACGTCCGCCTACGCTAAGAACCGCCAAGTCGACCTCCACACGACCACCACAATGAGTTTATAAATTCCCATTGTCCCACAGATAAGAATTTGAGTATACATCGTAATCAAAATGCCTATAATTGACCTTCCGCTGGAACTACTCCATTTGATCGGCAGGAGCCTCGATCAGAATGACACACGCAACCTGATATCGACCTCACATCGAATGCACAGCGTCTTTCAACAGAAACTATACACGAACGTGACCATCGGACGAAGAAACGCGAACGCAGCCCAGAGTTTTCTCTACACCGTGGCCCGAAACCCGGAATTGGCTGGCTATGTCCAGTCTCTAGCACTTGCGTGCTGGGAAACCTACGACTGGGACACTCACCGAGACTGGGACATCCCTCGGGACCGTCAAAAGACCACCGAAAGACCCAATTTTGACGGTGATCTCATTCGGAAATTAGTTGATGGAGCTACCGAATACCCCAAAGAAGAGAAATCAAAATGGCTACAGGATCTCGAGGGGTATTACGACGATGCTTGGCTAGCATTGCTCATTCCCCGATTGACCGGTCTAAGGAAAATAAGCCTTGAATGGCCGTACGGTTCTTACCATGTCGACAAAATGCTCGAAAAAGCTGCCATGAATGGAGGTACTTGTTTACCTCACCTTGAAAAGGTTAACATATGTTGGTGGGATACGGAAAATGCCGTCCGCTCATATCAGATGCATCCGTTCTTCAAATTTCCATCTGTGCGCAAAGTCAGTGGGTGGAAAGTCGCGGAAAATGCCAAGGAGGAGGAGGAGGAGGAGGAGGAGTTGGAGTATTTTGACCGCGACCCTACTGAGATTCTCAAGGGTTCTAGCCTCCTACCTCAATGCTCAAATGTAACGGATATTGATCTCTCGGAAAGCAATGCTGGGGAGGGGATGCAACAATGGATCCAGGCCTGCAAAGCGCTAAAGTCCTTCCGAATCATTCACGGTGGACCAGTGTTCTCATACGATAATGCACAGCCCCGCAAACTCTACAATTCCCTCTCACTGCACAAATCCACACTGGAGGCTATCTGGTTTGAGCACAACGATCAGGGGGAGACGGCGAAAATGACAGTGATTGGATGGGGTCGTTTGTCGATTTTTCTGCCTTGAAGTTTATCCGTCTCTATTTACCCAACCTCGTGGGATTTAACGAACAAGACTCTCCCGCACGGAAGATAAGTGATGTTATCCCCTCGTCGCTGGAAACATTGGTCTTGGACATTGCGTGGGGGGGGCTTTTTTGACGTGCTGGATGACTTGGCGGAGATAGCCACCTCGAGGAAGTTCTCCAAAATTGCCACGTTCTATATTGAGGGCTGCAATATAAGTGAGCCAGAGGTTGTTGCGAAAGTCGAATGGCTACAACAGACGTGTCGAGAGGTTGGAGTTGCGTGTCATGTAAAAGATTTAAGGAGAGTTCGTGGGCATATTGCGTATTTGGAAGATATTCGGTTCCGGAACAGCCTTCGGCCCCGGTGCGAGGCAGAAGACCTCGGCTACTATTGATCCTAGAGACTTAATATATGCTTTGAAGGACACACGGATGGGTAGAATCACAGAACATAGTGGCTTTAACCCTGGCTAAATCCGAATGGGGTGAACATTCCCCTGGTAATCAAAACGCGCTCTATCAATAATGATACTCTATTTATTATCGTAGGAATGCGTATATTAAAATATAGTTGGCCTGTGGTTTTTCCTTTGTGCTACAAAAGAAAGGGTGTCACCGTGCCAAATAGCCCATGTAATGAAGATAAACTCTTGTACGAGTACTTCTAACCCCGAGTTGTTTAATAATGGGGTGGGGGTGGCTACCCACTACGGCCAAAGACTCCGAGTGCACACTGCCCAGGCTCTGGCATAGATACCCACAATGGCCGTGGTCGGGATGTGTATCTTATTTCGGAGTCTGATTATCAATAGCGACTAATAAATCCTACAGATATATGAGGAGATAGATGTCGACCTGTATTCATTGTTCAATTCTCCACCATTTGTTGCCCCTCTTCCAATGAAAATGACTCAACAAATAATCACCTACGATATCAAACCCACAAAGTTGGTCCCAAACTCTCCAAAGCCACTTCTGCTTTACAAGGGCTATTTCCTGCGAGATGGAAAAGTAGACTCTACCCTCGCATTCAACACCTTTAAGGAAAACGGATGGGACACACAGTGGGTAGCTACATATGGCCATTACCAGCGGTCACACTACCACGTCGACACGCACGAAGTAATGATAGTTCTATCCGGCCCAGGCAAAATTCGCTGGGGTACCGCAGACTTCGGAGATGATGCTCACAATCATACCTATGGCACTGCCTCGGAAGATGGTGCCTTATACTCTGACGCCAATGTTGGTGACGTTTTCCTTGTTCCGGCCGGTGTCGCGCATAAGTCTTATAATCCCACTGCGACGAATTCAGACGCAATAGGCTTGGCTGGTGGGCAAACAATGTTATCTGAGGATACGAGGAAGTCTATAGGAGAGCTTGAGGTTTCGGGATTTACTATGATGGGTGCTTACCCCCGCCACTTGGTTTGTGGATGGTCGGAAGGGGGTGATCATGTTGGGCAATTTGAATCTGTTTGGAATGTTCCAATTCCTGAGCTGGATCCCTGTCTTGGACGCGATGGTGGTATTAATGACTACTGGAAGTGCTACTGAGATCTACAATGAAGAATGTCAGATGCGAGGAAGCCAAGCGATAATTATGTCTTGTTAGGTGTAAGCGTCTGATTACCAATTTTGTTTTATTTATCAACTTCCCAATAAAGATAAATGTATGTCAGTCAAGACTAGGTTAGAAGAAACCGGGCCAATCAGCTTTTTGACTTCCCATATCTACAAGAGAGATGAAATATAGACTCGTATTAGACCAGATGGTTATTAATGTCGCTGTTACCAAACAAAAACGGGTCAAGAGCTATATATGCTCTTTTTGCTACAGAAAGGTATTTGTTTACTGAAATAAATTATGAAATTTTCGCCCAGGTGTAATCTACTTTTCTAATGACTAAAATCCCGCAACATGCGACATGCAAATAGAATGGAATTTAGGCCGAGTTTATGGGATTACGCTACAAAATCGTCGGCGAAATTCGCCGAAACGACTCGGTTCTAGCTCCGGGTATACGGCTACTTGCATTATCTACTTCAACTGCGGGGTCGGAGATAGAAGCCGTAGTATGGAATGCCAAGAGTTCCGAGCAGAGGTTCTCCACACAATTGATAGATGAGACCGAAGAGAGGTAGACGGGGAACATATACCGTGATAGGTAGTCTTCTGAGCAGACTATGTGCCACTGAGCCGGCTAGGTATGATGGGATATCGATACAATACCGAGGAGCCATTATAAAGCATCGAGTCGCACCAGGAGTTATCCTCTAGGTCGGAAGTCATACTCTTCATTCAATCTATTTAATTTTTGAAATAAACCGTTTATCATTTTACCATGGGCTCTTATGGAGACGATGGCATCCTCGACGCGATCGTTGTTGGCGGGGGATTTGGCGGTTGTTACCTCCTTCGAAACCTACGAAAACTAGGCTTCCGTGCCAAGGTTTTTGAAGAAGGTCAAGACCTAGGTGGTGTATGGTGGCACAATCGATATCCAGGAGCTCGGGTCGATCTCAATATTCCGTTCTATGAATTTTCAGATCCCGAGCTTTGGAGCGAGTGGGAATGGTCTGAAGCTTTCCCAGGACAGAAGGAGATTCTCGAATATTTCAAATTTGTGGATAGAAGGTGGAATCTCAGTCAAGATATTACCTTCGGTACCAAGGTGACAGATGCTGCTTGGGATGCCACTCAGAAAGTATGGACAGTCAAGACAAATAGAGATCATGTCGTCTCGGCTCGATATCTTCTCCTCTCTATGGGATTTGCAGCGAAGAGATACATTCCTCAGATTAACGGCCTCGACAAATTCGACCGCTTTAAGTGTCATACTGCTGAATGGCCAAATAAGCAAGATATTGATTTTACCGACAAGCGTGTTGCTGTTATGGGAACTGGCGCTACGGGTGTTCAAATCATCCAAGAGCTCGGACCTAAAGTTGGCAAACTTGTTGTCCTACAAAGATCTCCAAATTGTACACTTCCAATGCGACAAAGAACTTTGGACAAACCGAGAGACAAATCGGGTTATGCCGAGCTATTCAAAAAGATGCCTCTCTCTGCGACAGGATCCATATATCGCCCTGTTGACCGGAAAGCAACCGATGACACCCACGAGCAACGATTGGATCTATATGAGAAGCTATGGAAAGAAGGGGGCTTCGCTCCCGTCCAAGGCAATTATTCTGATCTCAACACCAACCTAGCAGCCAATCACCTATTTTATCAGTTTTGGCGGGACAAAGTTCGCCAAAGAATCAGAAAGAATGACGCAGATTTGATTGAAAATTTGGCACCGTGGGAGCCGCCTTATCCTTTCGGTACCAAGCGCCCCTCTCTCGAGCAAGCCTTCTATGAAGTCTTTAACCAGGATAACGTCGAGCTGGTGGCTTTAAATAAGAATCCAATCTCACAAGTTGTCGAGAAAGGAATTGAACTTCAGGATGGAACTATGCTAGAGCTTGACGCTCTCATACTGGCGACTGGATTTGACGCCGTGACAGGAAGTTTCGCACGCCTTAATATCCATGGATTGGAAAATAAGACTTTACAAGACGAATGGGCCGATGGAACGAGAACAGCACTCGGAATGACAACATCGGGATTTCCAAATCTATTTTTCCAATATGGCCCTCAGAGTCCCACCGCATTCGCGAATGGCCCTTTGATCTCGGAAATCCAAGCTAAGTGGATTCTTGCAACTATGAATTACATGCGAAAGCACGGATATTCGGAGATAGATGCCAAACCGGAATCAGAGGTTGAATGGGCAAATTTGACAGATAAAGCTTGTAGTCAGACCCTGATGTCACATAACAAAACTTCGTGGTACATGGGCGGGAATATTCCAGGCAAGCGACGGGAGGTTTTAGGTTATATTGGTGGGCTGCCTAAGTATCAAGGATTTTTGAATGAATGCATAGAGAGAAAATGGTCTAGCTTTAAGTTTAGATAAATTAATGGGTCATTTCTCATGCAAATGCCAAGTTTTCGTCGCAAATGCCCATTCCTATATCCTCCGAGGAAATTGACTAGCTATCGTTATCAGAGAAATAACCACTCAAAGAGGAGACAGGAAAAGTCAGGCCGTCAATATCTAGAGAATTAGCCAATTCGAGAAGTTGATCCGAGCTAAGTTCGTAATGTTGCGCAAAGCTTTGTGCAAGATCAGGCTCCAACGAAGGGTTATATCCAGTCGATGTGCTCGGAGGAACAACATCTATTGGCTCCCCCAGCTCACACAAGGCGCTCGCAGGCACAGTAAGCTCCGTGTTATCTCTGATCCGTATTTGGGCTAGCCCAGCATCTAATTGTCTCAATTCTGATTGAATCAATCTAGCAGCCAGATTCCCACGGGCATTCATGTCATCTAGAATATCGTAGGCACATTGTGACCAAGGCGAATGATCAGCTAGCAATATCGGACTAATTGCAGCGGTCATCAATAGCGGAATCGTTGACGTGAAAACAGCATCTATATCGAAGGGTAGAAATATCTCTAAGGTGAATTTTGGTTAATATGCCGACCGGGCCTAAGCATTTAAATACCAATTACGAGATATTAACAAACATACCCAAAAGTCCCTGTTTCAATAATTTTGACAGAATTCGGAGGCTTTGTTGAGCCGACTCAACACAAATTTGAATAAGGGATTTCACAGTTCCAGACTCAAGCCAACCCATGAGTGCAGTATCAGACAGACCCAATTTGGACTGAAGAAATATGTATAAAAGTGGACGTGTTGTCAAAACAATACACTAAGTAGAGGAGTGAGTATTTCATAAATACACATGGGTTCATTCAAGATACATACCTGATGCCCAAGAAGATGCAAGTGGGCTGAGACCCGTGAGATGCCCTGCGTAGATCCATTTTCATATAAATCGAATGAAGTGTTTAGCTGCTCAGTGATCTTGGCAATATCACGTAGTACGGCCTGAGTGGCGCCAATATAGCGACGATCTATCTTTCCTTCCTTGCCGTAGACGGCTACATAATTTAGTGAAGTGAATAGACAAAAAGGGTGGGAAACTCACTCAAGTCTATTTTCGCGAGTATTTGACATAACTTAGCCTGCATCTTTAATGCATTCGAATTTGGAAAATGTCTGGAATTCGAAGGAAGCGAGACACTTATGCTTTCCTCCGAGATCCCAAAGGGCACGCCTAATAGGGATGACATGCGGCGTTCAAGGACGTATACGGTCCACCATACCAAGCGGCATCGCTGTATATAGTCATCCTCAAGACAAACACCATGCATACCGGTATACATCCCGTGCTCCAATGATAACCGAAGAGCGGTACCGATCTTGTGAAATTAGCATTCAGTTCGGGAAGCAAGACAACTTCTCCTTACCATACGATGAGCTGGCGAGCGGCTTTGGACGCATTGTAAGTATAACGCCGTACAGCATAAGATCTGTATTCTTTCGATAGGGTTTCCTTGATAAAAAGTAAAGTCTGGCATACATTTCATGGCTTGAACAAAATGTTCGCCGCCAGGTGGATTCTTTGACCTAGTAGATTGAACCACAAAGCTTTTGCCAAATGCGAGGATTAAAAGATAATGGCAAAACCACAAAGGAGAAGAGCGAGCGAATTCTGCCGGGTTTTGATGGAAACGTGCAAACTGATCCATGAATTTAGTCTCATCGAACAAATAGAAAAGTTGCCCACAATGGAACTTGACTGAGGTGATAAGATATAGTGCAAAGTCTTGGGTTGGAAGGGTTGAAGTATCAAACAATTCCTGAGGGCAGTTTGCTCTGTTCCCATCCCATTTGAGGTCATAGACGTTTTCATCAAGAAGGAGATTTTCCGGGTCTTGGAACAGAGGCGATCCAGTCAATGTTTCGTGGGTCATCTCCAACACTCGCCGACCGAAGGCCCAACTGGATGAGGTGCCCATGAAAACTAGCAAGATAGTTAGAAAAGCGATAAGTTCTCGTGGCGTCAGGCTTAAAACTTACGTGGATTTCCTGTAGGGCCTGGAACCCAATCTGTGATATGAAAAGCCAATGGATTTGTGAGAGGCGCGGCGCTCGCTACCATTGTATCTTGGGATTTCGATGCGTCCATGGGTGTATCCTCAAAACTCAAGTCTGGGTATTGATTTTCGGCTAACAGCGATGTTGTATTGTCCGCTGCATGGATATTTCAGCTGATAGACCCGAATAGAAGTCCAAAGGGGCTTACAGCCGCAAGGAGGATTGGCCATCTGCTCAACTATTGCTCCCGAGGATGCAGGCTGTCTTGATTGAGTCCGGTAGGAGGCCAATCGGTCGTGAAGCTCATTGATATATCTGCATCCCGGCGGTATTAGATATGAGCTGATGGGAGCAGCCGCTTTCAACTCGCCTTCGTGTGACTAGAACTTTCTGCGATGGACTCTCAAAATCACAAGCGGAGTTCCGCTTATTACACTGATCGCATGGATTTGAGCCAGTACATCTAATCTTTTGATCACGGCATCTCTTGCAGCTGTATTGCCCTCGGGTGTTATTATGGTGCAGCGATGGAGACAAAGAAGAAACTTACGCCTTGGAGACGCGCTGTCTCAGCCCACGAGAGGGTCTTCCAGGAGGTCTTTCAGGCGACATCCTGCTCTGATCTGAAGGAAGTGCTCGACTTGAAGTATTCTCTGGAGAATTAGACAAGATGCGGGGTCGAGATGGATCACGACCACAGACACTCTTAGTAAGGCGGATACGCTCCCCAGATTCCAGGTGATCAGAGGGAAATGATGATTTCAAATCAAATATTCTAATTAATGCTCCCATGGCGAAAAAGATCTCGGATATATTTCGTCCTCATACCATTGCTCAACTCCGCATTCACAATACTCGGAGTACACCCACAAGAATAAAAAAAGTAAAAACTATACCGTACCTAGGTATTCACCTGTCTCATTCACGACCAGATTGCGGGCATCTTTTTGATCCACTCAGAGTTATCCTTCTCAACCTCGTCCACTAACCAAGTTGCAATATCCGCTCTTTGGTTCTTCAACACCCAACCATTCTTCCCGACATATCCAGCTTTAGATGATTGCGGTGCACCATTAGCCAAGAATCCCAACCGGAAGATAGTCCAATCCAATCCGTCATTCGTAGCCTCTGTATTAAAGAGTTTTCCAACGCTAACAATATCCTTGTAGGCGGAATTGACGATTATTCGAATTAAAGTGACACCTAAGAAGGCGACGATTGAGAACCCGTCTTGCTCGTCAGGGATGCTTGCAGTGCCCATTGCCAGGATTCGCTTGACTCCCCATCGCTTCATCAAGGAAAAAATCAAATGATAGGCATCTGTGAAGGGGGTACCCGTAACATTCCCAGTCGGGCCAAGTAATGATACAATCGCATCTTGGCCTTCGACTGCTTTGGATAACGCTTCTGCGTCGGTCAGGTCTCCACGGATGATCTGTGTCGCATATGTTTAGTAAATAGATGCCTTCCAGGGGAAGATCGCTTACTTTGATGTTCGGGTGATGCGCAATATTTGTAGGGAGTTTGGAAGGATTCCGAGCATATATGGTGACGATATGGTTATGTTCCAATGCTGTCTGAACTGTCAAGATACCCGTCTGGCCTGTAGCGCCCAATATGAGGATCTTCTTGCAGTTTCTTCCAGACATGATGTGATGGTAGCATTAAGAGAGTCGGACGGGGAAGAGAGCGGCTTGTTTATGTAGTTACCAGGTTTGTGATACATCCGGAGCCATCCACTGGCATTCTACTAAAATGCCGAGTCTTGGCACTGCGGTATCCGCTTAAGACTCCGCACATATCCGCTCGCACTCCGCTCATACTCCGCCCAGGTCCGCACCTTGTAAATTCGCCTCCGCATCACAGCTTAACACCGCAGGGGTAGCTTTGGTAATTAGCACACAGTCGAGGCGACGGACAGATATGGTTCAGAAGTCCTGTCTGCGGTGCAGAAGCCAAAAGCGAAGATGCGACCGAGCGTTCCCCAAATGCTCGCTTTGCATGCGGTAAACAACCCAACATTTTCCCCAACACTGGATCGGCTACCTCCCATATTGCATAAGGCTTACTTGTTGCAGTCTTCAGCAGGATTGCACTTATATTGGGTTAACGACGCCTGAATCCACGAGTGCCTTGTCAGAACACGAGCCCGGACTTGCAACCGGTCTGGCACCCCCGGATGTAAAGGCAGACATCGAAAATCATCTCTCTGGTTTCAGTCCAGCTGAAATTGTCGCCAAATACCTCTCAAACTTACATCCATGGCTTCCAATAATCTCAGATTCGAGAACATCCAATGAGTTCTCGATCTCGTGGGAAGACACCACAGTGGAATGCGCCCTCTTATATTCCACTATGCTTCTTTTGATTTCCGAACCCGAAAGCGTACAAGATAACGACATCCTTTCTCCAAAATTACAGTTGGCTTATCTCTCTATCAAACGCTGGACTGTGTTGTTGGAAGCAGCTGGATTGAATTCCTTGGACCTGATACGCTCGAGACTTGTTCTCACCTTATTTGAAGTTGGGCACGGCTTATATCCAGCTGCCTTCATCTCATTTGGCGCAGTTGTCGGAGCTACAGAAGCATTTAATGATTACAGTACTAGGTACAAAGTCTCTATAACGAGATCTTTCGATGGGGGAATAGCAGGAGAAGAACGTGTGGTCACAAGCGCACTTGCGATCGTTGATAGGTTGGTTATAGCCATATACAGTTCGGCTATGAGCCGTGTCATATCACGAGAGATCTAACATTTAATCAAGATTCATGACAGCTGAAAGCAATAGTTGGCCTTCACTCATAAGGGGAAGGCCATTCCTCGGGCGACAGTCTCCAGTCTACTCATTGTCTACTGGTACGGGATGTACTCCGGATCAAGCATTCTCAAGACTATTTGAAGCATCGTCCTTATTGGAGAAAGTTCACATAGCTCTGAATGAGCCGACTAGCCAGCAGTCATTTAATATCGAAGAGTTGATGGTCATCGTGCAAACACTGAAAGCCTTCGAGGCAGTTCTGCTGCAGGAGATACCGGAAAAGGAACTAATCTACTCTGGTGCCCTTGCACTTTGTGAAATGTGAGCTCTTCCTATTACTTTTTGCCATCGCCCTAACCGTTGTTAGTGGGTTTGTTCATGCATACGATAGCGGTACAAAAGCAGATCCCGTCGATATTAATACATCTCACTGCCGAGCAGAAGCACGGAAAGCCCTGGATCGCTTACTCGAATCCAAATCAGCAATGGCACAACTGTATCTAGATGGAGAGGAAGACATTGATTTCAAGATTCTTCCACCATTTTTGACATATCTGGTATACAGATGCGCAGCCACGGTGACGGAAAGGCTTCGCGTTGGCGAGGAATCTCTATTTAATTTCAGAGTTTTGAAATATCTCAGAGAGTTTCTGGCTCTATTGAGTCAACGATGGTTTGCAGGAAGTAAGTTCATCTTGGAGGACATTTGGGGGCTCCAATGCTAAATAGGAACAGGACGATACTTAAAGCTGCTGGATGAAGATACTACTCCTCGCATGATGAAATCGATACAATGAGTACGAACAAGAATTGGAACTGCTAAGTGTTTGGGCAAAATCAGCCAGTTAAGAGTGATAATATGCTTGGGATATAAAGAGAAATCTGGAGAATGGCATGGTATGTGCATGCGTTGTGGTGCGTAGTTAAGATGATGACGTGAGGAGATGACAGAAGCTTCTGATTTATACGATAAAATGCGTGTCTTAATTAACAAATTAGCTGAGAGCTATATAGTCCTCTTAGTGCCCAGCGCTGTAGATGAGGCTCCACTTGGACTTGGAGACATGGGTAGTGCGACTTTCAATACCCTCTGGACATTTAGTGATCGTGCCTATATCTGGGTCTGTCTATTTCATCCAAACTAAATAAATAACTAACTAAAGAGGTTCCATATGCTTGTTAATAGTAGCCTTGCGTTCATGGAAGCAAGCGGGATGCCTGTTGGCATCTCTCTTGTGGTCCTTAGATTTCGCAATCAGCACCTCTTAAGAACGAGCAAGGTCCTTAGTGATGCTGTTGTGACGGAAGATTGCGGGAAGCTCTAGATATTCTATCATCGCACCTTCTCTGCAAAGGTTAACCATTAAAGAATTGGACTGATGGGACTGATGATTGATAATACTATCAAATTACCCAAATCTTCGCAGACATTCTGCATAAATATAAACTGCTTGCTAAATACCGGACAACCTTCATGGAATGATTTGGCATACAGGACCCGCTCCTTGGGCCATTTTATTCTATTTGCATGAACGGGGCGCAAGCGAATCTTCAACGCGATATCGTTAAAACAAAGTAATCATCGCCAGGAGCTGGTTATGTTGCACGTAACAACTCTTTCAGCGTACAAAAGGTAATAAAACCTTATACACTTACTTACTTTTGCGGGAGGCCACGTCAGCTGCGTTGGTCAATTAAATTGATCTTCCTAGTTTCATAAATAATAACCTGTGGTTGATATCTGTCCTATACCCAGCAGGTGCAGGATCCTACTACGAGACAATTTGTCGGCCGGGACTCAATAAAACTGCGCAATTTCCTGTTTCTTGGAGAATTCAATTCTCGATGGGGCTATGTTTATGCGCTATAGTGCCCAGGTGAAATTAGAGTAGGTTTGGAAATTTACTATTGTTGCGGCATGAAACAAAAATAAAGCGAGTCCTGCGGCTCTAGTCCCGGAAGATTTTTTTAACTTGACGATAAATCAGAGGTGCCAGTACTAGGTACCACTACTGTAGTTAAACAACTGTGGGCCAGCCAGCATAAACGGTGGTTATATTATCAGACATTCTTTTGCAACCATGGTCCCCACGCTGTGAGTTTACGGTAGTAGTAGTTTCTAACAACGTCTGGGAAGAAAAAAGACTGCAAATTTCTCGATAAATAATCAAGAAAATAAATAAATCAAAATGGCAGCCATTTCAACGGAGACTAAATAGTCGACGAAGTGTATGTTAACTACAGGACTTGGCATTTTGTAGTAGTGCCAGATAGCGTTGGGTTATGTAGCACTAATCGGTGTCAGTCTTCATCAAATAAGGTGCTATAGTCAAGCTGGTTAAGATGCCTCGTTGTGGTCGATTACTGTCCTATAGTGGACAGTAGCAATTTCCAATTCCGAGGTGGCCCCGGTTCGAATCCGGGTGGCGCCATATTCGTCTTCTTCTTTTTGTATTTTTGATGTTCCCCCTGCGGAGAGGATGGATACCGGGGGGCATCGCGATGGCGATGGGAGTCATTTTTTTTCTTTGCTTTGCCCAAACTAACCCCAGCAAGAAGATAATATCAAAATTCACTGGCATTCGTCTTAAGCACATAACTAGGCCACCCATTTACCAAATCATATATGACAGCCGTATGATATAAGAGGGGCGGGACTCCCGGAGTAAGTACCCCACCATCATCCTAAGACCTCATTACTACTTTTCTCCTTTTGAAATATACTCGCCGAGAAGCGTCACAAGCAGCAAAATGGCAGCAGTTAAATCACCAAAGCTTCTGCAGAAGTGGTTTCCCCACACAACTAGTCCCTTCATCGCAAACGCCCCGATGCTCGGATTCACGGATTGCGAGATGGCGAACGCCGTCAATAAAGCTGGTGGTCTAGGTATGTTAGATATCCGAGTTTCCGTTAAGATAATCACGAAGAAGACACCCGGAAGCCAAAATACGAATTCAATCTAGATTATTGTTAATTAACCCACTTCACAGGCTTCATCGGCGGCGGCTTTGACTTCAAGCCCGAATCAGCACAACTGGTCGAGCTAGACAAAACCCTATCAAAAGCCCGTTCAATTGCAGGACTCACATCTCCGACAGAACCCCTGCCTATTGGTGTCGGTTTCATCACATTCAGTCCCACAGGCTTTGAAAATGCCGTCACTATCTTGCAAAAGCACCGAGTAGCCGCAATCTGGCTCTCATTTCCAAAGGCAGATATTGACCACGGATCTCTCGTTCGAATGATCCGAGACTCTCAGAAACAGAGTGACTGGGACACTAAGGTATTTGTACAGGTTGGTACTGTACAAGCAGCCAAAGAGGCCATTGATGAGGGCGTGGATGTTCTCGTTGTGCAGGGTACTGATGCGGGTGGGCATCAATGGGCGCAGGGGGCTGGTCTTATGTCACTTCTGCCGGAGGTGCGTGATGCAGTGCGTGCGAGGCCTGCTTCTGAGAATATTGCTATTTTGGGGGCTGGGGGGATTGTTGATGGGAGAGGGTGTGTTGCTGCTTTGGGGCTTGGTAAGTGACACGCCGGTGGTTTGCTTGATGTTTAAGTTTCTGGGCAAAGATTAACCTTCTATCAAATAGGTGCTGATGGAGTTGTTATGGGAACAAGAGTAAGAAGAGACTGTACTGCCAGAAAAGAGAGACAAGCTGACCGGATCTAGTTCGTCGCAACTGCAGAGTGTCCTGCGCCAGAGCAGATAAAACAGACAATCGTCTCGGCCACCGACGGTGCTATTTCGACGGTTAAATCGGTCCAGCATGACGTCTTTCAATCCACTGATGTTTGGCCCGCGCAATATGATGGCAGAGCTGTGATTGGAGTCAGCTATACTGATTCCCAGTCGGGTGTTACCAACGAAGAGGTTATCCAGCGGTATAACGATGCTAGAAAGATGGGACAGGACCATCGACGAACAGTATGGGCGTATGTGACTTGATCATGATTACCAGCGGTGAAAATTATAGCTAACAAATTTCATTAGTGGTGCTAGTGTTGGAGTTATTGATGCTGTGGTTTCTGTGGACGAGCTGATTAAAGGTACACAGCAACAAGTAAAAGAGGTCGCGGCAAATGTTTTGGCAAATATCTAGCTCTAGGATTATTTAAATGCCTTCAAGATAGTTTGAATTGCATGCTGAATTAATTGCGCAAGATTTCGCCTGAGTTGTGGGCTTGAAAATGCCCTTCTCCAAGGTGTAGGTCGATGTGGATGTACATCTATAGAGAATAAAAATGGTATTGTTAGAGGGAATTGAAAATTAGGAGTAAACTGACTGTCCAGTCTCAGCTGGATATGCATTTATTTGGAGAGCTTAATTATTTTTTCAATTTGCTGAATGTTCTGTTTCAGTTGCTTCCCACTGCGACAGTCCCAATTGGGCAAGGTCTCCCCCCCCCTCTTTCGACTTGACTTCGACCCCCCCCCCCCCCTCGTTGCCTTCAGAACCCCCCCAAAGAGCTCCCTCCTCTCTCTCCTTCGTTGAATAACATCTCCACTATCCCGAAGCACGGGATCTTCACAATTTACCGTCCAGTCCGGTCTTTAGCTCCCATACTGGGGCTCCGAAGTTTCCTCTTAAGCTGTGGCCCGCGATTCACTGCGCGACCCTGGATAATTCGCACTGGGTTGCAACCGCGACAGAACGTCCAAACCGGACAGACGCGATCCCACGCCTCTCTTTCATTTCTCCCCACAATATCCCTCTACTCGGGAATTCACGACGACCGGACCGACTCCATGAACGAGACCACTCCTTCGCCTAGCCCGGCGCCCGGGCCGAAAGCTTCGCCGCGTTCACGACCTTCTGCCTCGCCGGCTGCGGGCACAAAGCGCAAAAGAACCGGCGGTACAAAATATTATGCTGTCAAGAAGGGATTTACACCAGGGGTATATGAAGGGTGGCAGGATTGTCTAGCTCAAATTACAGGATTCAAGGGCGCAATCTGTAAGTGCTGTCCCTCCGGGCTCGAATGTTCAATGCAGCACTGCTCTCGAAACCTCTCAGAGCTCTCTCTCCGTGAATCTACATCCTGAAAATAAATAAAAACTAACGAACCCACGCGCAACATTACAGTCCAATCATTTCTCACCTATGAAGACGCCAACGCGTTCCTGACAGGCGGCAGGATCAGCGGAGCTTCCGCGCAAAGCTCCGAGCCCAGATTCTACGGCATTCAACGTGGTCGCGCGCCCGGGGTATACACAGATTGGGCAACAGCGCAAGAGCAAATCCGCGGTGTTACAAGGCCGCGATATCGGAAATTCTCGACGCGCGAAGAAGCAGAAGCATTCGTGAAAGCAGGAGGAGCACAACGGGTTCCACCCGCGGTCGGATTTGGAGAAGTCAAACAGCCAGCCGGCACCCATGGAGTCGAGAGTGAAAACCCCAAGGATCCAGACGGGATAGAATACCCAGCTGGAGATGGGCCGCTGCCACGCGGGGCGGAAGATGGATTCGATCCGAATGTTATGCTGGATCCGGCGACGGGCAAGCTCGTTTACAAGGACGCTTCTAAGAAGGTGGCTACCAAGACACAAGTGAGCGGGATGCCGGGGATGTTGCGCATTTATACCGATGGGAGCTCATTGCGAAATGGGACTGCGTTGGCATCGGCTGGAGTTGGGGTTTTCTTTGGACCAGGAGATTCAAGGTTTGTTTTACCCTCCCCTCCCCCCATTATCTAACTCTCCTCAAGGATGTTAGTCCTCTGACTCACATTCGTTACGCTAGCAGAAATGTTTCGGAGCCATTGAAAGGCAATCGCCAGACCAACCAGCGCGCGGAGTTAACAGCGATTCTTCGAGCTTTGGACATTGCTCCTCGGCATCGCGATGTAACTATCGTGACGGACAGTCGATATGCAATTGACTGTGTAACCGTGTGGTATAAGAACTGGCAACGCAATAACTGGATGACGAAAGACGGCAAACCGGTGGAAAATAAGGATCTAGTGGAATCGATTCTCGTGAATATCGAAGAACGAGTGCAACTGAAAGTGAAGACGTTATTCGAATGGGTCAAGGGCCATGCGAAAGATCCTGGAAATGAGGCTGCCGATCGGTTAGCAGTCAATGGAGCTCACAGAGGTGTCGCAGAGAAGGCCGAGGCACTGGAAGCCAGTCGCGACTTGCCTGATGAGCTGCTGGAGGAGGATTTCTGATATCCAATAATAGTTATGAGTAATGCCATGGAAAAAATACTGTGCCCCCACCGCTTGTTTAAACTTGTACTCGTAAACACTCTTCAATAGTGCTGGACATAAAGTTTGTAGATCTTGGCGGATGATCGGGACGCAAATCACCGCCGATGCCCGCCCGACGCAAGATTTCCCTTTCCCCTCCACAACAACCTTAGGAACCGCATCTCCGGCAACTGTGCTAAGGCTTTCTTCTCCAGCAACCGTGGCTTGGCTTACTTGGCGATCGATACTCTTCCCTATGATCTCTATACTCGCATACTCTCCTCTGACATTCCGAACTATGATTGAATAACATTCGCTTGCTGTTCCTGCCATAGCATTTTTTTGTGGCACATTGACCAAGAGGCGTGATCGTGATCTCATCCCACTCTCGTCTAACTCGCATCTGTCGAGTAACTTATTTTAAACAAGTCGAACCTCCCCAGCTTCATAGATCGGCCCATCTGCACACGAGCACGCAAGTTCGACATTGTGCCTCACACTGCAAGGGACCAATATGCCGACCCTCGCATTGATCAACTTCAACATAGTCTGCGCGACACTGGGAGGCTTTGTCTCTCTTTTCGGACTGGTCTCTTATCTTTGCAAGGAGCAATTTTATCTCTCTGAAGCATGTAAGTCGGGGAAACATCACTAACTTTACCCAACTACCCCAGCCCAGCCCAGTCCGCAGTATTAATTCAATCCAGTGATCTCATTGCTTGCCGGCGTAGCATTCTCGCCTCATGCAGCCAATTTCATAAGACCCGCAGACTACGCGCTGCACTCACAGGAAAATCTCGATGCAATCACCTTGCATTTCACACGCCTAGTTCTCGGCGTGCAGCTCGTCTCAGCCGGAGTGCAGTTACCAAAGCGCTACCTGCAGATCGAATGGCGAAGCTTATCACTGCTTCTGGGTCCCGGAATGGTTGCCATGTGGCTATGCAGTAGTCTCATAATATGGGCCATGATCCCCGACTTCCAGTTCCTCCATGCTCTGATCGTGGCTGCTTGTGTAACGCCAACCGACCCCGTCCTGTCCAACTCCATTGTCAAGGGAAAATTTGCAGACAAGCATGTCCCCCGACCGTTGCAGCGAATCATCGTCGCCGAGTCCGGTGCGAATGATGGTCTCGGGTACCCGTTCCTCTTCTTTGGCATTTACTTGCTAAAGTATCTGGGTATGAATGGGGCGGGGTATACCGGTGGCGGGGGGAAGGCTATGGGGTTGTGGTTTTATGAAACCTGGGTCTACACCATTTTGCTCAGTGTTGTTTATGGCGCTGTTACTGGCTGGTTGGCTAGGAAGTTGCTTCACTGGGCGGAAGAAAAGCACTACGTGGACCGGGAGAGCTTTCTGGTTTTCGCAATTGCGCTTGCGGTAAGTTTTGAACTATCGAGGAGATGGCTTGTCATGTTGCCTTGCTTGCTAACTACCCTCTCTCTAGCTTTTTGTTGTAGGAACTTGCGGTCTCATCGGAACCGATGACCTTCTCGCATGTTTTATTGCCGGAAATGTCTTCACCCAAGAGTATGCTATCCCTTAATCTTTAGCCCCAGGAGACGAATTCTGACCTAAATTTAAGTGACTGGTTCCGCCTTGAGACCATGGACGACTCTCTCCAACCTACTATCGACATGCTGCTCAACTTAGCTGTCTTTATGTGGTTTGGCGCCGTTTGCCCATGGCCATCCTTCTTAAACAACGACATCATCCCCATCTACCGACTCATTTTTCTAGGAATTCTCATTCTGATCGTTCGCCGATTGCCGATTGTACTCGCCATGCATAAGTACATCCATCAAATCGAGCACTTCTCACAGGCGTGTTTTGTCGGCTTCTTCGGCCCAATTGGCGTCGGTGCAGTGTTCTACCTTTCAATCAGTAGAGAGTTTCTGCTCGACATCAAAGTCAATGGCAAAACCCGTGAAGATGCTCAAAGGGTCGCCGACGCCGTGAACGTCGTGGTATGGTTCTTAGTTATTTGCAGCATTGTGAGTTTCCCGAGAAAGAATGTCCCCCCACACCCTCAATTAGTTACTTATCAGTTCTATCAGGTCGTGCATGGACTCTCTGTACCAGTCGGAAAAGCCGGCTACAACCTCCCACGAACGATCTCAAGTGTTATAAGCACAAGCATCGACGAACCCGAGCCCGTGCCTATCTCCAATTCACGCGATACGCATAGCACCGCAATTCCGCTGTCCGATGACAGTTATCGATCTCGTAAGCGTGGAATTCGTTCAACTACACCGAATCCGCCAATCTTCCGCATCGGCCGCTCGGTGATTAAACCTTCCACAAATGAGCAACAGCCCGGTGCTGGACAGACTGATGAACCGGAGCGACCGGTCAACCTTGTTGTTCATGAATCTCCCACGATTTCTAATGATGGCGTCGAGGCTTCTGAAGCTCGCGTTGTTTGATACTTGGCGGCAATGGAGTGTGGGGATTCTAGTGACCGTCACTCCCTATATTGTCGGGCTTTCGAGTCGATATCTTTTTAGATATTCATTTTAGGCTTTCTGGGCCTTTTTAGTTTGCTGATAGATTATGGCCTTTTGTTTTGCAATGTTATATAGTATTGCTTTTTATGTTGAGAGAGAGGAGATTGCGCACATTTATCTTTATGCATTTTGTTTTCGTTGAAAATATTTGATATGGTCATTGTTTCATGATTCTTACCACATTTTCAAATGACAATAGAGTAACCATTCCCAACTTAAAGGTCTAAACTTATCATTCCCTGTACTGAGATTCGATAACTACTAGTAAAATTTCTCGTTGCGACGCATGGGGCACCGAGTACCTAATAAAATACGATAGCCAGAAGAGCCATTGTAAAATACAGTAAACTACAGCGGAGTGTCCCGGCAGTTCAAAAGATTCGGTTCCAAGTTTACCAGCTCATACCGTGAAGCCCTTTAAACCCTCATAGACCGACAACCCAACTCGCCACCAACATCGTCTTCCAACTATTAGACGCAGTATACAAGCTGTGGATTCGGGATTCAAAAAGATGGTCAACCCAAAACCAGCCAAGAAAATCTTCCCAATAAAAACATTCATCTCAGACCTCCCGACAAGTCACATCTTAAAGCAAGCCCCTCCATCAGCTTCAGAAAATGCAGCCAGACCAGCCCATGGGCGCCTAGTCATTATCGGGGATATACACGGAATGAAGAAATCCCTCTCATCACTCCTAGACAAAGTCAATTTCTCCCAGCAGAATGGCGACCACCTGATTTTAGTCGGTGACCTCGTTAATAAAGGGCCCGATAGTGCTGGCGTCGTTGATCTAGTTATGAAGCTAGGCGCGAATGCAGTGAGAGGGAATCATGAAAATGCAGTTCTGCATGCGGCTGAGCAGATTAATTCCAAAAGGGATGGATTGGTGCAGGCTGGAGTTTTGAGCAGTGACAGCACTGTCCGCGGCGACAAAGACTCGAATCCCGGGCAGACCATACCGGAGAATGCCCAGCTTCCGAGTTCTGGACCCGAATTCGAACTTATCGGCGATATGGAGAACTTCCAAAAGCACATGGTTGCCAATGCCGGTCCTGATGACGTACAGCACGGTACTGCAACATATACCACCGCATTGAAACTTTCGAAGACCCAACTGGAATGGCTAGCCTCTTTACCATTAATCCTACGAGTCGAACTACCCCATGATATACCATCGCCATTAGGCGAGAATTTAATTGTGGTACACGCGGGCCTGGTTCCGAATATTCCACTGGAGAAACAAGAACCGCATTCGATAATGCATATGCGCAGTCTCAATCGTGCACCGAGTGAAGGGGACACAATAACAGAATTCCGTCCAACGGAAGACTTTGGCGAAGAAGGTTGGGTAAAGGAATGGGATTTGTGGCAGGAGAGTCAGGAGTCTAAGACGACGGTTGTTTTTGGTCATGATGCGAAGCGGAGGTTGCAGGTGGGTAAGTATACGATTGGACTTGATTCGGCTTGTTTGTATGGGCACAAATTAAGTGCGCTTGTGGTTTCGGTTTGTGAGGGACGGATTCAGCATCAGGTTGTTCAAGTTGATTGTGTTGATGAACCTGTGGTTCCGACTGTGCCTGTGCCTGTGCCTGTGCCTCAACCTGTGACTAGGAAGAAAAGTCATCAGACAGAGAGTCAATAATTAGAGAAATTTCATATGAGATTATGATAACCCTAACGAAGATGACTCTATGATTGCCATTTCTGTCGAATATCAACGTACACTGCCGTTGCAAAAGTTTGAAACCCCATGTTGACTGGTCTTGTCTCCGCCTTCAAATCACAGACAAATTAAGTAGCTACCTGAGATGGAGTAGATAGGCCAATCTATTCCATCTCAGGTAGCTAGTTGTTTTCCATTAGAACGCGGTAAATCATGGTGGGTGATATGAGGTTTCAAACTTTCGCAACGCCACTCTATCAACTTAAATCTCATTCGACCAGATACACACGTCGCGTGGCGAGGATCCTGTTCCGAAGTCCTCGGGCTGAGAGAAGAGGGCGTGTATAGAATTTGGGATGTCGTGACGGGACATATTGCTTCATCCTTTGCGGAGAAGAATCCAGCAGCACATGCAGAGACTGAGCGGGCATTTGAGGAGATTGTGAAGGATTTCTTAGGACATATGCGCGGGAGGGAAGAATTGGAGAGTCAGTATTGAAGTAAGTAGTATATAGCCCACTGGCCGAATTGATAATTTCAAGGATCCATAATGATGAGAGAGAGCACTGGGTACATGCTTCAAGTTCAGACCAGACCAGTCAAGTCGTACGCCAAGTTGTACAGGGTAAGACAAAGGCAACGCCATGCATTCGTACAGATACCATAAGGGCGATAAAAACATAAACATAAGACAAGTAGGATGCGTGGAAAAAGGCCATCGACATTCTTCGAAGCCCTCCATAAAAACAAGCAAATGGAACGGAAAGAGAGAAAAAAAGGAAAAGAGAAAGAAAAAATAACACTATGAAAGCCTGAGCAATAAGAAGAATTTATTGCCCGAAGAACAACCCGCCCCAAATGCTTAATACCCAGGGTATGCAAGCATAAAACTATTACTTAGACAAAGACTGGCGCCAGGAGCAATGAATGTCCAACGGCCAAAATCGAAAAGAAGCAAAGCCATTTCATAAAGTAAAAAAGAGAAAAGAAGAACGCATTGTGTTGCCAGAATTTTCAACACCAGTCCAGTCCGTCCCATTCCGTTATTTCCATCTCCATTCATTTTCTTCGGGCTTCGTACGCAGGGGATGTCGTTATACGTCATGCTGAAAGACAATGATGCTGGCGTCCATCATATGATCGTAGAACGTGGAAAACTGCAGGCAGTAAAAATGTAAAACGAAAAAAAAAATCGAGATAGCAATTATATCCGCTTAGATACCGTGCAGTTCGCGGGTACGACGGGACAGAGGAGCGATCATGCGGAGAATCGGGTCCTGCGGGTTGCGCTCTGCGACTGCCATGTACAGGTTGTTCAAGCGCTGTCCGAGAATGTTCATAATGTTGGGAGTAATTTCACGCAGGTCGTTGTCCTAGATTCTGGTTAGAAGGGAACATGACGGGTTGGAAGAAGTTCAAATAACAACATACCATGGGGTTCACATTGGTGAGCACCACGTTAAGCCATCCCAGACGGGGGCCAACGTTGGTTGAGAGAGATGATGTAACTGCCACACCAATCGAGAGCATGACAATGGCAGAGAGGCTGGTTAGGAACTGGGGATTGACGCGAATGAAGAAGTTGTCGAACAGATCGGCCTGTTGGCTGGATTGAATCCACTATGAAACAGAAGCGTTAGCAGGGGTTACATGGCTCCAGGCATGGGGCAAACAAACCTTGATCGATGCCTCTTCCACTTTGTTCGCACTGAACATCCGGGTGATCTCTGCCAGCTCGGCTTGTTCCGGTGTGGGAATAGCAGGAGCGGGAGTAGGGGCCTGGGAATGGGCCTGGGCCTGAACAGGAGGCTGAGTAGGAACTGGAGGTGCCGCGACAGGGGCGACAGGGGCGACAGGGGGAGCAGGGCCAGTAGGCTGAGGGGTGCTTCGGTTCACTGGTCGCTGGGGAGTATGCGCGCGATTCTCAGGGCGGGGTTGCGGGGCCTGTCTGGCACTGGGGTGCTCATTCTGGCGAACCTGGGCCTGGCCCTGGTTGGCAACAAGGGTGTTGACGGTGCTTGAGAGGGTTCGGAGCATGGCCGACAGCTCATCCATCTTCGCCTGATCGTTTCGGCGCTGCGCTTCCAACTGCTTGATCTGGGATTGGAAGTGGCGTTCCATGTCGCTCTCCAGCTTCTTGGTACCGCGTGCCATGTCTTCGATCATGGGGAAAATGGAGCTCTGCAGAGCCTTGTTGATCTCAGCCCCAATGAGAGGACCGACATGCTGTGCGAGGTTTTCCGAGGCAGCCTTAATGACAGCAGGCATAGCGTTCATCACAGCCCTGGGAAGGGCCTGGGGAAGGGCCTCTCGGATCTCATTCTTCATAGAGCTACTGATTTGCCGAGAGACGACGGAATTCAGTTGCTTCTCAACGGCGGCGGAAGTGGCATCGGTGACAGCAGGAAGGACATCAGTCTTGATGCTCTCAGAAACAATGCGGGCGAGATTCTTCTCAACATTGTCCGACAGAGTGCTGGAAACGAGACGAAGGACTTGATCCTGTTTTGCGGAGGTGGCAGCATCCCAGCTGCGGCGCTCCTCATCGAAGCGACTCATCACACCCTCCATTTCACGACCCAAGCTCTGGTTGAACTGTTGGGAAACGGTGTTCTGAAGAACCTCAAGATGTTTATCAAGAGAGAAAGGAGCCATCGATACAGTAGAAGTGTTTCCTATTGAAGAGAGGTAAGAATAAGTTGGGGAAGGTGGGGGAGAGGAAGTGAATGTGGAGTGAACTTACCAGAAGAGTGAGAGTTGTCAGTGGGAAGGGGCTCAACACCGACAGTCGCAGTTGGCTCCTTCGCTTTGACGGTTGCCTCGGAAATGGCGGAGGAGGCAGAAACACTCTTCTTCTTCTTTTTCTTGTCTACCTTCTCGGTCTTCTCGGCTCCGTTAGGTGCAGGCGCAGACACAGGGACAGGCACATTCTCAGCCTGCTCCTTCTTCTGAGTCTTGGTGGGCGACGCATTACGGGACGCAATCACACCAGCAGCGGAGTCAACAAGGTCAGTCTTCTTCGTGGGCTCCTTGGAAGTTCTAGAAGGATTAGAAGCAGCGTCACCGTTGACCGAGGGATCATCAGTGACGTAGCTTGGGAACGACTGGAGGTCGGTAATTTCAATAGTGCCTTCCTCGAGACCGTCTACTGGACGAATCACCTTATTATCAGAGGTCCATCCCAGGTCCTCCTTCTTGATGTTCAGGCAGGTTACTCCTCGCGAGTGCATAACATACAGCTCGAACAGGCCAGTCTCCTCATGTCCTCGCTTATCGGTGGTATTCTTCGTGACCGGAAGGAGCTCCAAGCTTCTCAACTGGCCCTTGGAACCGAGAGAGATCTCCCGAATTCCACTCAGGCATGCAGTCGAGTCGGGCTTGGGCAAAGTGCTGTCCTTCTCGGCGATAGCCTTGATGTAGGTCGCCTGTGACATGGGCGACAGGTTGTATCTCGGCGCAGACAAGTGGACGAAGTAGATCGAGTTGCGGGTAGGGTGTCCAACAACAATAATTCCCGAAGAGGGATGGTAGGCGACGCTACAGATAGCATCCGACTCGTTCTCATGAGGGAACTTCAATTCCTCCACAGCCTTGCCAAGCCCAATATCCCAGAGCTGCAAGGTGTGGTTCTGCTTGAGTCCAACCAGGACATAGCGCAGCGCCATGGAGCGCGAGTAGGCGCGAAGCTTGTCAAGGAAAAGCACCGAGGTAGGCCAGGACTTCTCGGCGGGGGAGCCTGTCACGAATGTGTTCAAGGGCACCCGAACCTCATTCGGAGCAGGACCCTCGACAACGCTAGCGCTTGCCAGGAAATCACGGATATCCCAGAAGCGAAGACGGCCTGTCTTGTCCAGGGAGGCGATCACAGTGTCATCTTCACTGAAGGCAAAGTCCTTACCGGCCTTACCGGTAGAAATCTTCAGGGCACGCTCTTTGAAGAACTTCTCAGTGTTGACGGTGCGCTGAGATCCAGTCACACTGTAGCTGGCGTTCATTGCAGCCTGGGGAGAAACGACGTAGATGTTCTTGCCGCGCCCGATGGCGAACAAGTCGGGGTGACGAGTGCTCCGCTTGGCTCGCGTTTTCAGCTGGCCGCCAGAGGTATTCTCGTCAGAGGCCGGGAATGGAGGGAAGATCAGGCTCTCGCTCTCCAATGCATCCAACTCAAACAGGTCCTTCGCATGGCGCGAGATCAACGCCCAATAGACGGTACCGCTGACACCGATGCCAAGAATAGCCTGCACATCGGAGGATCCGGTCGTTGGGGAGACGTACACAAGGTAACGTTAAACACACGGTCCCGGGTAGAACGGAAGACCTGACGGTCACTTCCATCATCCTGGCGAATAATCCTAATACCGCCAGTCTTCGCGAGAGCGTATACAATGTACTCGGAAGTAGCAGCCGTCAGGGAGCGATCCAGCTGATCAAAGTCCTTCTTGAGACGAGCGATATCCATAATACCGTCGTCGCGGAAAACCGCAAACTTTCCAGATTGCGGCTTGACATTGATCGAGATGAAAGGCTTCAGGGGGAAGTTGTGGACAGAAACAATGCGCTCTTCCTCCTTCTCGGCACTATCCTCGGCGCTCTCCCAGCTATCAGCAAGGGCGTCGGTGTTTTCATTGGCATTGAGAAGCACCGTGGCTGTGGCAGCAGCAGCAGTAGCAACAGCAGCAGCCTCCTTGATCGATTCGTCTGAATCGGCGGCCTCTTTCGCTTCAGGTGCGGTTTCCCGCAGGTTACTGGCGATCGAGGAGAGAACTTCCTGAGTTGTCTCCTCCTCTGTAGGGGAAGAGACAGCTTCTGGCTCGGGTGATGGCTGGGCCTCGCTTGCGCTAAGAGAGCGACCAATTTCATCCACGAGGCGACCAACGACATCATTGACTGCCTGGCGCTGCTCAGGTTCCAGAATAGGCTCCTGGTTCCGCTTCTTCTTGGGCTTCGCTGGCTCGGAAGCTTCTGGAGCATCCAAGTTGGCGGTGACATGAACAGTGGTCTTCTCCACGACCTCGGCAGCTGGGGTCTCACCACCCGATGGGGGCTGTGGAGACTTGTTGCGAGGGGAGATAGCAGCAAGCTGGTCAAATGGGTTGCTATAAGTGAAGATGGAATTGTTAGAGGCTGAGGCTGCTGCGACCGTCTCCGGCTGCGCAGCTTGCTCAGAACTAGAATCCTCAAATTCCACAGTAGAGTCGGCAGCTTCCTGAATCAGGGGCTCGGTAGGGTCAGCCTGGGCCTGGGGCGAAACCGACTGAGTCTCCTCAGTCACTGGGGCCTTAGGGCCGGCACCGAGCATATCCATCAACATATTAACGTAGTGTCCACGCGGTTCCTCTTGAGCCTCGGACTCGTCACCCAGCTGGGTGACGAGGGAGCGGCCGGGGAAGCGGCCGGGGCAGCAGCCGCATCAGGCCTGCCAAACATCGAGGCGACGAAATCCGAGGCGGAAATATTTCGTCCGTGGGGAGAAGTCACCTCCTGGGCCGGCGGGTAGCGAGCTTGTTCCGGAGCAGGAGCAGGAGCAGCAGGCTGAGGAACAGCGCCAGAACCTTGGCTAAATCTCAACAGGTTGAGCAGGTTGGCCGCACGGTCAGGGTTGTTTGGCTGCTGCTGTTGCTGCTGGTGCTGGTGCTGGTGCTGGTGCTGGTGCTGCGGCGGCGGCGGTGGCTGCTGAGCCCATTCGGGGTAAGGAGAGGGCACGTTGGGGCTAATGATATCGGAGCCATGGTGAGGCGGCGTGTTCAAGGGAGAAGGACTATGCATCGCCGACGCGACCTGAGGGTGGTGATAACCGTGCACCTGGGGATGGGGATAGCTCGGACCATCATAGGGCGGCGGCGGGTGCGGTGGATGCTGCGGATGAGGCGGGAACATGCCTGGCGGGTATGGCTGCTGGGACCGTTGCTGATGGATATGCTCCTGGCCAGGAGCATTAGGTGGCGATGGCCTCGGCCGAATGCTGGCCAGGAGGGCTTGCAGATCGTTGGGGGTGGACATTTCTGCCTCTCGCCTCGAGTGACAGGCGACCTCCGCACACGAACAGCACAAGCTTTGCGAGCTCTAAAAAGCTCTCTTTCGAGAGGTGAGAGAAATCAAAAATGAATAGTTATAACGCAGTCAAAGTGAGTGGTTGAATTGGATGATTTGTGAATCAAAAGATAGACGCGATGAAAGAAGAGAGTAAAAGGATGTGGAGGAGAAAGGAAGTTGGTTCAAATTGGAGTGCAGCGAAGAAATGCAAGTGGCTGTGAGTGATGCTATTTGAACCACCTTTTTCTTACTAGTGAGACCACATTCCTGCTAAGGACCATCAAGGTGGCCGGCCCTTCGTCAGCTAGATTAGTATGTATTTCCTAGTTCCAATACAAATTTAGATATATTTCTGTTATACAGTAGCAGAGTAAAAGTTCAAGTTTGCCATCTCTTGTTGGACGAGTATCTTAGTCTTCTGCCTTTGAATAGCAGACTAGTAGGTAGCTACCTAAGATAGAATCGATTGGCGTATTTATTATATCTTAGGTAGCTACTGATAGTAGTCTACCTTAAGGTACTATTCAAAGATAGTCAAGAATTGTCAGCAATAGAGGGTTGTAAACTTATATTTGTGCAACTGTATATCGAAAATTTGTGTAGGAAATACACCGTAATATAAATTCAGAAGGACCATGGTCCATTTAGCAAAAAGGGTAGTCCAGCTAGCAGCACTCATAGCTGTGGCTTTAAAGGGTTCACCGCCCAACTAAATCGAGTATTGGCCGAGTTGCCATCTCATCATGCTTCACCTTGTTCCGGTTTCTTTTTTAACAAGTTATATGGATCTCACTCAGTAGCCGGAATCTCGGCCTGGGTACTATAACCAAGGATACACTGGTTGATTCTTACAAATCACCTCACCAGCCCCAGTTGGAGACACCAAACACTTCCCTCCTCCCCCCCATCACCAACCCCATCAGCCACCATGTTCTGTCTACGGAGGTAAGAGCAACTCCCCAAACTTCCCCTCACCACGAAGCATCAAGATAAAAGAAAGATGAGACTAAAGACCTTCTTTTCATGCACATACAGCTGGCTCCCACTCCTCTTCATCCCAACAAACGCCTCCCCACTCTTCATAATCTCCTTCGTCGCCTTAACCTACATCATCCACCGACCATGCATCTACTGCTCCGCCCTCCTCCTAATCCTCTTCGCATCTTCCTGCCACTGGTCCGACCGCTGCATCTTCGATCTACGCAGTAACTGGTTCGCTCCACGCTACAGCTCCTCCCCGCCAACAAACCCAAATTCAAGTTATCAATCCGGCAACGCCACCATCGCCGCCCCCATCCCCGGTGACAGCCTCGCGGGCTTCGTCTTCGAAACATTCAACTCCACTGCCAAAGCGCTCGCTAGTGCAGCGATGGAAAGTGCCCAGAATCGACTCGGTATTGATGGGGATTCAAAGGCTGAATGGACGGGTGTTGGACTCGAGTGGTTGCGTGATGTGCTGGGTCGACGGGAATGGACGCTTCCTTGTGTGGATGTGAAAGTTCGGCTCTAGATAAATGGGTGGAAGAAAAGGAAAAAAAGTTTTGTTCTTGAAGCAATGCATGGGGGTTTTTTTCATCGCGGGGAGTTTCTGGAAATTTAGTGCATGCTCTTGATTCATTCGGTCTCGCTGTTTGGATTTGGATAGTAACTGCATTTTCACTGCTTATGACATGTTTGCCTTCGCTCCAGAACGAAGTATTTGTCGTTTTGTCTAGGGTTGATTCAAATTTGTATTGTACATATCATATGGTTTTTAATGATTAGATGGTTATGCAAAGGAACGGTTTCCTAGTACTAACTATACCTTGTGCCTTGAGAGGGTAAGAAAAGAGGTAATGCTCAGTTACTAGTAGGTCTCCTAGTAGCTACTAGTACTGGACAGTTTCACTTTTCTACCTGGGGTAGCTAACCGGGAAGCAGCATGTGCTAATTTCATATGCCATGAAAAAAGGGATAAAATAGTTCCAAGGTTAGGTGAGAATGGTAAATGCTTGTAACTTGAACTTTTGAGATATAACCAGCAATAGAGCTTAAAAACTATGCACATCAGCATTTCAAACCAAGAAATCCAACCACTTAAATCAAACTTGAACCAAAGCAATCAAGAACTAGTATCTCCATTCCAAGTGCTCATCTACGCGCGATCCGTATCCGCCTTCGTCTTCTTCATAAAAAACTCAAAATAAGCCAACACAGCCTCAGGCACATGCTCAACAACAGTCTCATTACCACCAGGCTTCGAAACACAAACACCCAAAGAAATCAAGAAATTATCAACAAGGGGCACACATGCCGCACAAGAACAGATCTAGAAAATATCATATTATATTAGTATGGTACAGTACTCCACTTAGTAAAACCAAGGTACAATGGTTCGGTTTCAATTCATTCACGGTTGGCGCCATACCTGAGCTAACCCATTAACCAAACACCTCTGCAACGCCGCAGGATCACCACTAGAAATAGCAGAGACGACGCAAGATGCTGTCCCCGAGAGTCCAAGACATGCTGCTAGGTTACAGGCTGGTGGCATTTGGCTGATTGTGAGGCGGTTCTGTTCTCGTACTGGAATCGCGGTGAAACGAATGTGTTAGTGGGGTGCTTTGCTTTGCTTTGGGGGTGATGGCGATTATAGGATGATGAGTAGCCCCGGGTTAGAGGATGATCATTATAAGGTTTGGAAGAAGGGCTAGAATACTAGTAGAGAAAAAAAAGAGAGGAAAGAAGCAGACATACAAGCTACCGTGGCATTGCTTTTATCGAGAGGACCCGATTTATCGGCGTAGGAATGGCCAGCTAAAGCTGCGAAGGCGAGGATAGAGATGTGAAAACGCATGGTCACGGTGGAAAAGTTCAAGTCCAACTTGGGGGGAGAAATGAAGGACACAAGATTCCTAGACTAGATAGATACTAATAGTTTGGATTCAATCGGTGCAGAATTTAGCAAAATGCCAGAAAAATTGCCCAGGGTTCCAACAAGTTTGGGTATATATTGGAAATTACTAGTAGTACGAAGAAAAACCGAACCTGCATCTATCGAAATGTAACTCCAGCCCTGGAGACAGACAGCAGACTATACTAGTAATATTTATGACCAACGACGTCGGGGTTTTCTTGCACTGCACCCATTGGCAAGCTTCTCCCAAATTCGATTCGATATACCACCACCGCATTTGCCCAACTCATGCGGCAAGGGAACACACAACACACTTTACTACAAAGAACGGACGTCACACCCCAGGATATTGTCGCCGGGATGATTTGGACGAATTAAGATATCGCGAGGTAACACCGAGTCGCATCGAGATTCTCGTCCAGCCAGTCCCCTTTTCCATTTCCAATTACATGCACGCTGGTCATTTTGAATGAACGGTCTTAAAAAAAGCCCGGGGCTGGGGGATCAAATAGCGCTCTTCTGCGAAAAGTATATTTAATTGACTGTCCGACCTACCCTACGTGACGAAGTAATCCAGTAGTGAGTAGTGATGAATGAACTTTAGATTATCAACCAGGATTATAACATAGATACATGACGGAGAGGATATCTGGCAAATAACAGAAAAAAAAAAGCAGAGCAGAAAAATATGTCAGGCAAGGTGACCTCCCGTTTACAGATCACGATCACAAATCCCATCCCACCCGCGGAGAAGAGGGGGGTGAGGGGCGCGACGGATACCAAGACGAAACCGCCGCGGAGGGGAAGCATAGAAAAGGAAAAGGAAAAGGAAAAAGGACAGATAAAATCGTGAAACATGACCCAGAGGAATGTGGTATCACAGCGTCAAAAGCTCTGTTCGTCGTTGGCAGAATTTCGTCGCCAGCAGAAAAGAACTGAACTGACTGAGCGGCCCCCCCCCCAAGCCTGGAGAGAGAGAAAAAAAGCAGAAAGAGAAACAAAACAGATGTGCGTACGTACGTATGTATCAAACAAGATAAAAGTGAGAAGAGAAGTGAAAATATGCGCACAATAAATCAAATCGACGCGATAAAACGACATTAGTTGTATCCACCGCCAGTAGGCAGGGGCCAATCATCCTCGGTAATACTGCTCCAGAAAGACCAGACACCGATAACGGACAAAAGGGTGAAGAGGGTTTCGAATAGGGCACCGTTAATTTTGCCGGATGACGCCTCGCAGAGGTGAACACTGATCACATATTGGAAAATCTGACCAATGGCGAACAGGAGAGCTGCGCCGGAAAGATAAACTGCGGTAAAGAAAAAAAGGCGTCAGTAAATAAAGACATGTTCTTTTAATGCCTGCAAAAAACTTCAGAAAGTTGAATTTGACATACGCATTGGTCGGAATTCGCCCAGTACACGGAGTACCAATACAGCCTCGAAAGCGTAGAACAGAACCAGGCAAATGAGCGGGAATAGCTGGTATAGAACGTAGAGACCGATGTTACGATTATCGTTGCCGGCACCGGTGCTAGACGCGAAATGGCCAGTCCAGTCGAACGCGGTATCCAAAGCAATGTAGCCGGTACCGATGAACAGGGCCACAGACGAAGCGCAAATGAGACCGATTGAGGCGGGAGTGCCGTCATCAAGTAACTGAAATCCCACGAGCGCGTTCATAAGAAGAATCCAGCATGTGGCAGTGATCGACGCAAGGTGGACGGCGGAAAAGCCCTACATCTAAATCAGCAAATTGCCCTCTCTGGTCGATGCAGGGAAATATGATAGGCATCATCTCTCAGTGCTCACCTTTCGAACGTTGTCATGGATCGGGATACCACCGACGGTGAAGATTTCGCAAATCTGAATAACGATAAAGCCTAGTAGGAATAATTGCATCTCACTGGGTGATGTTAGTATACCAATCCTCGCGCGCGAATCGAATTGACTCCAATTCTGAGAATGAGGGGGGTAAATGCATACCGACGCCCGACAGCAGCATGCTTCTTATCCGACCTCCATAGCATAGCGAGAGAAACGAGGATGGCCAGGAAAGCCAGTAGAATGGAGCCTACAGTATATCCCGCATTAGCCACACATGAAAGCTTAAAACTGACAAACGACCCTCGTGCATTCCAGAGCGCGCCACATACCAAGATTAGCGAGATGGCGACCGCCACTCAACTCGATTCCATAGAGAGGGCATCCATCAAACGTTCCATTGGGACCAGCGTTCGGCGGCTGATTGTCCAAAAAGAGCTGTGCGAAAGACAACAATTAGTACCAGCGTGTATATGGATCGCGAAATCGGAGGAACGAGAGGAAATTGACGAACATTGCAGACGGGCAATAGCGAGTCGCGACAGAAGTCCTGTAATAGCGGGATTGGAGTCAGCGGTCAGAGTCTGCCTAATTGGGTCTTGGGCGGAGAAGGCGCGGGAATTCGGAGAATCCAGGGGCGCGATTGGCAGCGAGACTCACGTGGAAATTCCCGAATTGTGTTGAGCCCATAGTTGAATGTTCAAGCCTTTAACCCTGGGGGAGGATGAGGGAGAGAGGGGAGTGTGGTTGTGGAAAACTCGTCGAGCTTGGAAGTTGTATTGCGGACGGGGCTCAGTCGTCCCCTGACCCGCGTGTGTTGAGGGGAGCGGGCAGGATGATGAGGTGGAGAGGAGGAGGCGGAGGAGAAGTCGAGCTCCAGCGAGAGACGAGCCACTGCAGGGCGAGGAGTCGAAAAGGCGTGAGGTTAACGAAGGTGTACGAGTAAGAGTGAGGAGTAAGAGGAAGTCGAAGTGGAGTTGGCGTTGCCAGTGCGGTCGGGACCAGGCAGAGAGTGTCTCTCGATCAGGGAATGGCCGACGCTAGTGCTTAGCTTGGGATACGATGGTTTGCTGGATTCTCAATTTTGGGATGGGATTTCCAATGAGGAGGGAAATTATTGGGGTTCAGGCCAGGGACGAGTGTACCTTGGTAATACTGGAATACCATTATCTATTATTTTCTGTTATTCCATGGCTCCTCCTACTACTTAGTATGTAGTGGCAGTGCCAGGATGACTCCAACCTTGGTCCCATCTAAGAATAGCACTAACTATCCATGGTTCGTATCCAGGACTACCACTCCATGCCTTCTCACTAAATACCATATACTATGCACGGAGTCCATCTAATTGGAACCCTTCTAGGCCCTGTGATCGCTGCCCTTGCGTGGCGCAAAACGATCTGGTCGACTGGTCGACCCGGCGACCCGCCGATGTGCCGCCACTCGATCGACGGGATCGTCTCTACACGATCCAATTCTTCACCAGTTAGTACAAGAGTACCATTCGGCAATTCATGGACTTGAAAAAACATCTTTCAATTTGATCTGTCTTCAACCTTGGAAATTATCACTTTCCATCTTTATTCTCTTCCAACCTTCCCACCAAGAGTATCCACTCTGAAAAACTCACGCTTGGAGTTGAGAATATATCCACCTCCCTTTCGAGTGCTTCAACCCGCATGCGACTCGAATCTAGCACACATCCTCAACAACCAATTCCTTACCATCATGCTCTCCCAGATCCAACTTAAGCGTACGTCCAAACAACTCCAGCAACATCTCAAAGCACGACTTGGTAATAGCAGGGTCGTACCGACCCTTGCTGAGCTCATCGCGAATAAAAGCATCTACATTATCACCTCACAGTCAGCAAACCACATGTCCCGAAAACGGGAAAATACCACAGCACTAATCTGCTCTCAAACTCACGCTGTGCCCAAGCAACTTCATAGAAACTGAACAAAACACCCTTCTCGTGCAGAGTCTTGCGAATCAAATCCCGTCCCTCGGGCGGAACGTGTGTATCATTTTTGCCAAAGATCTGCGAAAGCGAAGCGTTAGCATTAGACCTGCCAGTGGTCTTCCACAGTAAAAGGACGCGGACGCAGAGCGCTGCGAAGGATAGCCTACCATCAAAAGTTCACCCTTGATATCACCCGTCCTTGCCAAACTGTCATCATTCTTACCCCGGGCCAGGGTCTTGCTGTGGATATCCGTCGCAAAGTAACACACAGCCGCCTTGACCCGACTATCGAGTGCACAGCGGTACGCAAGATGGCCGCCGAGACACATACCCGTTGCGCCGACGCGGCCGTTGCATGTTGAGAGGGAGAGAAGATAATCTACTGTCAGGGTTGCGTCTTCGTCGTAAGCTTCTAGTTTCTGCGTTGGAGTTAGCACAATACAGCACAGTACAGCACAGCCACTGATTATAGTATATAAGACTCTGGGTCTCCTTCCCGGACATAATCGTGAGCATGACATGGCATAATAAGCCCATTCATGCACACAACTGTCGGTAAATCCATCGTATGCCTAGGTATGAGAACCCAGTGGCCAAGGTGGTCACTAGTACTTACTTTACCAATCTTCCACGCATTGCCCTTATCGGTATCTTCAGCATTATACTGCAGCGGCTCGGGACCGGTAAATTCATGATAACTCGATGGGGCCGCGACGATGTACCCCTGGCCGGCGATTTGGCGAGCAAAACGTGCCACAGGGCCTGTGACTGTAAAGATTTAAGATTGGTTGTCAGCAGAAGATACCTTCCCAAGACCTAGGTATACATGAATTTTCGGTAAGGTAGTTTTGCTGCCATGAAGCATTGGCAGCGCAGTGGCAGCGCAATCAATCGAATAAAAAACTTGAACTTGAAAGGAAAATTCAGGCTCTGCCTCTTTCCTACCTTGATAAATTTCGCTGAATATAGCGACTCCGGGGAATCTTGCTTTGGGATATCCTGGGACAGTGGGGTGGAAAACATATATACCTGTGGAAATCGTATTAGCACTTATTTATAGATATAATTGAAAGCTGTAGTTTCGTTTCTTTTCTTTTCACGAAAAAAGTGAAGAAAAAAAGAAAGAAAAAAAAGCTATGGTGATATTTTTCGTCCGGTCAAAGCTTAAAAGCTAGCTCGGGGAAATGAGGGGCGGATGTTGAAGTTCAAGTTCAAGTACATACGCATGCTACCCTGGCCATCGGCCTTGGTGGGAACGTCGACGGTGGTTTCTTGGACGAGCATGATGTTGGAATGGGCTGTCTTTGCTGGTCTTGGGAAAGTCAATTGGAATGGATGTTGGAGCTGTCGCGAGCTCCGGAAGAAAAGATAACTTGAGCTTGAAGGGAGCGCGGGGCCCCAGTCATGTGCCGCTGACAAAGTGCGGGCGCCCGGTGAACGTTGATGTCAATAACTGAAGTTTTTTTTTTAAAAAATCAAGTTTCCATCTAATCTATTGCCTACTGCCTACCAGTGAAATACATTGTAAATTTGAACTAATTTTCATTGGTATATTTAATTGAACTAAATTAAGTAAAGAAAACATAAAAGAAACTTGAAGAACCCGAGGAATCCATTGAATAATATACATGGAACTGAATGTTGAATGGGACCGCTGCGAGGCGTTCGTTTTTCAAGACAAGACACCGCGATCAGCGGAGCCATGGCAAGCATTATAAAGATAATATCTCGAGTGGTGTCAAAAAGGGGTCCCAAAAATGCGTCATTTCTAATTGAGTGAGCTTTTTGAAAGCACAACCGCCCGGAGCCGCTGTACAGCAAAAGGGGAAAAAAAGTCGGGATGGGCGAAAAGGGGAGGCCCGATTATAATTCCTTAAAGGACTTTAAAAGACGTACTATAGCAAGCAGGGTTAGTGGTTGCTTGCTTCATCAGGAACTAAGGGGGATTGATTGAAAACTCACAGGAATGAACAGGTAGGGAACCTGTCGCTCGTACTCGGCCCAAGTCTCGCCATACTTGATGCGGCAGCGCTGAATATCGCGCAGCGCACGGTGGGAGATCATGCAGGCAAAGAAGACAGGGTAGAACCAGGGGAAGGGGCTAGAGAAGCCGGTGATCAGGCCCCAGTTCAGGGCGAAGAAGAGATCGCAAGTGTAGTGGATCTTGCGGGCCTTGCCGTACCAGCCATCGATCAGGATCTTGGAGCCGTCGGCGGTGGTGAGGGTCTTGGGGTTCTCAACAGTCTGCCATGGCAGCTGGGGGAAAGTGTTGCGCTTGACCATAGTGCCGCGCTCCTGCTGACGGAAACGGTTCTTCTGGCTGTTGGTTGTGTCCCACACCCAGTAGACGAATAGGTATGCGGCGTAAAGGAAGGCCAGGAAGAATCGGTTCCAGTGGTACTCGGAGGGGTCGTGGTTGGCCAGGTAAATGGTGCAGTGGCAGTAGCTCAAGGGGACACCGGCCAAGTTCCAGAAGATGAGCATGAAGCCCCACTTCTCGTAGTACATATCCCAAGTGGACACAATGCACTCCTCACCCTTGGAGCAGGCATTGGCGTAGAGGAAGTGGGCCATGACCAGGAACATGACCTCGCCAGAAACATAGCCGTAGACCTCCCATTGACGGGCGGCGGCACCCATGGAGAGGAAAAGCAGAATGTACCAGGGCAGGCGGACCTCGAAGAACATCTTAAAGTCCAGGATACCAAACATACGGGGGTTCAGCTCAGCACCCATGAAAAAATCATAGATCGGAGCGCCGGTCATACGGTGCTCAGCGCCACGAGCCAGAGCCGAGAAATACGCGACGAACGAGACGATGAAGCCAGACAGAATGGCAACGCTCATCAAGGGGCCGAACTCATCGATGATGGTGTAGAGCTTGAAGAGACCAGTCGTGTGCAGAACAACAACCAGGATGATGCTGGTGTAGAAAGACCAGACAGCCGAGCAGTAGTAGGGCAACTGCTTGTTGCCCGAGTGTGGCAGAGGACGTCCCATCATCGAAACACCGGGGAGCAGAACGTAGCAAGCACCCTCGAAGACGAAGAAAACCCAGTAGATAGTCCACGCCTTGAAAGACGGGAATGCGCCGGTATAGACGAGGTTGGCCATGTGAGCGAAGAACTCGGAGAAGCTCTGGCCCTCCGCGCGGGTAGGGAACTTGCCATCATAATAGGTTGCGCCAATCCACATGTAGTACATGAGCATAGGGAAACCGATCATCATGGCCAGCACACCAGGCGAACCGCCAAACTCCTTGTGTCCGCTGTAGTCGACCTTGGGGTCCAGTCCTTCTTCCCATCCATCGACAATGCGCGACTCGGTCTTGACCTGGGATTTCATAGGGGTCGAAGCCTTGCCATTGGTGGCCAACTTTACAGGAGCGATCTTCTCCTCTTCCTCCTCCGAATCCTCAGTCTTGACCCTAGCGGAGGCGCGACGGCGAGTTGTGGACTTGGAGCGGGATCGGGGAGCAGGAGATCCATTCTCAAGGCCCTCGTCGAAGGCCGCAGAGCTCTTGCGCGTGGAGCGACGACCAGGGGTCTCGATGTAACCGGGACGATCCATTTTCCTGAAAAGAGAGAGGAAAAGGATTAGCGATTGCGATTGAGATTAAAAAAGAAGAAAGACCCTAGAAGACGAGTGCAATTGCGGCGCGGGTGGGCATGACAGGGGGGCATCATATAGCCAGTCGCGACAGGGTGGATCGAATCGCAAAGGGGAGTCGGAGAACCCGAGAACCGAGAACCAGGAGGAAAAGTTGAAATACATACTTAGGGGTCTTCCCCGTTTGAGAGCGAGTCAAAGTCATGATTGTCTCCTCGGAAGTCCGAGATCCGACTTCAGGGCAAAGGAGTAGTGGGAGGGTTGGGATGAAAACAAGGACAAGTAGGAAAAACGAAACGGGAATGTTTACTTGGAGCAAAGCGGCGTGGGGACGGCAAAATTACCTCGAATTACCTGCAGATTACGTCCGGCTCGCGCCTCACCCGGCAGCGTGGGCCTGTTTTGTTCCCCCACAATTACGCTTGTTGTCCTTCCGGTTACTACCATAGTTCAGTTGCTGCTAAGTGTCATCTTCTACTACTCTTACGTTTAGTTCATTTAATACCTGGCCCAGTCGCACTCTGGAAACCCCCGAAGCCCCGGGATTCTCCTCGATCACCCATGCATGGTCGACGTGGGCGTTTTTATTTAAATTTTTTCTCCCTGCAGCGGCGATCCCTGCGCCAAGACTGTCGTTCCCTTTTCATCATGCAGTACATACAATACTCACAAAGTTTGTGTGGATTATTTAATTTTCTCTTCAGGCCATTGTAGGAAATTCATTGCTGGTAGCTTCTATGGACAGGTGAATTTCTATGTTTATTTTGCTTTCAGATAGTAAACACCACAAGAAAATGTTGGGACTGGAATGTGGGCCCACTGCGGAACTGTCAAGGCAAATCGATACTATAATGCGATGAAGCAATGCCATAGGAAAAGCAATGAGAACATCTTGCAAGAGAAAGGATTTGAATACCACAGAAAAATTGCACAATTCGCTCCGAGGCGGAAAAAAAAATAAGAACAAAGCCCGGAATCCGGTGGACATGGAGTATTTCAAGCCTATGCGCCGCGGTGGCTGTTGGTGGACATTAATGTAATCTTGCCCTTCTTCTTTTTCTTACTAGATTTGGATGAAGAAGAGGGTCCTGACTCCTGATTCTCGGGAGCCGTTTGGGCGATGATTGCTGACTCTTGCTGTGCAAAGAGCTCATCTTCCCACCCTGCTAGCCATCCATCATGCCGGGGCTGGGCCTCCAAAGTTGGAGATGTTGATGCAATAGCCGTCGTGCCCCAAACGGTACGAACCCCAGGCGGACTGCTGGAAGGGGAGGCTAGTGCTCCGAATTGGGATGACGCGCGTGGTGGGGACGCTGAAGAGGCACCAGCGTCGAAAACCGCAGAATCGGCATTGCTGGACAGTGGTTGGAAATCATGGACATTGAAAGGCGCATCGCTGGAATTTCCAATACTCGGGCGCTTGCGACGTGCAGCAGCCCATCGTTCGTCATCTTCCTTCTTCTCTGCGCGAATGCGGTCTTTCTCCTCGCGAGCTTCCTTGTCCCGATTGCGCTTTCGCCTTCTGTCGGTTTCTGTACGGAATTGCGCGAGGACTTCAGGAACCACCACATCCCTCCAGTCGCACTCAAGGAAGCTCACCTCACAGCCGTAGGGTAGGTGTCCGAGATATTTAACACGCTTGCGCAGGTCATCATCGACCATATGACCAGTGGAGATGTGCTCTACCCGGGTAGTATGGTCGCGGGGAATTGAGCATATTCGCCAAACGCAGCTTTGAGAATCCTGATGTCCAGTGGTGACAGATAAAATTGAGGCAATGCTTGATAGAAGTAGTATGGTTGGTCCGACGGCGGTGTATTTTGTGCCTCTTTGCCTCGGCCCTTCGACCGAGTCTGCGATTTGGGCTCGGATTCAAGTTGAATGTTCTCCATAATTTCCGGGAGACGATCCGTTTCATCTGATGTGATTGGTGTTGGGGTGGGTTCCGCGGCCGGATGTGTCACGTCCGTGCTGGAACTTGGCGCCGATTCCTCGGAAGAGCCACTAACCGGCGGAGCCGCATCTTCAGTGGTGTCCGATACCACAACGGGATCTTTGGCGGGTCTGGAATTCGCTTTTTGCCGAGTGATGGCGGGTGGATTGCCAATCCCCTGAAGCGTTTCCTTCGCCTCGGAGATCGCGCGGACGGCCTTCCGGGACCACGTATTCTCATCCCCAAACAACAGCTCGTCCTCAACCTCCTGTCTCTGGAGATCTTCGATTTCTGTGTCGTATTGAGCGGCCATGTAGTCCTCGCCACCTTTCATGATTCGAGAGTAGTCGGCCACTTCGGCCACATGGTACCAGGGGATATCCTCTCCCTTAACAATAGTTTCACCACCATCACGAGGAAGAGCAAGAGTGCTGCCAGCTTCTCGCTTGACTAGTCTTAGAACAACATCCCCGCCTTCCACGGGGAGATCACCTTCTTGGCCCCGGAACCATCGGACAGGGCGACTCTCTGAGGCGTAAATCGAGTCCCAGCAGATTGGACATTTCTTCCACCGAGGCTTCTTGTCAGGGACATGTTCCTCACCATCGGACGAATGCATATAACGAATAAGGCATGGAAGACAGAAAATATGGCCGCATCGAGCCATTCGCGGTGCGACCGGTATAGATAAACAAATGGGACAGCTGGCCGCCTGAGTCTGAGCGGAAACCAGGACCTGAAGAACAGATGCCCAATCTAGATGTACATCTGCATTGGCTGCTTGGGCATGGTAATTGAGATCCGGGGAGACAATGAAGCGGTAATTCGCATGGACATATCGTGCTTTGTCCACTGCATGGTAGCCGGACCCTGTGCCCGATGATGCATAACGCCGAATATTGCGAGGGGGTGGTTGATACTGTGGTCGAGGAGGAAGAGAGAAATTCATCAAATGAGTAATGGACGTCTGTCCTTTGCGGCTGTTGGTAGATTTCATGACGGCCTGGACAAGGGACAATAGGTCAGCAGGGAGCCTTTGAACCCCATCCAGTTTAGAATACCCACCGATTCACTGTACTCATCATCATCCAAAAGTCCGGGTTTCTTTTGTCGTTTGTGCTGATTCTTTCGGCCTTGATTGTTGCGCGGCGCCCCCGAGTTCCTCGACGATAGTCCGGCCCCAAAGCTTCCAGAGCCTCCTGCCCGTCGCTGGGAGCTGCTATCGTTTGAGGGAGTAGAGTGATAGGTCGCAGGCCCGGCGGGGGGGATTTGAGATATTTACCGCTTTGGAAGGAGTCGGAGTTTGCCCACCACCTGACGACATCTCCAAACCAATTTCCGTGGGTCAGATAGCTTGACGTCGATTCTACACGACCGAAAGAGCGTAAAGCCTGAATGACCGTTCGGGCAGCTTCAACGTGAGGCTCTTTGTAAGTCCCAGCCAAATGCAGCGCTTGATAAGCTAGGCGATCAACCAACAAAGAAGAACAGAAATGTGTCCATCAGAGTACCCAGAGTACTCTAGGTCAGTCTGAGAATGCAGAAGAAAAGTATGAATAGGCCAAGCCTCGAGAGGCCATCTAAAGATAAAGATGGCGACCAGGATTGGCACGCAGAGTACATCGCGATGGCGGGCGTCGAGGAGGGGCGGGCCATGACATCGCCGGGCACACGTGCCGGTGACTCAGCAAATGCTGACTAACTTTTGATTTGGGAAGGTCTGCACTTCATCAGCTTCGCTTCCAGCAGGCGTTGAATGAGGGACCACGACTCTTTCGACCACCTTATCTTTTCACCGCATCTGACATACTCGTCTTCCTCCCCTTGAAGTACTTCCTTTTACTTTGATTTCATTATTCAGGTAAAACTCAAATCCTGACCCGTGTCTCTCATCCCGCGCATTGTCTTTTATTAACCATTCAAATCTCCAGCTCTAACGATTCACACTCCCCGACTCCGATATACCCAACCTCCGAGTCCCTTCGAAACATCCACTCGATTTTCGGTAAAGGCCAACATGGCTGCATAAATGAAATTTGCCCTTCAGGTTTTTGGATCATCTTGATTTTCATAGCGCATGGTTGCCATTGAGGCAGCGCGTGGCTGAACAAAGGCGACAACTATCTCCAGCCTCGTCAAGATGAACCACCACCTGCCCCCGATGCCCCATGGGCAGCCGCCTATGCCGCAGTCGCGGCGGCAGCAGGACTTCTCCTACAACCCTGGTCATCCCAACATGCGATCCCCACCTTACATGGGGTATCCCCCACACATGAACGGCATGAATGGCATGAACGGCCACATGCCTCAAGCATATTCGCCTCAACAATTTCCTCCTTGGTATCCGCCTTATGGTCATATGCAACTTCCTCCTCGTCCCTACCAAGCCCAACCTCATTACGGCCCTATGATCGTGTCTTCCTACCCGCCCTCACAGCCGATCATGGCTCCCAACCATATTCCTCCTCATTCACTACCAATGCAGCCAAGGTCATCAACACCTTTACAACCCAACATGTCACCGTCCGTGCATGCGGTTCCTCTTCAACCTGAAATGCAAGACCATACCGTTCTTCCCGTGCAACTGCCCCAGCACTACCCCATCGCGACTCCACCCCGCGATGGGAGCCGAAGACTGTCCCCGAGCCCGAAGTTACCGAACCTAAACCGAAACTTCCCTTTGCTGCACCGGTAAGCTGAATTCAAAACTCAACCAATATGCCTTCAGTGGGATCTAACATTGTTTATAGCTGCCCTGGCTCTCAGTTCCCGAAGTGTCTTTCCCGCCAAGACTGCGAACCAGACGCCGATCGGTTCGTCCTTTGTTGTCTGCCGTCGAGTTCCCCAAGAAAGATGGCAAACATATCATCGGAGAGAGGAAGGATGACGAAGACGCGAAGCCTGTCGAAGACGTGAAGCCTGCCGATACTGCTGCTCATGCGATCTCCGAACCTCAAACTCCCACCACCTCTATTCCCCAGTCGGAAGCAAACTCGACACAGCCAACGACTCCATCTTCTGCAGCGAAATCCCAGACTACACAGAAAAGCACAAAGCCTGCGCCTGTTGTTCCAGTTGTGCCAAATGTTCCAGGAACTCCTCGTCGCCAAACCACCAAAGACACTTCTAGCGTTGGATCTGAAACGCCCAAGTCGGCCACTCCTGATGCCGAGCAGACACCTTCTGTTACCACTGCGGAAGCCTCAGTCAAACCGGTTTCGCCTGTGCGCGCAGCACCTAAATCCTGGGCCGACCTTGTCCGCTCCAAAGCTGCAGCTGCAGCCGCAGCCGCGGCCGCCGCTAGCGCTGTCGAGGCCGTTCCTGTCCCCACCGAGTCAGGAGCGTTGGCTGCACCGAAGAGCGAGTCTCTTGGAGATGTGTTGAGCACCCTTGGAGAAGATGTCACCCAATATAGTGACAAGATCGCTTTCCTCGAGCCCCGAGGACTCGTCAACACTGGAAACATGTGCTATATGAACTCCGTCCTGCAAATCTTGGTTTCATGCGTCCCATTCCATCAATTCCTTGAGCATGTTGGTCGCCGGGCCGTGCACAGCTTCAAGAGCGACGTGCCTCTCATTGATTCCTTGATCATGTTTATGAGAGAGTTCCGCGTTATCGATGCTGCAACTTCGGAGGACCAATTGAGAATGCGACTGAAGCCCACTGAACTTGAACAGTATGGCGAGTCCTTTGTTCCTGAGTTTGTTTATGATATGATTCGACAGCTCCCTCGCTTCAGGGACATGCGACGTGGTCACCAGCAAGATGCGCAGGAATTCCTGGGCTTCCTTCTCGAGGAGATGCACGAAGAGTGTGACCGTGCCGCGAAATCCAAAACCGATGCTTCCCAAGACTCCACTGAGGGTTCTTCCGGAGACGGATGGCTCGAAGTCGGTGCTAAGCAAAAGTCAGCCGTGACCCAGTCCTCTGGTCACATCGCTACTGAATCTCCGGTCACTAGAATCTTTGGAGGCAAGTTGCGTTCAGAGTTCAAGGTTCCTGGTAACAAGACATCTGTCACCATGGAACCATATCAACCCCTGCAGCTAGATATTGGTTCCCCTGAAGTCCACAATATCATTGATGCCCTTCGAGGACTCACCAAGCCTGAAAGCATTCAAGGCGATTTCAACTCTTCCCGCGGTCCCAACGTCACGGCTACTAAGCAGATGTTTATCGAAACTTTGCCCCCAGTCTTGATTCTCCACCTGAAGCGTTTCCAGTACGACAGCGTGACCGGTGCTACTCAGAAGATCTGGAAGAAGGTCGGATACCCCCTCGACTTGGAACTTCCACGAGAAGTCTTCCCAGCACACCGCCGCAACGCCATGAATGCGCAAGGCGGTCTCCCGAAGTATCGCCTCATGGGAGTCATCTACCACCACGGCAAGAATGCCAGCGGTGGCCACTACACTGTCGATGTTAGGCGCCAAGATGGCCGTGAGTGGATTCGCATGGATGATACTGTCCTTCGCCGTGTTCGCAGCGAAGATGTGGCGGAAGCTGGCGGTGAGGAAGATCCCAAGGTGCTTGCAGCTGCTCTTGAAAAACACAACAAGCAAGACAAGAATACTCATGCCAACATCTTCAACCACATTGACCAAGATGAAATCGAGGCCGCCGACAATGACAAGGGCTGGAGTCAAGTGAACGGAACTGGCTCCAATGGACACGCTAGTAAAAAGTCCGTCAATGGAGTTGCACCTCCCTCTGCCCCGTCATCTGGGGTGCGCACTCCCCTTGGAAGATACGGCACTCGCGACAACAAGGTCGCCTACCTCCTCTTTTACCAGCGCCTGGCATAATTATGTCATTAAAAGTGGTCAGAATTGATGATTCCATACTCAACTCAATACCCCCTCGACATTCTCAGCCCCTGGCTATATGAGATACGCATTTCTATTTTCAACATTTGTTTATTTGCGACAGCATCATACCCCACATTAGTGGCGCTTTCTTCAATTTCACGCATGTTCTTCATTTACAAAGTTGCAGGGCACAGATCTTGTGCGTCGTCAACCGGCTGTAAATATCACGCCCGGCCGACCCGACCTGCAGTCACACAAACGGGAGGGAGCCTAAAGCTTACCTCGAACACAATGAACACTGGCTGAAGCACGACGGCAAGAGTATCTATACAAAATCAGGGCAGGGCGGGCCCTAGTTTATAAAATATTTACCATATTGCCTCGTGACTTCAGCACCAGATCCCTCAGATAATTCCCATTCGCAAAAAATGCGAGGATTACCGCACTCAACATCCCCAGCGGCAACCACACAGTCTTACAACATCACCCGCATATCAACAACTCGAAAACACACCCACCTCACCTCCCTTTGAACACAACCACACCACTGAATACGAGCTTGTTTGGGCTATCTATTACAAATATCGAACATAACACTTGACACCCTTCTACCCTTCAACAGCTCCCAATCAAAACACAACCAACATACTCACCACCTTCCTCCACCACTTCATCCCGCCGCAGAACCAGCAACCCCGAACAAAATTCTCTACCCTCCTGCGCGCTCACCTCGATATCCCGTGCCCTCTATTTCATACATACGTCTTTGCTACCATGGCGTGAGGGCATCAGGATCAGGATCAAAGACGAAGTCATGAATTTCATTGTCTTTATTTCTTCGCTGTCTTTTCTCCCTCCCCTTCCTCCCCTTTCCCTTCCCTCCCATAGATGGATACTAGAAAGAGAGGGAGAGGGAGGGGAGAGGGCGGGGAAATTGTTTTGCTAGTGGGTGTTCCGTTATTACATTATCAGAAGTCAGGGATGGGATATCCCCTTGCTTATTGCTGTACTTTGAATGAGACGAAAGAAAAGCGAAAGAAGGATAAAGAAGGAAGAGTCAATCAAATCGAATTGAAACCAGAAACGAGAACGAGAAGATGCAGAAGAAGAAAGAATCGGGGACGAGGAGAGAAGTTGCTAAGAGAAGAGAAGAGAAGAGGAAGAAGATCATGATCATGATACTAGTACTATATGAAAAAAGTTCTAGGACAAGGACAAGAACAACTTGAAGAACAGGGCTACAACGATGAGGAAGAGGAGGACCAGGACCAGGACTATGATCCAAAAAAGCATGTTTTTATAGCCCCAAAAAAATTTCAAAGGAAGTTTTATTTCAAATTCTTTTTTTCATTACTGCGTATTCATAGTCATAGTCATACTCGTAAACAGAATTAATTTCTGCGTTGTGCTAATCTTAATGCTAATCTTACATCTCATTCATAGTAATGCATAGGGGAATCGAACGAGGTAAACAGGACACGACACGACATGACATGACATTATGGTGCACTCGGCACCAGCCTGAATAAATCAGGCATGGAAGGCGATCGGCTCAGGGGGGAAATTCTCATCAGCCTCATCCTCCACGAATTCGAAGCCCAGAGCGCGCCAGTTCAACTCCTTTCTCCAGTGGAGGCCGTAGTACTCCCGGTCCTCACGCAGGTGACTGGCATCAGCGTCGACGTCTCCGTTCGCCAGGACAGCCTTTTGAGTCTCCACGGGTCCGGATGCAAGACCGCCGCTCTTCAGACGGCCAGCGCGGGGGTAAATTACTGCCCGGAATCGGAGAGGAGGAGTCCCATGCAGCAACAGATGCATGGCTCGTGGGAGAGATACACATCCAAAGACGTGCAGAGGTAGCCGCCCTCAGCCCGACTTCGGATGCGTGAAGTCGGCAAAGCGTTCCCCGACTCCTCAATTGGTTCCTGAGGAGCCGGGGGAAGGCTCGCGGGGTCTGAGGCGGGAGGGGCGGGCAGAGGGGGAGTTGTGGTGGTGGATGGTGGCAGTTCAACCTCTGTCAGGGTATCGAGGGAGATGGGGGCTGCCTCTGGGTTCGGCTGTGCGAACTTCCTCTTCCGAGGAGAGACCTGGCAACTCGTCGCAGGTGAGGGTCGGTACGAGGTTGAGTCGTCGTCGATGACATGGCTCCCAGCTTCGTACAGGAAGTATTTCTCGAAGGCGCTGAGTTGGTTTGGCTTTGAGAGCTGGGGATCCGTGTGGACGATAGGTTGACAGGCCATAGCTGCTAAGTCAACCTCATTTTCTGGGTCCTCCCTCCTCGAGCGCGCAACCAGTTCAACTGCACGCATTAATGCGTGCAAGTCTGGGCCACCTTCGTGGTCCGAGTTGTACGTTTCGCATGCTGGGTTGGGTGCAATACCAGGATGCCTGTCCATTTGGGAAGGTCCGCCAGCTTCAGATCTTGCAAAGCGACAGTCACCAGCGACAGCGACTACGGCCTGTGGCCAGCGCTCTCGGCTGTTGTAACCTTCTTCCCAGGCTTTTTCGTCGATTTGCGCCTCGATTCTGGGGTCAACGATCACCGCACCTACACCGCGTCCGCGGCCCGATTGCTTTGCCTCCAGTGCGACCTCTCGTGCCAGAGACACGTAATATCCAGCACGAGGTTCAATTGACTTCTGGTCACGGTTGAGAGTTTGGGGATTAGGTGCGACGGTCGATCGAGAGGCTGCGGGATTGAAGGTCACGGGCCACAGAGATGCGCTCCAGACATCAGCCACTTTCGCACTGGCAGGTGGATAGATAGGGATCTTGGTGCGGAAAAGCGTAAGCTCTGGTGATTGCTCTGGGCTACTGGGAGTGGAGGTCTCCTGTGGCTCCTGTGGAGAGTGAGAACGGGCACGAGGCACTGGTATGAAAGGCTCGAGCAGGGTGCGGACAGCTTCCAGATCAGGAAGAGAAATTCCAAGGAGGATAAAGATGCTTGGTGCCATGGAAGATTTCTGAGGATAGGCTTCATCCACGAATTGCTTCACTGACTCTGGCAACTTGTCGCGCTTGCAGAAGCGGCGCAGATGGTTGAGTGGGAGGGACGAGTCGCGAGGGAATGCGGCATCGAGAGCTCTATAGCGAGACCATTAGTGTTCTGTCCATAGTATAACTAGTGGAGGTCGACATACTTGATCACTCTGGATGCGGATTTGATGTCGACTTCAGCGACATAAGCATCATCTGTAGATTGGAGTCAGTCTTGACGCGTCTGGGGACAATGGCGGGGACGGGGTTCGATCACATACCATAGCCCTCAGGTGGGTTGACTTCTTGGATAGATTTGATAGGAACTACATGTCCATCCAGAGGCTGAATTGCCTCAACGATGTCCCGCATGGAAGCGGAAGCGGAGGGAGCGTCGTGCGTGGACGCATCCATTGTTGTGAATAACTGGTGAATGAGTGAAGGTTAAAGGGAGAGGAAGAGAGATGGAGAAAGAGAAGAAGTGAAGAAGGTGCGACAAGACGACCACATGACTGGGGGGCGATGAGGAAGGAGCGATGCCGCACAGGCAGGTGCGACTGCGAAGCGGGAAGCGAGAAGCCGAGAGCACCTGAGGGTAGGTGAGAGTAGGTGAGAGTACCCCAGTGAATGTGAATGTGAGGGTTCCTTTAAAGTTGCTCGTAGCCTACCGATAAGAATTAAGATTGAGAAGATTTGCGGCATCCCATGCCCTAAACCCCGCACCCTATGCCCTAATCTCCAACCTGAGACAAGAACCTAAATAGTAAAGATCGCCAGGTCTGGATACAATTTGAAGGAGATTATTGTGTATTGTATATTGTTGATTGCTTTCTTAAAATTGTAGAATTTAGATAAAAAACCCCCAGCAAAGGGGGGGGGGGGGGGAGAGAAGATTAAGAAGAACGTTGAAGACCATATTTTCATGATAGACATCAGAACGCCAGATCATATTGCTAGTAAATGAAACGCTGAAAACATGATACAGAAAACCACCTCTTCTCCTGCGTTTGCTAAGTAGGTGAGACCACTCTAGTGTACCGCGCCAATTGATGCAGAACCCCAAAGATCACGAGCAGGACGGGGTATTCGATCAGATAGCGCCCTCTGTGGATGCAAAACAATCATCGTTTTATTAAGATCGCGTCGTGGGTGATTCTAAGGGGTAAAATGTTTGGATCAATTGGCTTTCACATCTCTCATTCCTTCGCCACACTCTCGAGGCCAGCCCGAGATTGGTTCGTAAGGTATAATTGATAATCAAAATGGCGGGGAAAGAGAAGTGATGCGGCCATGGTTGAGCAAGTTCTAAGTAGCCCTCGGGGGGCTCTATGCAGAAGGGGTATTGGTATTGGTGTTGGTGTTGGGTGTCGTCGCTGCGACAGAAGAGTCGTCGCCACTAGGGCGTTCGATTTCGAAGCCATCGCATCGTTCGATCAGGCTTTGATAGTAATCAACCAAAACCTCTGGTTGTGGAACGATGCGCCATTGCACACGGAATAGGAATTCCAGTTCCAGCATGGCCAACTCGGTCATGCCGATACCACCCACACGGGCATATGTCTTGTTCGTCCAGAAACTGTCGCTGAGCCCTTTGCTGGCAACGGTTGCACTGGCGATCAGGAAACGATGGATAGTGAGACTGGAGACGGTGAATGCTGGGTATAGCGCACAGAGACGGTCAATGTAGTAGACCATGGCGAGGAGAATCGGAGGGGAGAGGGTGGCGTGAGTGGTGAGACGTTGCAGGTAATCCTGCACGGAGATCCGGGGTGGAGATCGAGAGTGGAAGCGCGTTAGACGGCCTTCATTGAGAGGAATTTTGTCGTTGAATCGGATCAATTCCATCAGCATGCTGGAGATCAGCACCACCAGGTCGCGGGGGTCGGCGTGCTCATATTGGGCAGGCAAGACTTTTGCCTCCGCTTCGGAGGGGCGCAGGCGCTTAGACTGCGACACTTGCTCCTCAGGATCACCAGCGCCCGCCGGGGCACCATCTGGAGAGTGGTGATCAGTCTGGCTGTTGCGCTTATTGGACCCCGAACCGTCTGGGGCGGGCATCGAGACCTTCGGATCGGAGGGATTAGAAGGGGGATTCACGGAGACCGGGGCGGAGGAAGCCGTAGGGGGAGGGGGAGGAGGAATCATAGAATCGGAGGCAGTCACAGTATCTGCGGAGCTGCTGGGGACAATGGAGGAGTCGGCGGAAGCAGATGTAGACGCGGAGGCATAGGCATGGGTAGACGCAGACGCAGTGGCAGTGGTGGAAACAGAAGCGCGCCTGCGGTGACGGTCGGCAGGAGATTCAGGAGAGTTGGGATCGACGGTATGTCGATTCAACGCGGTCCGCAACTCCTCAATGGCCAAGCGCGAGGAGCGAGGACTGTTGAACTGTGGAGCCGGGGGATCATAATGGCCCGCCTGCGGTCGTGGGGAACGCAGAGCGGTGGTGGATGGCGAAGGGGAGGAGGCCAACATAATGGTTGATCGTTTATGGTTTAGTGTTTAGGCTGGGAATGCAGGAATTTGAGGCCCAGCGGCCGCTCGGAGTGCAAGCTGGCACCACGTGGGCGCACGAGTCAACGGGGGCGGAACTGGAGGCGCTGGCGCACGGCCTCATCCTTGCTTAAGGATGAGTGGGTGAGACCAAGGGTGGAATTCAATCCGGGGGGTCTCTGATCAATGTGGAGGAGGGGGTGGATGCGGTGGGTGAGGGTATATGATGGGGGGAAGAGGAGATTGTACTCAGGAGGAATCTAAAAGGAGGAGGAGTCAGACGAGAGAACTACAGGATTTTCCGCTTTTGCCATGAGGTAATGGAGTAATACGCCTTGTACGTGGGGGGCGACGTCTGATTACTCCATCGGTGTGAACTCCGGGGGAACCCTGTGGTCATTTAGAGATTGTGATTGGCTGGCCGGGCCGGAGATGACAAAACGTGACAATACAGAAGTTACAGTGCTGGCTTCCGATCATGTGATGTGTACTTCGGATGTACTTACTAGTAGTATGGAAGTAAATATGAAAGAATAAAAGCTATAGCTGGTGGTAGTGGCATATGGAGATAGTTAGATAGGTCTAGATGGTCTAGATGGTCTAGATGATCAAGATGCTCGAGATCACCTGGAGGCTCAACTAGAATCGAATGCGGGTCCAGACACTATGTCAGACGGTGGCGGTGATCATTGTTAGTGAGGGACTAGATTGACTAACAGTTATTGGAGTTAGTGTGAGTGGTTTGGGATCCAGCTAGTCTACAGTAGGTATTAGTGAGTTGGTGACTACACAGCACCAGGACTAACTACTAGTATACTAGTGCTAGTACATATAGTTAACTAACTAACGTAACTCTACTAATCTTGTTGCCTCAGGCAACAATGACACTCAAGTGGGTTACGTAACCACTTATCATAGCGACATGCGGAGACTGGGGGAACCTCAAAAAGGAAGCTTGGAAGCTTAGGGTTACTTGAAACCTTGAAGGACAAAGCCAACAAAGAAATATCCCTCCTTATCTCCAATTAATACCCATAATCGAAAGAGTCCGGCTGAATCACCCTTCCAATTTCTCTCGACACCGTCGCTCGCCCGTCGGACACGCGACCTGACGCCCGAATCCGGCCTTCCCCTCTCCAACTCTCTTCCCCGTGTCCCGCTCATCGACCAGACGGCCCCCCATTACCCCCGCGGCAATCCTTTTTTTTCTAGGCACGAGATCGACTTTCGCCCCAGACCTTTGAATTATTCCCCTAAGTGCGCGATTTATTCGCGGACCTCCCACTGGGAGGCGGTGGTTCTCGGAAGATGACTCGAGCGGCGGTACCGCCGATTCTGTTGCAGCTGCACAGCTCGGACTCGGTTTCCTCACAGGCGGAATCTCTGCGCACCCTCAAGAACGAGCTGATCGGCCATGACCAACGCAAAGAAACCTATGTGACCTCGGGAGTCCTCCCCGCTCTTGCCCAGGTACTTTCCACCTATCGACCTGGAGGAGCGGCTTCAGCAGATCCCAATGGATCGGCTCCGAATCCGGTAAACTATCGCACCTCAAGTGAATATGAGGTTTGTCTACAATCAATTCTGATTGTGGGAAGCGTGGCGCAAGGTGAGTGATGCAGCATGGTCTACATAATCTATAATGCAGTCCCAGATTGGCTGCTAATCATCTCAAGCAGGTGGCCCGACATTCCTCGCTCCGATCTTCGCCAGTGAGATCCTTTCTATCCTTCTCGCCATACTATCCTCCCCGGATTGCCCACAATCTTTCAGTCTTCCTATATTGCGGCTGCTCAACACCATTGCCGATCGGCTACCATTACAAAGCCAGGAACAATGGCCGCGAGATACCCGCTTAGCCGACCTTGTATTCTCAAATGAGAATGTCGGAGCTTTGAGGCGGATCATTGCACAGGACTATGACAAATTGAAAAACCAAGCCTGCATTGAGCTGGCGGCTGCTTTGATTGGGAAGCTGTGCTCCGAGGAGGTCCACAAAACAACACTAGCGGAATGCGGAGTGCTGGATGCTCTATCCGTCAAGTTGGCCTCGTTCGTGGTGGCGCAGGGCTTTGTTCTGCCCGGTGCCCAATATCATCTCCAAGAGCCAGGCGCGCTGGGGGAATTACCGGCGCCAGCGCCGGCATCTGCCCGTTTGGCGCCTATCCTTCGTGCAATCACGACCATCATCGAACAATCGAAGTGGAGGGCGGAGCATTTTCTCTCTTCACCTGGCCTTGTCACGGTATTCCCAAAGCAGGTTCCCGGATTTGCCGCGGTCGATGTCAAACGAGGACCCTGGGGTTCAACTTATTTGTCCGGTTCGGCAGTTCCTCGCCATCCTGGTGCAAACCCAGTGGACCACCTCCTACCGTCGGTCCCATTGACTCACGAGAAGTCATCTCCAAACTCAGCCAATTTCCCACCTCTGGGCAACTCCGGCTCCCAGCGTCGACAAAGCCATTCCTATCCTACCCCGTTTTCGCTGGCTGAGACGCCCTCCCCGGAAGATGACGAGAATTCAATTATCCCATGGCTGATGTGCATTCTCCGCTCAGAAACCGGGATTGCCCGTCTAATGGCTGCACGTTTGGTGACTGTCTTGTTCCGTCTAGGACTCGCTAGGAAGCACCGGGTTCCCATGTTTGGGTTTTTGTTAGTCCCGATCCTCATTCGGATGCTGGACCGAGACTTCAAGTTGCCAGATGAGCAAGGCTCCAATGATGATGGGTTGATCACGCCGACGCAACGTGCTAAAGAAGAGGCACCAGCCGTGTTAGCGAATCTAGTCATGGACGACCAAGAACTTCAAAAACACGCAGTCAACGGCAATGCGCTTAAGCGTCTATCTCAAATCCTTAAGGAAACATATAATCCAGTTGCCGAGAACCTACGTTCGATGTGGTATGCTGGGGGAGACA